TTTCCGACCACCGTCCCAGCTGCTGTTCACCGGTAAGATCTTGCACTACACTTTCCGTTGTTGCATTAAAATCTGCCTGTTCACAATAATTTGTAACATCTGTCGTTTCACACAAATATTACACATTAATTCGCAGGTACTCGCGCAAGGGACAGCAGTCAGCTGGCGACTTTTGTTGAGGACTGGTTGCTCGCAACCGAGGAGGTCGTGGACCATGAGGGAGAGCCACACACTGAGGAGTCGTACCAGGCCTACCTACGCTGGTACCAGCCACGCACCCGTACTAGGGTCACCTTCGCTCCCTTGGAGCAGCAGCCCCATGTTGCGAGCACTAGAGACCTCTATGCCAGGCACCGCGACCAGGACTTCGCTCGTGCTGTGAGTACCCTGCATCGCACCATTCCTTTATGTTTTCATGTCTTTCTCTTCGTCAAATTTTACGAATATTTACGAACAAATTAACCATGCAGGTCGACGACATCAACCGGGTCGTCGTTGACGGTTCAACGACGATCCAACGTTTAGGCGCGGGGATTCCGGTACCCGTAGAGGAGCACCTGACGACGTACACGCGGATGGTGGAGTCGATGCGCTCGATTCTCCGAGTGCTCACCTGTCGTGCAGACGACGTTGCTCGGGCAGACGCAGCTGTACAGCGGCCACCCGTACCGACTGGTCCCCGTCCAGCTGCGCACGTTCCTACGCCGACTCCCCCTCCGCACGGAGGTAAGTATTTTTATTACTATTTCTGTACATGCCTCGCACATATAAGTGAGCCGTTTCACTTGCCGATTGCTTCAGGGTTTCGTGCACCGTTCAGCACCCCGCCTTCCTCGGCTAGGCCTTCTGTTGTGCCCCCCACAGGTACTTAAAAAAACAACATTACTTCGATAATCAATTTACATACATTTTATGTCTTAGCTTACAAGGGTCCCGTTGTCGATGTGTAGGTTTCGCCCAGTTCGCTATGACGCAGGCCGCCCACTTCTCCCAGGCTGCAGGGTCAGCGTCTCAGGCAGCTGTGTCGACCTCGCACTCAGCGCAGTTCTGGCAGTACACCGGGACTTCGTCACAGGCAGCCGGCACATCGAGTCAGGGTCCACCACTGGACCATGCTGGGACCTCGTCGGACCGCTTGCTGCCTTCCACCTTGCTCTTCGATATCACTGACTTCGACTTCGCTTCAGGCTCGACAGAGGACGTCATCGGCCCCTCACAGCTGGGAGGCGCACCGCCGGTGCAGACGCAGGACCAGGCGCAGGCCACTCCTCCGCGGGATACTCGTGCTACCCGTGCTGTGCCACCGGATCGTTTCACCTACTCCCAGGACCACGTGCGAGCACAGGCCCGGAGGACCAAGCGTGGTCGCGGCGCGGGGCAGGGCCAGTAGAGCAGTCTTCTCTTTGTTTACTTGCTTCACTTTCCAGTATTGTATGCTTGTGTAATGACTACGTTGTTGTTATATGTGCACGATACCTTTCGGCGCATGCACGACTACTTTCTGCCGCACCGATGCAGCCTCCTTTATTCGCGTGTGATACGAGTATTTGCCCGCCATTTGGCGCATACGACCAATGTAACTTTCGGCGCCGATCATGCATGTATCTTTCGGCGCCAATCAGGCGTACCCACCATACCCCACCACGTTCACATGTCAGGGGTATCACTCGATTTTTTGCGCCTATATAAGTCGCCTTAACGAGTGAGGCCTCACAATCTTTCAGAACTCAGTCACATTCAGTACTCTCTTCCCCACTTGCTTCATTACAAATCCGACCGGCTTTCGTCAATGGCTAGACGCCGGGGTGTTGAGGATCCAAACTGGCGTAGCGATCCTTGTGTATACCTACTACCACCTTGGTACCAGCGTCCTCTCTGCCTATGCGGTGATCGATGCCAACTAATGGCTTCGAGGAATCCTGATATTCGAGGAAGGCGCTTTTTTAGGTGCCCTAACTATGACTGTGAAGTATTTTATTATCTGCATATGCTTATTCATTCCGTATGGGCAATCGCTTTATTCTTCGTAACACTACTCTATTCGGCAGACCCGCACTACGGCTTGTGCATACATCGAGTGGGTCGATACAGAAAATCCCGTTCTCGACCTAACCACTTGTTTACAAGAAGGTCGCTGGTATTTCGCATCCGAAAGTACTGAGCAATACTTACAGAGAAAAGCGGCTTATGAACGACAATGTCGTGAACAATAGAGCGACTGGCGGGTGCTAACTATGGCACTCTCTCCATGGGAAGCCCATCCAAGATGCAGGTGTGGTAATCGTTGTCAGGTTCTTCGTTCCATAAATCCTACAACATTGGGTCGAAGGTTCTTTGTTTATCCAAATATTCTTGACGACGATTTCATGGTAAGAATATTTTGATTACATGAATCCTTATTTTCTCACAACATTTACTAACTTTGCTTGCTTTACATCTATTCTTTCCTCCCAGGAACCACCAAGGAGATGTCAATACAGAGAATGGATAGACACCAGAAGGGTTCTAACTCCACCTAGCCGTGTTGTGCAGCTTGAACTACCAGAGCAATACAGGGTTACTAAAGCGCGGTTTGAGAGAGGAGAGGGATCATCACGTAGGGGTTAGCTATTATCGGACAACTTGGCATATTGAAATTTCTACTGTCATGCTTCCTTGTCCCATTACTACATCGTCGTTGTGTTCAACTATTGCACTACATCCCTTCTAGTTCGAATCTAATATCATCTATGTAACCGCAATGCAAATAGTTGTATCATGTTCAAATTGTACTACTATTTCTTCATGTTACATAATTCTCCTTGTTTAAGTCCATATAATGTTTCTACGACCCAGACTGCGATAGGCCTATATAAATTATCCGAGTACTAATACGTCGAATAAGGTACAAAATAATACCTCACTTAACATATGAAATTGCGCAACAACCAACTTCAATACATTTTTATAACAATATTAACAAGTTTTACCAATAAATACTTCTTTATTTATTATTAACATAACATAGAAAAATCTTTTGGCCGTACTTTTTTCATCTGGGTCCCTTGCCGCCCTCTATTGGGGCGGCAAGGGACCCAGATGAAAATGTACGACCGCAAGCTCTTTATGGGCGGCCAAAATTGCAATTAGCCCCTTGCCGCCCTCTGTATGGGCGGCAAGGGCCTAATCGCAATTTTGGCCGACGGCGGCAGACGGCGCGGTCGACCCACCGTCTGCCACGTCAGCTTGCCGCCCACCATTAGGGCGGCAGGGGCTATTTCTGTAATTTTTTTGGTCGATAGATTATTTCTGTAAATATTAAAAATATCTAAAAACGAAAAAAATTTGTTTTGTGGTTAAGGACGAAAATCGGATTCGGTGTAAAGTTAAAGGACCCCAGATGAACTTAATCCCGCGCTGAAATGTATCGTTTGTGTGGGCTAAGGCTCGTACTACATCCACAGCCCACATACATTATTCGGCTTCCCCAGCCCATATAAAAGGACTGAGGTTCCATTCAGGAATATATATTTTTTCGATTACACGTGGACACACGGTCACACACAGTGTCATACTCACGTATTCCATCCATCCCATTTTAAGTGTAAGAGTTTTCATATCCAACTTTGATCGTCCGTCTTATTTGAATTTTTTTATAATTAGTATTTTGTTTGTTATGAGATGATAAAACATGAATACTATTTTACTCGTAACTTATGTTTTTATTTTTTTTAAATAAGACTAACAATCAAAGTTGGACGCGGAAAATCATGACTGCACTTAAAATGGGACAGAGGAGTATAATATAAGAGATTTTGGATGAATATGACACACATTCTAGTATTACGATTTTATGAGTATATCCAGATTCGTAGTACTAGAATGCGTGTGCCTTTTAACACGTGTTAAAACAGATGGAAACAAAACAACAGTATAGGTTTGTCGAAGAAAAGCGTATGTCAATTTCACTAAAAATTGGTGCATATTTCGTCATACGAATTTTGTATGATTACTACCAAAACTAAGCCACCTCATTAAATTTTTCTCTTTTTTAAAAAAGAAAAAGCCACTTCACTACAAATCTTTATAGAATCCGGGGAAGCATTGAAGTGTAAATGTTTAATGGTGAAATCATGGATGTATGACTATGCATACAACGGTATGTTTTCAATATGATTTTATGTTGTCTTTTAAGTAATAAAAATCCTTATAAATATTCATGCACCATAAAATAGCTTCTACCATTTTCTAATGATCAGCTTTCATAATAGGGCCATGGTTTAAAAACCATGTGGTTATCGCACAGTAACCTTTTCAGTTTTCTAAACGTATATCTAGCGGTGACCGTACGGTTTTCACGATAACCGTCAAACCATGTGGTAACAGTAACCCCACTCCAACAATTTGGTAAACTCTGTATAGGAGTATATGAGTGAATGGACCTTTAAAGCGAAATCATTTTTTTCATTAGAAAGGGAAACCGTTATTAGAACCATTATTCTTTGTTGGCTATCCTAACAAGCCGTGGCCACACCTGTTTTTTCGTCGAGAATCCACCACCGCGGCCGTACTACGCCCCAACCTCCTCTTCCTGATCACCGTCGGTTCGCGCCCGTCAGCACACAGCGACAAAAGCACAAACTCGCACTCTTCTTGTGTTCTCTCTTCGTTCTTGGCACAGCTCATAAAGCTAGGCACGGAACAAGCAAAGAATGGCCATAATCATGGCCATCTTTCTGGTTTCTGTGATTCTGGGGGCTGTTTGAATGCCCACCTCAATTTACCACAGTTTTTTAATAAAGGTGTGGTAAGATGCAAATTGTGTGGCTCAAAATTTGATGGCCACACTTGTGACAAACTTTAGCTAAGAAAAGGGTCTATGACTAGTGAGACCAAAAGAATAGAAAGTGTGGCATGCCAAAGTTATAGAAACAAACCAAACATTAGCCACATTTAGTCAAACTAACATACCTCAAGTGTGGCAAAATGTGGCACCAACCAAACAGGCCCTCTGTCCTCCTTCTCCAGCTATTCGGCCCACCGTCCTGAATGTTGCACTTTACCACTTTCTGCAGAAAAAAATAACAGAAGAGAATATAGGAAATTCACAGAAACTTTATATGAAATAGTTCAATTGTCGTTAAAAAATTTGAAAATTTCCCGTGTTCCAACAAAGCCCCGACTCAGGAATAAAAGAGCGATCCATCATGAAATTCTTGTTGAGGCACACTACCTTGTACTAGACAGCAATTTTACTTTACCCAACTGACGAGGATGAGAGTATCACCAGCCAGCACAAACTGGTCACATGAGTCATGACTTCTGGTCTTGACCCATAAGACTCGATGCTTTCTCATCAAGGGAGATGGCTGCTGTTGTGATCATAACGTTCAATCTCCTTTCTGGTCGGTTGACGCAGCAGGGCGTCGGAGAGTGAGTGCATTAGCCCATTTTCCATTTACTCGTTGAGATCTAGCTACCCATCTAGGAGTAGAATTCACTCATGTGTTCGGTGACTTCGGTCTCGTGCAGCGTATACTACTCAGTAATGATCGAGGCCCAGATACATCATTGGCAAGCGTGAACTCCAGATCAAAATATACATCTCTATCGCCAGATGCTCACCAATACAGTATATTTTGATGCCAGGGCACAGGTATGCGTGCTCTAGATTAAACAGATCGAGGCCACGAACAAATGCCAATGCAAACTAAAACAAGGCAATCAAACAGTACTAAATTGTTTGTACTCCTTATCACCAACCTTGGATCCATCAAATAAACTTGCGATTTGATTAGTGATAAGTAACTCGTAAATATACTGAATCCTATCACATTTCACCTGAAGGAGATCATGTTCAGGTTAATTTACACAGATACAGCGTTGCAAAGCCACCGATCAACAAGAACGCAAATACATTATGGGCGTGAGGGAGCCGAGATATTAGTGCGTGCCGACGAGATGGGCACCGCCCGGCACGGCGATCCTTCGCGTTAATGTGTGTGCAGCGCACTGATCGCCCATGTAACTGCTCGGATAGCATAGAAGTCATATCTGCGTCAGAGCAACAAAGCGTTCTTGCTCCGATCGGGCTTAGCCTTCCGTAAGCACGATGCAGCCATCACAAACTCAAGAAAAGATGAGAGGAAGGCCAGTGTCCAAAACGCGGATCAAAATCCGCTCACGAGTGATATCATCGAAATTCACGGAAAATCGATGATAAACCAGCAAAAACAGATAAGTCTGAATATATTTTATCATAAATTTGAAATCCGATTTAAATATGTTTGAATTTAACATAATAATCGAGATAGAGCAAGTTTAATAGTATAGCCCGCTACAAGCTCCAATTCATCTATAACCAATGCAATAGCTAAGTAGTTGTTTAGTATAATATTAATATATGGTCCCATCTGTTATACACACATTGCGTCTTGAAGTCTGTGCTGCAGCTGGCTACAGATTGTAGCCCGCTATTTTTCTATCACATTTTTATCTTATTAAAATATGTTTATAGCCGGCTAATAAACTCCTATTGTACCTGCTCTTAGTTGATCGGCTCTTGCGAAATCCGAATCGGATCCCACATACCTCTATCGTGCAAGAACGACGGAATTCCAGGGCTGGCGGATGAGTTTCCGTGTCCGTACGGTTCACGGGCATGCGTGGAACACGCATGATTGCGCTCTGCAGCTCGGCCATTTTCCCCGTGACGGTGACGCCACGGCCATCGCCGATCGATGATTGTTGTTTGCAGGGGAAGACAGGGCCATGGGGGGACACGCGTTACCTGATCTCGCCAGCCAGCCAAACCAAACCAAATTCCATGAACCGCCTCAAAGACGAACTCGATCAACTCCTTTGGTCGGACCCAGGCGCTGCGACCGCGCGAGACGCTCGTGCCAACGCAGCCGGCAAAGGCCCCCCGGCAACCGGCAACCGGCAACCGGCACGGCACGGCACGGCCTACGCGCGCGAGCCCGGCTCGGCCGTGAGCGATACCGACAACGCTTGAACCCGCGGCGCACGGCACGGATCGGTATGATTCGCTACCGCGCGTCCACCGACTCGCACCCCGTGTTCCTGACATTGTTGCCGGCATGCCCAGCTGAGAATGTGATCGATCCATACGTAGTTACGAGGGTCCACAATTTCAATGGAATCTGGCTCGAACTACGCTTGGTTTAGGTTCGAATTTTTTCTTTAAACTTTCAACTTTTTTATCATATCAAAACTTTCTACACACATATAAACTTTCAACTTTCCCATCACATCGTTCCAATTTCAATTAAACTTTAAATTTTGACGTGAACTAAACACACCCTTACACAAAATCTAAACTATTCGGAGTGGTTCGAAAACACAAATCACTTTTTTTTCTCAAGGTTTATATTAAAAAATAAAACTAAAATTTTCTTTTGATAAAATTTACGGATTTTACCGGGTTTTATTGGTTTTCCAATGAATTCCGGGAAATCTGATGATACCGCTCATGAGCGGATTTCGATCCGGCATCAGGATTGTAAACCCACTTACGACTCCCTTCATCCCAAATTAATCAATCTAATGTTAGATTTAATATTACTTAGATTGGTTATTCTAGAATGAAGAACGTACACGTCTTAGAGTGGACAACTCTCTATTGGAGCTTTGTGTGACAACATAATAGTATGGAGTTATGAACGGTGTGTGTGTGCAGATGTTGGGGACAAATTCATCATACACACAAGCTACGATCGCTCTCAACATGTATTAGTGATCAAAGTAGGTGTTAGGAAGCGGACCACATTGTTCTAGAACGGATTACAGTTCCAGGAACCAACGTTTGGTTACCAAGTGGCTTGTCTATGACTTTGGGATGTTTTGGGGTAGCGACATCGTGGACGTGCCCTCCGGTCCCAGCATATGATGCACATAACTGAACTCTGAGGTGCAACACATGGACTACGCTGGATGCATGTGAAGTTGGCAGAGGTGCTGTAAACTTTGGCAAATGGCAACCAGATGAAGCCCCCAGTACTGTTTTGTTTTGTTTTGTTTTTTTGTTTTTCCTCTGTCTCTCTTTATTCATTTCAGTCCCAATATTTTCATACGACACACATTGGCGTACAACATACTCGTGTCCTCCTTCCCCAGGTCAGGGATTATCAGAGTTGGACTTGCCCAGTTTAGTCCTAATTTTTTTCCCAAAAATAACACATCAAATCTTTAAACACATACATAAAGCGTTAAATATAGATAAAAACAAAAATTAACTGTACAGTTTGCATAGAAATTGCGAGATGAATCTTTTAAACCTAATTAGTCCATGATTAGTCATAAGTGCTATAGTAACCCACATGTGCTAATGACAGCTTAATTAGGCTTAAAAGATTCGTCTCGCGGTTTTCAGGTGAGTTATGAAATTAGTTATTTCATTCATGTTTAAAAACCACTTTCAACATCTGGTCGAACATCTGATATGACACCCAAAAATTTTCTTTTCGCGAACTAAACCATCTCTAAAATCGCTGGAAAAATGGCCACCAAAACAGAGTCAGGGAGTCCAAAAATCTGCGAACTCCGGTGCTACCCAACCAGTAACCCCACCGCCTCCCATTTCCACGAGTGGTCCAGTCCAAAGGGAATACATATAACTGAGCAAAGGACGGGAGAAGAAGAAGTTGCGTTGCCCCGTACGCCTCGCGTTTCGATCGGCGGCGGCTTGTGGGCTTGTGGCCGGCCTGGCCTGCTGCTGTTTGCGGCTGCGATTGAGCTTGCGTCCCGATGCGGCCACGCCGGAGTAGCACAACGGCTACATTTCGTCGCGGTGCGGCGCCGCATGACGTGGGGGACTAGGATGCCGGGGATAACGGGCTGCTGCCGGTTGAACACTGCGGATTCACGAGCAAACCAGGGTAAGATGGGACGCAGATTCAGTGACATTCCCCGTGATATTTTGGTCCCACATGTCAGTGACTCAATGTCACCGAGAATGTCACGGGGGAATGTCACCGAATCCCAATCCGGTAAGATGAAATTGGAAGTTCGGAACCACTCGACCAAGCGCTGTACATGACTAACATATGTGGCATGTGGCATGGCCTGGATTTTTTTTTTTTACATTTTATACATTTTAAAAACTTATTTTACAAATAAATCATTGGAAAAACTTTTTCAGGTAATGGACCTTTTTCATGGTGCCAATATCATTGACGCCGTGGTCCAATATTATGGCACCAATGACATTGATATCATTCCCCTAATCTCCCCATGTACACTAAGTCACTTATATGAAAGAGACGGTGATAAATTCGTGGACACCGAGGGTCTATTTGTACAAAGATTTTTAAAATAACTTAATTTTTTTTAAAAAAATATAAGTCAAATAGCCCCTTGGTGTTGGTGTCGTTGGCACCAAGAGTCTATGTGTAAATATTTTTTTATTAACAATAAGTCATTTTTCAATAAAGTTTATGTATAGGTTCTCAGTGCCAATGACATTGGTGACTTTGCTTCCACGAGGAGGCTAGGGGGACAACATTAATGTCATTAATGTCGTCGTGTTGGACCATGACATCAATGATGTTGGCATCGCGTAAAGGGTCATTCTCGGAATAAGTTTTTTTAAGGGTCTATTTGTAAAATAAGTTTTTTTAAATGGATAATAAATTATAAAATCCAGGTGACATGGTTGTGTATTAGGAGTTATATACTTTAGGCTTTACTCGTCACTCGTCAATGGAGATTGTCTGTAATACTACACCTGCTATAGTTGTCGCTGACATGTTGGACCGGGTCCACCTGTCAGCCACTGCTACTGCAAGTGCAGTACTGCAGAGGATCCGTGCCCGTCACTACTAAGTAAAAAGGAAATGATATTGATCTCCCACATAATAAAAATTTTGAATGGATAGATCTATATTGGAGTTCCCTAATGGTACGATTATCTGTGTCATGTCTAATATAAATTTATTTGAGATCTATAGGTAAGAACTACTTCGGTTATCGAGTGATTCCAACATTATTTATGCGTTGTTCGAACTTAAAAAAAAGTCACACATAAAATGATATTGAACACAATTTCTTTCTTGTTTATATTACAATTATCAATGAACTTTAAACCTCCCTATCCCATTCTTTCACTTTTGACCTTTTTTTATCATTTTGTTTCACTTTGAACTATTTTATTTTTGCCTTCATCTTCGTGGAGGTGGAGAGTGTACCAATAATAATAAAACAAGAGAAGTTTGGGTTTAGGAAAAATGAGCTCATACCCCTTGCACTCTCTCTAGTGTCTCTTTTTGCAAAATAATCCCAAAACTTTCATGTTCAATTTCATACAAACAATTCAAACGAACCTATACTTAACTTTCTCTATTTTGAAACCCTACAAACAAAAAAAAACCTAAGATCATATTCCTACGTTTTCCTGTTGGTGCGGTTCAAAAAAAACCATAAAACCACAAGCCCCCACAACAAACACGAATCCTCAAAGCCCCCACAACTCACTTCCACACACACACGCCGCGCCCCCTGGCACGAACCACGCTACGCGGTTCAGGACCGGCAGGTGGTGAACGCCATTGCCATCCAACCCAACTCCCTCCCCTCCCCGCCGGATAAAACCCCTCCTCTTCTTCCCCACCACCACCCCCACTCCCCGTCCTTACCGCGACATTGACGGCACTACACGCAAACACGCACGGAAGAGTAAAGCGCCCCCCTCCCCTCTCCCTCTATCTCTCTCTCTCTCCAAACCACGTGCGCCGCCGCTGCCGCCGCCGCGTCCGCCGCCGTCGCCATCGGGGGGAGAGGCGAGGCGAGGGCGAGGCGGGAGGGACTCGTTTTTTTTGACAGGGCGGATGCGATGCCACTGCGGCGAAAGGTGAGGGGTGCCGCCGCGGCGGGGAGGCGGGCGGCGGTGCGGTGGTGGCTGCTCTCGCTCGCCGCGACGGGCGCCACCGTCACCGCCGCCGCCGCGCTGCTCGCCGTCGCCCTCCACGTCTCCTCCTCCTCCGCCGCCTCCGGCCCCGCTTCCTCCTCCGGCGTGCCCTACCGCCTCTCCAAGGTAATGTGCGCCACGGCCGCTTAGATTGAAACTCTCGGGGGTGTGCTACTAACTGGACGGGTTGCCTCCTTCTCCTCGTCGTCGTCGTCGCCGACGCCGCAGCAGCCGCGGGAGGCCGGGGAGCTGAGGTGGGAGCAGGAGTTCGCGCCGCCGCAACTCGCTTCGCCGCAGTCGCGAAAGGTGACTTGGCTGGTCTCTCCGCCTCCGCCGCCGCCAAATCTGTTAAACGCAGTTGCTCTCTTTGGAATTCATGGGAGTCCGTGACGTGGGATTAATCTCTAGATTTGACAGCTGGACGGCGCAGCCGATGACGCCGGGGAGAAGAGGTGGTGGCTGCCGGCACCGTCGCGCGGGTTCACGCCATGCGTCGCGCCGTCGCCGGCGTACAAAAGTACTACTATCCCCATGGCCACTCCACTCAACCGTCCTATCTCAACGTTTGTCTCGAATTCGTGCCGCATTCTGAGTTCGATCTTACTGTTGCAGGTCCTGGGCCATCGAGGGGGTACCTGCTGGTGCTCACGAATGGAGGGCTCAACCAGATGCGCGCTGGGGTAAGATGGATCGGTGATTCGTTCGTCCTGATCAAAATTTCTCCGGTTGTGGCGATGCGCTGGGGGTTTTGGCATACGGGGGGATACGAATTATTGTTTGGTTTGCAATAGATATGTTGACTTGCTTGGTGGAACCTAGCGTGCGTGCATGTGGGGTGTTCTATCAGAGTTGACGGTTTTAATCATCCATAATCGATTTTGTTGGCGGCATGTTTGTTCTTTAATCAATGAGTCGTGGTTGTTCGGGTGCTAACGTGTCTGTACTCTTCTTATGTGGGTTTTGTTTTTGTGCTTTAATCATCTGCTGTGGGGCCTCTAATGACTACATATCAGACATAAAAGCTTACATAAGCTACTCTACAATAAGGTTTACATAATATGGAAATGTTGATTATGAAACTAATATTGTGCAAATGGTTATTGCTTAATTCAGTAATCGGTAACATAGAGTGCATACCTGAATTGTATTCAGGATATAATCCTGAATATGGTTGGTGGGTGGGTGTTGTCTCAGTACTATTCAAAATTTCTTGCCCTAGTGTTTCATAGGTGTCACTGTAGCTATTTCTCGTGATCAATGTCAATTATTGGTATGTGTTATTACCATGTTTGTGCCATCACTTAAAATTTGTTTCATTTATGGCATGCTAAAATGTTCTTGTTTTGTTATGAGACCAAGAATAGCTAAATTCTATTTGGGTATGCAAGACTGAGATAGCTGATATTAATGCCTGAAAGTTTTGTTGAGTTCAAATACTTCAGTTAGTTAACAGGAATTTCTGTTTTTGTTTAGGTGACCGTAAAAGCACCTTCTACCAGTTGAGGGATTTTTCCTTTTCTTAGGAATATAATATCTAGAGTGTTATGTGACTTAAATGTCCATTGTTTGAGACGGACGATTTGTGTTAAACTTACTACATACAACTCCTGCTCTAAAATCAATCATCAGTGAACCATGTGCATATTCAGTTAGATGCAAAATCCCCCATGACTTTTTCTTTCACTCACTAATTCTATTCTTATGGCAGATCAGCGATATGGTAGCAGTTGCACGTATGCTCAAAGCTACTCTCATAATTCCAGAGCTTGATAAGAAATCATTTTGGCATGACAAAAGGTAAGTGGAGTGTAGTTTTTGGCTTTCACCTTCCCTCTGACCGATCTGAAATAACACAGCCACTTTTCAACATCAGCAACTTCTCAGATGTATTTGATGAGGAATATTTTATTCATTCTTTGGCAAATGATGTGAAAGTTGAGAAAAAATTACCAAAGGATTTGGTGAAAGCTCCAAAGTTTGTTAGGTACTTCAAGAGCTGGTCTGGAATAGATTATTACCATGATGAGATTTATCCTCTGTGGGAGCACCGGCAGGTTTGTATTCATTCAATTGCTATATTTCATTTGCCTCCTAATAATTTGAAAGCAGTAGATTCTAGATGCAATAATTTTGAGCTGTTATCCTGATGAAAGATTTGTATAGGTTATTCGTGCTGCTAAATCTGATTCTCGCCTTGCAAACAACTACCTTCCTCCTGATATTCAGAAGCTTCGCTGCCGAGCCTTTTTCCAGGCACTGAGATTTGCTCCTCCAATCGAAGCTTTAGGCAATGTATATCTTTTACTACTGTGTTTGCCATGATGATTCCATAACAAATGTAAGACTAGTTCCAACAGATGTGTTAACTGATTCTGCAGCTGTTGGTGGAGAGGATGAGATCGTTTGGACCATACATTGCTTTGCATTTACGTTATGAGAAGGATATGCTTGCTTTTAGTGGGTGCACACATGGTCTGTCACAGACCGAATCAGAGGAACTTGCAATGATCAGGTAATGCCTTCAAATTTGTTTATTGCTTATTGCATGATCATACCTTGTTACTAGCAGCTAAATAACATTAGCTGTGTGATTGATTTTTCTCGTATTCCTACAGAGAAAACACAAGCTACTGGAAGGTAAAAGATATTGATCCATTGGATCAAAGATCCCATGGTTATTGTCCCTTGACACCAAAGGAGGTTGGTATGTTTCTTTCTGCTCTTGGATATCCATCGAGCACTCCGGTTTACATAGCGGCAGGGGAAATATATGGCGGTGAATCTCATGTGGTTGATTTGCTATCACGCTTTCCAATTATGATGAACAAGGTATGGGCAGTGTCAATTCTGTTAATCTAACTCTTGCTACACTACTTTCATTAGTTGACTTATGTTACTTCTCCATCTGCAGGAGAAGCTTGCCTCAGCTGAAGAACTACGACCATTCAGGCAATATGCTTCTCAAATGGCAGCTTTAGACTACATTGTTTCAGTGGAGAGTGATGTCTTTATTCCATCATATTCGGGGAACATGGCACGGGCTGTCGGGGGTCATCGTCGTTTTCTTGGCCACAGGAAGACCATCATTCCTGACAGGTGAAAAATCATGAAACAAGTACTCTCAGCATTATAGAATTGCCAAATTCTTTGCTTCTGCGTCTCATTATATTCTTTCTTCAATTAAGGAAAGCATTAGTTCGCTTGTTTGATAAAGTTGATGGTGGATTACTGAACGAAGGGGAGAGACTATCACGAAGGATAATAGATATCCATCGGAAAAGGTATCAAACGATAAAACATGAGAAATAGAATACTAAAGTTCCCATCTGTTTTTCTTTTTCTCATCGCTCTTTACTTGTTCTTTAGACAAGGATCTCCGAGGAAAAGGAAAGGTCCTGTATCAGGAACAAAAGGCAACGATAGGTTTCGGTCAGAAGAGGCATTTTATGAGAACCCTCTTCCTGACTGCCTGTGTCAACCGGAGTCCCCAGCCAGCGATGCTTCTGTGGTCAGCATCTAGTCAGGGAGCCGATCATCCTTAACGTCACTAATCACCACTACCAAGTACATAAACCAACCCACAAACACAGAGGAAGATGCTATACTGAAGATCTCCACAGCATCACCGTTCAGTTTTTGCTTAGATGACATCACGCCCCAACTATTCGTTGGTGCATTGCCAATTTGCCAGCCCAACTCTCTACCGCAAGTGACAGTTGCCAATTATCGAAGCCGCATGACATTGTTCAGAGCAGGTGGAGGTTGAAGGACTGGGCATAGCTGTATAGAGCCCTCTATGTAGGCACATCTGTACAGGACCTCACATTAGTTACAGCTTTAACTTCGCAATTAAGCACCACTTGTAAGTCGACGGTGCTAAAGAAGAGAAATAACTGAAACACACTACGAGTGTAGTTTCTCCAGTCGTTTCTTGGCATCAATCTATAACTCATGTTTCACTTGTTGAACTTGCTGCAAATCTGGAAGCACTGTGCTAACATAGTAACAGGGGATATTGGAACTTGTAAACTTGCTGCCAACCTGGAAGCATTATAGTAACAGCCTAACAGGGGATATTAATACTTGTTAACTTGCTGTAAATCTGGAAGCATGGTGCTAACATACATAACAGGGGACATTAGTACTGTAAATCTGGCAGCATTCTGCTAACATAAAATTGATAGAATGGCAACTTGTTGCTTGTCAACAATGTGCCTATGACTCTCATTTGCAGCTCATTTTCCAGCCTGGTTCGCATACTTCTGGTGATCAAGTTTTACCTGTGTCCCTCAAAAAAAAAGTTTTACCTGTGTCTCGCGAAGTCACAGCCTCACAGGCACGGTACATTTCACGAACTGCGACGTAGGAGTACATTGCAATCATGGTTGACGCTAGAACACCGCAGCAGTTCCCTTGTGACGAACCAAACCTGACGGCAGTTCATCGTTGCCAACCATATAGACACTACTATCTGTTTACAATTTGTGCATTTGTGCCCCAATCATCACGCAGCAGAAACAAGATAGTATAGTTCTTGCAAGAATCAAACAAAGTTCACAATAACAAAAAAAGAAGAATCAAACATGATAGATGCACAATTGGGGATTTCATGAACAATCATCAGAGCACAGCAAGGTGATGAGATAGTTGATCACATTCATCATTGTGCCCAATCACGCAGCAGAAACAAGACGGTATTGCTCTTGCCAAGACTCGAAAATTTCTCTGTTCGTCATTGTGCCCCAATAACGCAGCAGAAACAGACAATAGTTCTTGCACAATTGATTATGCGATTGCTCAGCATTCAGCAATACTTTTTTAGTTGTTTACAATCGATAAAAAAGTAGATCAGACTCATCACTATGCCCAATCACGCAGTAGAAACGAGACAGTGTTGTTGTTGCAAGAGTAAAAAACATACGAGATAAATGCAGAATACTGTTGTTCTTGCAAGAATCAAGAACACAAGATAAATGCGCAATACTAGACAAGTGTCATGAACAATCATCAGAGCACAAGCAGATAATGCGATATAATAGCTCAGTAACTCGGAGCACTAGTACTTTTTTTTTACCATCATCAGCAAAGATTTGCACTGTTGTTACTGTTTTCACCACCATCAGAAACTCCACAGATGAACAAAACATCAGAAACCCCCACAGGATGAACAAAACGCAAGCAGGGATCAGAACACGAGTAGCGGACACCATCACAAAAAGGCCTCTCGATCTAGTCTCAAACTTATTCCTACTCTAGATAGCCTCGCTCTCGATCTAGTCTCAAACTTACTCCTACTCTAGATAGCCTCGCTCTCCATTAGCACTAGAGCTTACTTGGTCGGACCTCCTACTCGACATTGACCTGGAAGACGTCCTTGCGCTCCTCCTCCTTGAGCTTGGGCACGGCCACCCTGAGCACGCCGTTCTTCATCTCCGCCTTGATCTTGTCCATTTTGAACGCGTCGGCGGGGAGCTCGATGCGGCGGGTGTAGCGCGGCGGCGCGGCGTCGGCGTCGTCCTCCGGGTCCTTCTCCCCCTCGCCCTTGATCACCAGGCTGTTCTGCTCCGCCCACACCTTCACGTGCTCCTTCCCCAGCCCGGGCATCGAGACCTTGAGGTGCACCGCGTCGTCGTCCTCCTTCGCCACCCACCACCCGCCGCGCCGTGCAGCCGCGGTTGCGAGGCCGTTGGTCCCCGGCGCCGCCGCCGTCGCCACCGCCGCGTCCTCCATCAGGGCCAGCAGTCGTCCCAGGCTCGTCGGCGCGCCGAACGGGTCGAGCACGTCTGCGACGAGGGAGAACGGACAAAAACATGATCAGTACCCCGGTTCACTTCACAGCCTCAAACAAACACGGGAAGAGAAGAGAAAACACAGAACACGCGAGGCGCGGGAGGACGAAGGCGAGGAAGGAATCCTTTACCGGAGGCGGAGAAGAAGAAGGGGACGGTGAGGCGGCGGCCGTCGTCGGTGGCGTCGTACTCGTCGCCGCTGTCGGTGCCGGACTCGTCGACGACGTCGTAGCGGCGGAGCGGCGCGCCCTCGGTGTTGTACAGGCGGCGGGAGGCGGCGTTGGTGGCGGTCGCGGCGGCGGGGGCGGTCACGGGCTTCCCGGAGGCGGCGGGAGCGGCGGCGACGGGCCTCCCGGTGGCGGCGGGCGGCGCGTCGGCGGCGAGGAGCTGCCTGAGGAGGGTGGCGAGCGGGCGGCCCTTGAGGGCGACGGTGGAAGCCATGGATGACTCTCTCTCTCTCTCTCTCTCTCTCTCTCTCTCTCTCTCTCTCTCTCTCTCTCTCTCCTCTCCCTTGTCTCGAGCGCTCTGTGATTCTTGCGGTGGAAGCTGAAGCGGTGGGGGGAATGGAGGAGTGGAGGTGTCAGGGTGTGCAGCCTTTTGTAAGCCGCGGCTTTCTTGGAGGAGGGGATGGAGAAGGTTCCGGAGTGGCGGAGAAGCCCGTGAGTGACTGCGGGTTTTGGGGAGAGGTCTCGTGCTTTATGATTCGTGCCATTCGTGTACGATCAGGATGGACTTTTGGATGCATCTCTGATCTGACACAGTAAGGACAGTCCCAACCCTCTACCTAGGATGGTGTCTATGGCATTAACTACATTACTATGTAGGAATTTTAGCTTATGTGACATTATATTAATTAAGAGAGAGAGTGAATAGATGAATAAACTGGGTCTTATGCAAGACACAGCTTCAACACGAGAACCTATGCACTAGATACTATCAAGTTTTGCATTGTGAGAGAATAATGTCTTCGTAATAGATGAGAGAGATGATGTATTTATTAATGGCCCACTTTAAAAAACCATGGGCTATAGAGTGTAGTTTCTATTGTGATGTCTTATTGACATGGCACCATAGACACTACTTATGGACACTATGGGTTGGGACTGCCCTTAAGGATTTAGGCCCATTATTATTACCCTCCATCGTACTCCCTCCATCTATTTTTGATAGTTATATTTCCAAATCTGAAAAATCTATTTTTGATAGGCATATTTCAATCCAACAACCTATCATCTTAATGACTTTCTCGGATTTAATGCATGACTCTCTATTCTCCACACAAGATTGGTTGCATGGGCATCAAGAAATGTAAATATTAATGAATCGCTTGTTTACGAGGAATGGCTAGTAGCATGTTTAAATGGATGATAGGTAGAATTACTTATCTTTGGTCTGTGTGTCAATATGAAATATGACTATCAAAAGTAGATGGAGGGAGTATAATATAATTATTTTAACCCTTTATATTTTTCTCAAAATAAATTTATCTTTAAGCAATCATTGAAGTTTATAAAAGTATAGATAAATGCATTGTTGGGAGTAAATGAAGGGTGAGTTGGAATCTACTCTTTCTCAACAACTATTTACTCTTTTTCTACGTGCATGTTTCCCAAGCTCGTAAATGGTTTGTTTTTATAAAAAATATAGAAAATTTATTTTAAAAATTCATATTAATTCATTTTCTTAGGTTGTGTATTCATCGTTTTAGATGAAAATCCAGATTGTGTACTCATCGTTTTTATATGGGCATAAAAGGAAATATCTAACATTTTTAGATAAACTTAGAATAAACTTCACATTATATATCTAACATTTTTCTTATAAGAGGGGACACACGTGGGGTGGGGGCACATGACGGGGAATGGGGATGGGGTCGGGGTGTTTATGTGAGGGATTACAAATATATAAAAACATGTTTGTTTATCTTACATTGTGTATCAAAGAGGTACTTCAAATTTTGTGTTCAACATTTTTAGATGAACCTAATATAGTTCACATTGTGTATCCAACATTTTTACATGAACCTAAAAGAACTTTTACATTTCGTATGTAAGTTTTTAGGGTGACTGGGGACACACGGTGGGGGGTGGAGGGGTAGAGGTATAAAAATATATATTTCTTCTTTTTTTTTGCGAGGAACAATGCATATTTCTGTCCTTGCAATCACAATATTGCACTAAAAGATGTCGCAAATATTCTTACTTACAGAGGTAGAGTAATTTCTATGAGGGCTTTGAGCATCTTCAAGACAACTTCTAGTTTTTCCATTACATAAAACAAAAAATCTATTAAGCAAATCTAACTTCATAATAGCCTAATGTCCATTGCCTTGTCTCATTCTCCGTTCTCCTCTCCGCCCACCCACCCTTTCCGTTAGTGCAGATCCAGGCCGCCCCACTCTCCGCTGTCTTCCTTGAGCGAGGAGCTCGATTGCGGTGCGCGGGGATTAGAGGAGCAGCAAACTAAGGTCATTAGCCCCTGCTACTACCGCCGCCACGCCGTCGTCGGATCGACGGTGCCGCCTCGCCATCATGAGCTCAAGGTTGAGGGAACTGCTGATCCCACGCAAGGGCGGGAGAGCGATACCTTCTTGTACGCGACGAGGGAGGGCTTGTTGGTGGCGGGAGAAGGGTAGCGACAGCGAGGAGATGGATCATGCCATTGTCATGGTCGATGTTGGAAGAAGGGAGGTGTGAGGATGAGGAAGAAGAGAGAGAAGAGGGATGAGTGACGATGACAGGTGGGGTCACATAGGCCCCACCATTTTTTATTATTTCGCGTGTGCAACTTTTATGTGAGCCTCACAGTTTTTATATTTTTTGGATCAAATTGCCACATAAATGCCACGTGGGAAGAAGACAGTCAAAGAAGCCACGTCAGGCAAAACCGGACATAATATCACCGAGGGACTTTGTTTGCACGGTTTTTCTAAGTTGGGGATGTGTTGTATCCGATTTTACGGTCCAGGGACAAATTTCGGACTCGGTGACAATTTAAAGGACCTGAAGTGAACGGCCTACTCTAATAGCATGCAAGGCCTACTCAACGGCCCACAGCCCACGGACCACAAACCCACAATCGTGGCGATGACCAAGCCCAAGAAAGCATCCACCATCCAACGCTGTTGCCTATTTAACACAGCCGCGAGGCCGGTGCCGCAACAAAGGCTGGTCCCGTTTCTCACTTCGCAACACTAGGCTTTTTGCCCGAAGCGACTCGACTCTACACCCCTCACCCTACCCTACCCTAGCAACGAGGCGGCCATGGCGGACGAGGAGCACGAGGTGTACGGACAGGAGATCCCCCTCGACGGGGAGGACGTCGACATGGGCGCCCCCGGCGACGAGGCCGCCAAGGTATCGTGGACGCTCCACGCCCCCTTCCCCTCTCTCTCTCCCCCCGACCTCCCGGACCCCCACAAACCCTAGCTTCGTCGATGGCTTCTGACCACCACCACCTCCCCCCTGGCTGCGCAGATGCAGGAGCTCGACGAGATGAAGCGGAGGCTCAAGGAGATGGAGGAGGAGGCCAACGCGCTCCGCGAGATGCAGACCAAGGTCGCCAAGGAGATGCAAGGTCAGTGCTGCCGTACCCCGTGTGTAGAGCTACCGTTTCGTGTAGATGGTTTAATCTTGTGAACAGTACTACGGCGGTTCGGGGAAATTCGAGATCTGTGATGATGCTATGGTTTACCTGTTTTGACCTTTCGTGTAGGATGTAACTTGCTTGTGCTCATCAGCGGCTTGAATCTAGCTGATTGTGTAGATGTGCTGCAGAAGTATGACTTGTGTTTTCTGTTCCGCGAAATACATATATGGAACAAATGGTTTGAAGAGTGATAAGCGGAGAGGAGCTATCAGTCCAACTTGTAGAGCTTATGCGGAAAGTGGGCTTGTAGGCGGTTTTAAGGTTTTCTTATTTGACATATGAAGTATGGTTGTATATATTGTAATAAGCACATATGTTGAACATGCTTCATATTCTTAAACACCAGTACAACGCAGCATGCTAAGGTATAGACGGAGATGCATGGTTGGGCTAGGGCTATGTGCGGTGGCGGGATTATATACAAGAGTTAGCTAGCATAATATATTAATATGTCATACTTGGGCCTTTTAAGCGGCCTTGTACGAGGTAAGCAGGCAGCTTATCCGGATATGCGGCCCACTTAGCCTTGTAAACCCCGTAGACCAAACTTCAGTTATATTTGGCAAGGCCAATGGACCTAGTATAATATAGGCGGGTACCTACAAGGTCTGATTGTTCGCCTTTTAAAACATTGATTTGGAATGTAATTTTGCTTCATGATTCGCAGTTGTTCTATTAATTTAATAGGTTGAGGTAGTTTTCTTATGTTTGGCATATTATTATATTATTTGGATGGGGACTTCCCAACCTAGGAACCAGAGTATAAACTCGAGTTCCTCATTAATTTTCTCAAAGTGGCTGCTCGGGCTTTGCAAGCAGGCTAATATGTAGACCAGGACCTTCCTGAGTAATGCTGAGCGGTTAATCTACAATGTTTACAAGCTAACCGAGCTGCTTATTTGGATAAGCGACCTGCTTACCATGTACAAGGCCTATCCATGTTGACCAACAAAGTCCCAGGCATAGTTGTTCGGTAAATAAAGATGGATTGATTGTCCATAAATAAAGATAGGGTAGTTGATAAATTGGTGAATATCGGGTTCCTTTATTGGTGTATAAAGATGGTTTCAGTACTCTCTACATGCCTGCTTACAAGGCCGCTTTCTGCATAAGCTCTACAAGGTGGGGTGACCGCACCGCACTGCATACCGCTTTTTAGAACACTGAGTGATTGTGTGTAACAGAACTTACGATAAAATAATGTTTTAAGTTTTCATTGCTGTGTTTGGGAAAATATCTTTAAATATGGTAACTTGAAATTTATGATTGCCACAAGATTTTCTTGCATGTTCTATCACATATCTGATCATTCTACTTCTGTAGGTCTGGATCCTAATGCGTCCTCATCTGAATCAAAAGAGGAAATGGACGCTCGGTCGGTATATGTTGGAAACGTAAGATTTTCATATCCTTTATTTACTATCTAAATCTATCTGATTGATCTGTTATCTGTAGTTTAAGTACCTAGGTTTATTATTAAGATTTATATTTTGCATAATGATTGCTTTTCAAACTAGAGATAAAGTTGTCGTTATCCGATAGCTCGAGAAGTCATTAAAGTGCATTTGTGATCTTTAAAGCTTTCACAGAATATCCTATCTTATTTTTTTTTCTTATATTCAGTACATATATATACCTCTTGCTCGTTTAGTTTGTTGAGCTGTTCCATTGCTTTAAACACACATCATTAACAACCCTATTTATATATAACAACTAAGGAATGCCTTTGTTTTCAGTTAATAGTATTTTCCAAAAAAAAAACTTTTCTTCTATCTTTATTTATCTTTTTAATTTTCTGGTGCATTGATTGAGCGATGGCAATGCTCGCAGGGTAGTCTGCTGTCATCAAGTCTTTGAAATCAAAATTTTGGCGCCTGGTTGAATCTCAGGACAAGTTATAGTGTTAGCTTAGTGGGGGAAGAAAAATATCCTCAAAAGAAAAGAAAAAGAAAAAGAAAAAAAGGAAAGATTTTGAAAAAAAAAATTTAAAAAGGAAAAAGAAAAAAAAAGAGAAAAGAAAAAAAAAGAGAAAAAAAGTGATAGGATGCCACCCCCCAAAGTTATGGCACTTGAGAATCACTGGCAGGGTGCATAGGTATTGTGACTGTAAGTGCATCTTCACATCTTTGCTGTTGACTCTTAAATCTGTATTGAAAGAATATTATGTATATTATGATGTTTATTCTGTTGGAATTCCTCTTTTATTCTATAATTTGTGGCTTAATATTTTACCATTCAATCAGTTTTGTTTGTTATCTTTCTCTTGTTCAGTTTCTTTGGTTTAATATGTCAGTGTAATATCTTTCCATCAGTCCGTAAATCCTTCAACAAATGATGTCTCACTGAGGTCTTGGCATAGAGTAATGATTGCACAGAGGGTGAAAATTGTGCACAAAGATTTAAGTGGCATGCATTATGATATGCCAATTTGTGCACAGTTTTATTTATATGTCTATACTACGATTTGTATTGCACGCGTCTATCTACTCCACAATTTTCTTGATACAAAATCTGAACTGGTACTCTTATCTCTTAATGTTTGGTTTTGCATGTTGATCTTTCTTATGCTTATTACTTAGCAATATATGTGCCCTCAATTTTTTTTCCTGCTGCTATGATCACTGCAGGTTGACTATGCATGCACCCCAGAGGAAGTCCAGCAGCATTTTAATTCCTGTGGAACGGTCAACAGGGTGACAATCCTGACAGACAAGTTTGGGCAACCAAAAGGTTTCGCTTATGTTGAATTCCTTGAAGTAGAAGCTGTTCAGGAAGCTGTTAAGTTGAACGAATCAGAACTGCATGGTCGCCAAATCAAGGTGAGATGTGAATTCATTTTAGTCAATCCAAAATTTGCTCCCTTGTTTACAGCCACCTATTTGGCATACTGACAGTCCATCCACTTTGATATACTCAAATTAGGTGGCGCCAAAGAGGACTAACGTCCCTGGGATGAAGCAGCCCCGCGGAGGCAGAGGATTCGGTGGTCATCCTTATATGAGGCCATATGGAGCACCATTTTACAATCCCTATGGTTATGGGTGAGTGAGAGTTTGCACTTTCTTGCTTAGCAAATACTAGCAACCTCGCTGTCTTTGTTCTCTCTGAGATAGAATCTTATGCCCAGTTTGCTCTCTTTGCGTTGCAGATACCCCAGATTCCGCCGTCCACGCAGGCCATACTTTTGAAGCTGTCTTCGTGGAGTCTTCAGCACATGACATTAGTCCAATAGCCCAAAGAATCCGTCGTTGTTGCTGTATTTCGATACTTCATAGTTAGCAACTATAAAGTTCGATCACTTTCTTCACAGGGTGTTTTTTGTTGTTTAAAGATATGTGCAAATTCAGGCAGCAGCATTATGTACTATTAACTTCGTTTATGTGGAAGTGCGCACTATTTTGGGTTTTGGCTGCATTTTTGGTTTCCATCTTTTCAATTCAATTATAGCTTATTGCTTCAATTGCCGTTGCCAGTAGCAGGATTAGTTTGTCTGCTTTTCTCTCACTATCTTGAGATGCATCGTATTTTAATCGTGGGATGAATGAAAAATGATTTTTTTTATTAGTACGTGTAGGACGAATGAAAAATAAACTTATTTTACGATGTAGTGGTAGGGAGATCACGAGCATACCCGCATACGGTTGTTTATCATTAACGTTTGGATAGTAGTAGTTTGTATCTCAAATTGTCACACACCCCAAGTAATTACAGTAGAAGATTTCACAAAACTTTCACCTCTTTCATAGTCGAAGCTTGTTTTTACCAAAGTCCCTGTATTTCTGAAAGCATTTGCTGCTCACACTGTTACAGTTATAAGGGGATGGAAGAGATTGGGAAAGAAGCAATGCTGTGAGCACAAAAGTATTTGTAAAGTTCCATCAACTGCCAAAGATATCATCTTAATCCAACGATTTAAAATTCATTATTAGCACAGGATCCCACCTCAAACAAAGGAAAAGCCACAGAATAATGTGGGATTGTCCATTGGGCATTCACTATTCAGACCAGACCTGATAAAACACCAAACGTACATATCGATAGCTGCTCCCATTGGAATGCCCAGCAGTGGTGCGTGCATTGCCAAAGTTGCAGAGTCAGAAAGAGAACGCCGTGGAAGCAGTGATGCATGGCAAATGTCAGGTGTAGCTTGCCTTGCAAGAGACAACTGACACGCCATGTAACTGATTCCAATCCATCTGACAAAAGAAAAAAACACTGCTTCATCACAAGATTTTAGGACAAAATCTAGGATCTGGCACCAGTGGCCACCATTGTCTGGTCTAAATGCAGGGTGGGCATCTCACTGTTACTTCTTGGAATTGCTATGACATGCAGTACTACACCTTCAATACTGTAGTCCCTGGCATACCAGGCCACATCTTGTCCAATAGAAAGGGAGATAGTAGTAGTAGAAGTCATAGAACCGCAGTATAAAAGAGAACTAGTACAGGATTACAGGCGCATGGAAAACCTCTGAAATAAATTACTAGTACTGAAACAAATTTGTAGCAACATTGTTTCAGTACTACCAGACCATGTTGCTATTTTTTATGTATAAACACCAAACATTTTATACTACCAGATAGTTGGCTTCAAATATCTGCAAGCTAGGGGATGACACAAATACAAGCACATACTAGTACTAAGGAAGCTGATGTTTAAAACTTGAAGCACATAAGAGGAAGCAGCAGGAATACACAGGCACTTTTCTGAAGATCTTGATGCAGCTTTCATGGAGATGGCGGCCAATCAAAACCAGCATGGCTTTCACTAAATCCACCACCATAAAACCTTACTTCTAAGCCCTCAAGACCTTGACCATCGTCCCATATGCCCTCGTCATCGCTCCCCGCCGCATAATAATCATCATCCATGAGCTCCCAATAGATGGAATCATCCGAGTCATCGGAACACTCCTCCCAGAAGCTGTTCTCATAGCAGTCGTCCACATAGGGGCCAACGACTTTCAGCCCAGGATAGCTCTCTTGCAATAGTTTATCGTCAACATTCCAGCAGCCACGCAGATCTAAGAATTTGAGATCATGACACTGAGAGGCAATCTCAACAACAGCCTTCGTTGCAATGAGCATGTACCCTATCTCAAGATGACGGAGCTTTGGCATATTGCAAGCAATAGCACGAGCCTCATCATGTTGACTGGCCCTACCGACAACATCTGTAGGGTGCATGACTCGCCGAAGTCCGATCAGGGATTTACAATGCTTGCCGAATGCTTCTAGAGCACGAGCACCGATCTTAGTACAGCTGCTTATGTCCAAGAATGTAACGTTGGACAATCTTGGCGCAACATTTTCCACTAAGGAGTCGCTGATATCACTCCTTGGAAGCTCCATGGTTTTAAGTGACCGTGCACTTGCAAAAGCAAATAAGTACTATCAAACAAAACATAATGAAGTAGGATCACTAATAAATCACAAGAATTATGTACTGCATACCCCCGTTATTTCAGGTTTATAGATGGAAGGCTCACCGGATATGCCAAAATGGATATGTCTTGTGCAGTAAAAATATTCCAATTGAGAATATGTACTAAATCAGTTAATGGTACACACGACGTGGTGGGGGAATGTACAGGATACTGTATTGCTGCTTTCAGCATACATCATAATCAATCTACAGACAATTTAAAAGGCAAGGATCACTAGTACTATTTTGGCAACTGATAGACCTTAATAAACTGAAGTCTTTTCTGTTTGTACTGATGTGATTTGGATGGGCAGAATTTGACAGCATTAATCCCCAAAACATACATGGGGCATAGTTGTTTGGACACGGCCAAATCTAGCACATATTGATTGAAGTTTAATGTGTGAAGATAAATAAATAAAAGGAAACACCTTAGCATATGTCTACCTAATCAAGATGATCCAGAACACACGCTGCCCCTTGTCAATTCAAAGAGGATAGAGGATACTGTATCCCCGTGATCCAGTTCATATCATGCAGCTTCACAAATCATATATTACCTATCAATGCATCCCATGGCAATGTAGGCCATCTCTTGAGCAAACGGCCCAGCGCATTATGCAATGATGAGATGTAAATTAACTGTCTAATTCTCTAGCAAATTCATGTGCAACCGTCTGGTTATAAGGTATCGTACCGTTTCCATTCAAGCGATCTAACCTCTGCAATGAAGGAAAGGACCACACATGATAAAATGATTTTGATTAACTCTACTTACTGGTCCCCAATGAAGGTGAACAATGGATCGCCAGGCAGGCCGGACACGCTAATGCGGTGGAACGAGCCGCCGCTTCGGGCGACGAGCATGCGAACCATGCGCTTGAGCTGGTCCGGCTTGCTCTGCTGCTGGCTCCACTCCTGGATGTCGATCTCCTGCCAGCAGTAAGGCCCTGCAACCACCCGCCCCCAGGATTTGCAAACCCGCGGCACCACGGTGAGCACATCCTTGAGTGAGAGTTTGCGAAAGATGAGGCCCAGTGCGTCCGGTAGTAGCTCGTCCCAACACCTGTGCTCACTGCACTCCCCCATGCCTCAGTGCTGACCTTCAGAGGCGATATTTTTCGACTACCTGTGCCAAGAACAAAGATTAAGTAATTTTCTAGCAAGATTAACCTTAAAATTCACAAAATTTAAGTGATTTACTAAGGATTTTATAATTAAACGGCCTCGATTTCTTCCCCTCCTTGTGTCGGTGAACACAGTGCTAAAAATTATAGTTTTCTTAATAACTTTATTGGATGAAACACATGCTATACGCAATTCATAGGAAGAAAATGGCAGAGAAAAAAAATCCCACAATAAAGAGGCAAATACTAAGAATCCAAAAAAACTAACAGCAAATTAAAAAAAAAATCCCATCCCCTTCCTGCGGACACGAGGTTCAGTTGAACCCCCAATTTCTCGAGGAACACAGGCTGCTACGACTACGAGTACTACACAACGCATCAAAGAAATCCACAACAAACTGGATGATGGGTCAGTTCGAGGGGAAGAAACCAATCCAGCTTAATCCTCAAGACCGGGTGGCTCACATAAAATGGCGCAAAAAAAAAGATGGACACGAGAGGGCGGGGTTGGGAAGGAGAGGAGGAGGAGGGGGCGGTCACCGCACCTCGCCAGCCGGCCTTCCCGGCGGCGGCGGCGCGCGCGCGAGGAGGGGAGGGCGAGGCCGACCTCCGGTCAGGATTCCTCCGGCTCGGCGCTGCAGAGGGAGGAGGGAGAGACGCAGAGGATGCGGGGAGAAGAGAGGAAAAAAAGGATGGAGGGGAAGGGGAGGCAAGGGCATCTCGGTAATTCGTCATTTTTTGTCGGTCTTTTTTCATTCAAAATTAAAAGGGCAAGAATCCTCAAAAGTCAAAACCTGGGTTAAGGTCTCAATAATAAATTATTATCTACCACAAAATAATAAAATATAAGAGCATGTAGGCTCTTATTACTAAGCTCTCTGTATAGTTTGCGAAAATAAAATTTTTGGGTATCACATCGGGTGTTTGACCGAATGTCGGAAGGGGTTTTTGGACACGAATGAAAAAAACTAATTTCATAACTCGCCTGAAAACCGCGAGAGAAATTTATTAAGCCTAATTAATCCGTCATTAGCACGTGTAGATTAATGTAGCGCTTATGGTTAATCATGGATTAATTAGGCTCAAAATATTCGTCTCGCGATTTTCATGCAAACTGTATAATTAGTTTTTTTATTTTATCTATATTTAATGCTCCATGCATGTGTCAAAGATTCGATGTGACGTTTTTGGGAACTAAACAAGGCATTAGTGACATAGGAAAAAAAAGCAAGGAAGGTTACACATGATATTAGAGTATACTCTTAGTATTTATTAGAAAATATTTTATTGCATGGGGTTGAAAGAAAGGAAATAAGAGGGAAAAAAAAGATTTTGGTACCTTAATGATTGAGACCATATAGTCTCTATAGTCTCTAGGTGTATAGTGCTCGCACCTGATTTTAACTTCGTACATGCCCTAAGGGGTTTTAAAATTGGATACTCTCTCCGTCCTAAAATATAAAAAATTTAGTGCGATGGGATATATGCTAATACTACGAATTTGAACAAGCAGCCTGACAGAGTCGTACGTAGTACTAGAATATATTCCATCCAGCCAAAACTCCTTATATTTTGAGACGGAGGAAGTACAAAAGTTGACAAAAATTAAATGAGTAAGGTTTTGATTGGTTAAAAAGAGGGGAATATTTTGATTGGTTGAGAAGAGTAGTTAGGTAAGGAATTTGAATGGTGCAGATTGTGATTGGTTGAAAAAAGAATATAGATAGAGATGTTATATTTTGCGATAAAATTTAAAGGATAAAGGTGGTTATATTATAGATGGCCAAAAGGCCCAAGGCCCGACGGCCCGGCCCATGGCACGGTATTTTGGCCCGGCTCAAGCACGGCACGGCCCGACCACTGGGCCGTGCCTGGGCCCCTCCACCGGCACGTTGGGCCGGCAGCTAGGCTCGATACACAAAAAAAATATGGGAGTAAAAATAGACATATTATATGCCATGGATGAAAGAATAAGGATCTAAAATAGACTTTTTTATGTATACATATGTCAACCAAAGAGGAGGGATGGAAAATAGACTTATTTAGCTATACATATGTCAGCCCAAAGAGGAGGGACGGAAAATAGACTTATTTTAGCTTACATATGAAATTGCCCAAAGAGGAGGGAAGAGAAATAGGGCCTGTTCACTTTGATGAAAAAAAAAACCTTACCAAATTTTGGCATTTGCCAAAATTTTGGCAGGATTTCTTATATAGTTAACAAAATTTGGCAGCAAACTAAATATAGCCACTTTTTTTTGATAACTTTACCAAAATTTGGTAAGGTTGAAAATGGCATCAAAGTGAACAGGCCCATAGACTTATTTTAAAAAAGGCTCGATGGGGCAACCCATGACTTTGGGCCGGCACGGCACGGCCCGACAGCGGGTGGGCCGTGCCTGGGCGGGAGGTGCAGCCCATGGGCCGGCACGGCCCGGCACGAAGTGCCTATCGGGCCGTGCCGGCCCGATGGCTACTGGGCCGTGCCCAGCCGTGCCTGGGCCGGGCCGTGCCGGGCGGGCCCTTTGGCCATCTATAGGTTATATTTTAAACGAATGGAGTATGAATCATGAGTGATGGATAAGACTGAGTTAGAAATAGAAGGATTAATGTTAAGAAAGTTGATAGCTTTATTGCGTAGGATTTTTCCTTTTTAGAGAAAAAATGTGCCGCTTAGGATATTGGGATAATCTGTAATGAATGGAATTAGAATTTCTGTTGAAAACTTCAAACAGATGATATGGAGTAAGTAATATAAACAAATAACCAATAGACTTCACAGTGAATAAACAAAATTAAAACTTTCCAGACTTAAAAAACTTGCTAATGGAACATATAAAACTAATCGTACTAGAGATAAGAGTAAATGCATGTTGCTGATGTTGTGGCTCAGAGCCTCAGACTAATAGTAGGTCCATGTTAATTAATATTTTTGCTTTTTGCTAATTATCTTTGCAAAATGAATTACCTTGGATCATGTTCTTCTTCTACAGCTCAGCTCTTCTCTATCCCCACCCCTTCTATTCTATTTATGCGATGTTTGAGAGGAGTGTGTTAGAGAAGATATACAAAACAAGATGAGTCATAATCACATGCTTGAAGAATGGACTAATATAATTTTAAAAACAACTTTGCTATATATTTTTTTTCAAAACCACATCATTTAGCCATTCGGTAAACATATACGTGTAAAATGTAACGGTTTTTATCTCTTTCTCTTGTTGTTGAACACAGTCTTAGAGTACTCTTGGCAAAAAAAAAACATGCTTGTACATCTGTACAACTGTTGTAGTGCTTTTGTTTTTTTATCTTTTATGTGTGTGTGTATATATATATATATATATTTAAAGTTGTTTGTTATCTTTAGTTATAAAAAAACACACTACTAGGCAAGGCCTGATAGTATTTCCAAAAAAAAAAGAGCTTGTACCACATCAATATCTTTCTCGACACAAATTATCTCTCTAAACTGGTAACTTCCTCAATGCCATACCAAACATAGAGGTTGTTGCAGAATGAAAAAAAAATCAAAGCTAGTTATTAGCGTCGTCCTCTGTATTATTAACTTTCAACGTGTCTCAATATACTTCTCTTTTTCATTGAGAACCTACTGACTCTCATCGTTTGCCTATTGACTTATTGGTTGTATCTAAAATTTAATTTTGAATGTTAATTTTAGTGTTGATTTATGAGTTTGTCATCATAGTCTATTTTCTAGCCTTGACTTTAACTACTATAATTCATATATTCATTTTTCTGTAGCTTATCAGCGGTAGCCGTAGCTCAACACTACAGATGAGGCCAACAATATGGATGAATAGATGCATGCTAAAGAGAACAGCGAATATGACGTCTATGGTTGACGATGGCAACAAGAATTCCACTGGAGAGGTTGTAGGCGAGAGTTCTTTTCTTGATGCCAACAAGATTCATGGCAACATAGTATAGTTGTCTCTTTATATAAAAGAAGTCCATTTAGATTGGTCTTTTTTTTTTACATTAGTAGTCGTTCTAGATACAACTCTTTCTCATTGTATTGCATTCTGAGGTTTACTATAACAATTTTAGTTTGAAATACTAAATATAGTGGCTTCAAAAGTCCACGACACCAATCTGTTTGCCTTCCTCGATCAGCATTGCTTATACTTAAAGGTAATTATACTCGACTCAAGATCAATATTTATTACCATTATATTTTTAGATAAGAAAGATGAGGTATTTTGTGTGCATATCCATTCATTTTAGAAATTAATTATATACGTGTAAGAAATGTCCAAAAACACTTTTAGATCCTCCAAAAGTCTCAAATACCACAGACAGGAACTATGCATAACCACAACCACAATTCCACAAAATATCCACAGATACACATTACCCAATTTCACACATGCCGGTTGCACATTTCAATCGTTAAGGCTAGCTGCGTGCATGCCGCTAATCATTGTCCTCTCCACGGAAACAAGCACTGTGCTAGCTAGTAGCTTCCAAGCAAAAACAGTGCAGATTCCGGAGAAGCATCCATCGACGGCGACGTCTCTCCTCTCCTCCTCCTCCTCCTCTCCTTTTCGCGTCGACCGACCGGCCGCCATGAGGAGAGGGGTTGTTTGCGCGTGCGAAGCTTGGGATGACTAGGGCCACTCGCTCGATCGATTGAATCAATAGATGCCGATACCGAATGCGTGATGGGATGGGCTCCTCTCGACCTACCTATCCACAATGGATTTTAATCCCTCGAGGACGTATCCCTCTATATATTTTTCTCTTAAAGTTAGTGTATTTGTTTGTGAGAAATTCTTTAAGAAAACTGATAATGTAAAGTATATTTAAATACAGACAACGTATAAGTCAGAATTTTTATATTTTTCTATATACACGATAGTAATGAACTCTAATGTCAGGATTCGTAACAGAAATTATAGGATATAAAGGTTTCGCTTAAAATAAAAGTTTTTACGTGATTTCTTCATAGAAAAATAATCCTAACAAACAATGTTGTTTTTACAACATGCAAGAGACAATTCAACACCTGTTTTTTTGTCATATTGCTCGTTTTGCTTGGCAATGTATATTCTTTTCTTTTAATATCCCTCTCCTGAAAGCGCCAATAATATTTTTGGCAATTGTCTTAGGGAGTGCCTAGATCTATGAAAAAATAATTTTTATTTGGGGCTAGTGTATTTTGTTTGTCAATTTGGTGTTGTCGAAATGATAAAATATTTATAAATTTTAAAATTTATCTAACCCTATATAGATTATTTTCATGTGTTCCAGTTAGCTCCAATATTAATATATAAAGTTATCACATAAGAAGTATAATATCATGAGCAGTGGTGCTATACTCTTAGAATCAGTTGTTAAGGATATTTTATTATATTATGGATGGATAACATATATCGGCTTAATTATTAGAATTTTTATGATCCTTTTAGCATGCCAATTGTTTTTTATTTTTAAGGGTAGCAGAGGATTTGTCCCATCACTCTTTTTATTTATTTCAATAAAAACTAATTGGTTGTGTGTCTTATGATAAAGACCAAAGATATAATACATTTCTATTATTTAAAAAGATATATCAAGTTCAAACTCGTTTACACATTTTTTTTTTTAAAAAAAAGAAGACATTCACTTATAAGTAGTACACAGTATTTATAAATTGGATTTGTTTTTTCTTTCGTTTCTCGATATGTGAGCTGATTTTAGACTAAGACTTTATAGAGAATATATGTATGTTATCAAAACTTTAAGGACTTTGTTATAACTATTTATTGAATATTATTTGAACAAATGAGAGGGCATTTTCTCAAGGGATTAAAGGCGGCTATCTTTTGTTGATTAGCTGCATACTTGATACTTTGCTAGCACTCCGTGCCCCATCATCCGTCGCCCCCAAGGCCCCAACACATGCGAAACTGCAGCTTTTGTCCGAACGAATGCCATGCTGCCAACTGACGGGTCCAGGTGCCCGGACCGGAGAGAATGCTACCTTGTGAAGAAACATAAAGGCAGGGATCCTTCCCGACCAAATTAGTTTTAACCACCTTTCAAAAATTAAAGGCTCCTGTTAAAAAAAAAGAAGGAAATATAGAGGATTGAAATCCTATGGAAAATAATTCTATTGAATCCTTTGGAAAAAAAATGGCCTCCTTAAAATTCTTTAGAATTCCTATGGAATGGTCCATTTCATAGGAATTTTGGAGGAAAACTAATCTCTCTTTCTTGTGTCTTGAACTCCTATGATTTTTCCTTCATTGTTGCCAAACAACATTTGTTGTAAATTCCTGTGTATTCGTCTCCTGTAGGGTTCAAGAAAGCATGACATTTTATTCCCGTGTTTTTTCCTCTCTTTGAATCCTGTGTTTCAAAGGACCAACGGAACGAATGGATTTTACAGAATTTTGGAGAAAACGAACTAATTACAGTGAAAAGCTCATAAAGTTTATGTGTTCCAAAGGAGCGCTGAGTATTAACGAAGAGCAGTTAACTTGCTTTGAAAATCAGCGGTAAAAGTGGCATTCGTATGAAAGGCTTGTAGTTTGACATCCTAAAGCCTCGATATCCTAGCATGCTGTTGAACAAACCTCAAGTTGCTAGGTCAACAAATTAAGCCATTCGCTTTCATTTGACAAACTTGCTCATAGGGATCAGGGAGTGCCAGAATGCCACTGGAACTCATTTGTGAAAGGAAGAAAGTGTTGTGCACATAGCACCAGTCTTTTGAAAACCAGTAGATATTACTACCATGCATGTGCCTACTGCCTAGTACTACTTATCCAGTCAGTTTTTCTTAAAAAAAAAAAGTCAGTACTCCTTCCCAAAAACTTTTTCCCAAAAATATCAAATCAATTCTTTGGATACTTACATGGAGTATTAAATATAAATAAATTTAAAAGCTAATTGCACAGTTAGGGGAGAAATCACGAGACGAATCTTTTGAGCCTAATTACAGTTAGGGGAGAAATCACGAGACGAATCTTTTGAGCCTAATTAGTCCATGATTAGTCATAAGTGCTACAGTAACCCACATGTACTAATGATGGATTAATTAGGCTCAAAAGATTCGTCTCGCGGTTTCCAGGCGAGTTATGAAATTAGTTTTTTCATTCGTGTCCGAAAACCCATTCCGACATCCAGTCAAACATCCGATGTTACATCTAAAAATTTCTTTTTCGTGAACTAAACAGTTGGGACCCCCTTTCTCAAGTCTGAAACAACACTGATTGAGCAATCGCTTGCACTCAATCAGTCGCTTACAGTCCTACACCTCCGTTGGTTTGCCTGTCCAATCTGCTTCATTTCGAGTTAACACGTTAGTACTTAGTACTACTTTGCCGCTTCATAATAGAAGTTTTGATTTGTATAGTCAATTTTGAAGGATTGAAAGATTTCCCAAACTCTATACCACTTGCGGATTCTTGTAAAATTCACGTACTCCAAAGGAGGTATGAAAGTAATTCAGAAGTAAAATTGAAAAGAGCATACCAGAGGACATGCTGCAGTAACCAAGGTAATCGGACGTTGAATATTTAAATTTTGGCTAATAAGCATAAGCATATGCGAAAAAATGAGGTTCACAAGCTCACAGCCTCGCACGTTTTACTTCGCGAAAAGAAAATTTTTAGATGTCACATCGGATGTTTGACTGGATGTCGGAAGGGGTTTTCGGACACGAAAAACTAATTTCATAACTCGCCTAGAAACCGCGAGACGAATCTTTTGAGCCTAATTAAGTTGTCATTAGCATATGTGAATTACTGTAGCACTTTATGGCTAATCATGGACTAATTAGGCTAAAAAAATTCGTCCCGCGATTTCCATACAAACTGTGTAATTAGTTTTTGTTTTTATCTATATTTAATGCTATATGCATATGTCTAAAGATTCGATGTGATCTTTTTGAGAAAAAAAATTTGGTAACTAAGGCCGTGTTTAGTTCCCTGTCCAAATTTTTTTTAAGTATACGGACACACATTTGAAGTATTAAATGTATACTAATAACAAAACAAATTACAGATTCCACCTGTAAACTGGGAGACGAATTTATTAAGCCTAATTAATCCGTCATTAGCAAATGTTTACTGTAGCACCATATTGTCAAATCATAACGTAATTAGGCTCAAAAGATTCGTCTCGCAATTTACATGCAAACTGTGCAATTGGTTTTTTTATCTATATTTAATGCTCCATGCATGTGTTCAAACATTTGATGTGACGGAATTTTTAAAAGTTTGAAAGTAACTAAACACAAACACAGCATAAACCAGGCCTTATATCGAAAGGGAGAGGAAGAGAGATATCATACTGCAAGGTTAATGAACATAAATGTTCACTGAGCTGACAGCCAACAAAGCGAGGTTTGGGTGCTTGCTTCGGCAGAGAAATAGAAAACGTTTTGGGCCCATGCAATTATCTACTCCAGTAAGCTACTCAATGCTGCTTGCAGGCTCATCACATGCAAAAGGAATCAAAATCATCGCCTTCGCTCGCTGAGCTGCCACCATGCTTCCAAATGAGAAACGGGTGGTTGGTAGCTAGGACATCTTCACCTCTGCAAATTCACGCTACAAACATTAGACAGATAGCTTTTGCAAAACACGGTTACACAGCTTGGTTACCATGGCAGGAGGATGTTTATTCATGAAATAGCACCAAACAGTGTACCTTCACCAACAACAGAAACTGTTTCACTTCCCAGTCATCCACATCAAAAAGCCTGAGTACATGGAGTTATTAATATTACCACTACCAGCCTGTCCAGAGGGGAATCCCCAAAGCAATGTGAGCTGAACAGGAACAGACAAGGTCCAGAATTTAAGCTCCACAGCGGGTGTGATGAGGAACTACTACGCTACAGCACAACGAATGATGAAACGCTATGCTATCCATCATGCAGAAACCGAGCACATCCCCTAAGCCGGAGCCCATAACGCTAGAAGGAAAGTGAGCTTCTATAGGTACAGACATTGAGCAGCATCGCTGTACATCAGTCTTTTGCATCCAGGCGGAGTACTTGCAGAACATGATGGTGTGTGTGTGTGTTCTGGACATTTGCCTCGAAGCAGAGGGGTTTTGGATATTGCTTCAGTCCTCCCTGAAAAAAAAATGGAACAGAGATATCAAATGTCACGTCACATCTCATGACCCAAAAATGTTGACGACACATTAATTTATGAGGCAGCAAGGAGGGTACAGCTCCACTATAAGTACAAGCAACAAACTTACTGTTCACTTAGACGGCTTACCAGGTTGTTCCAACAATATTTTTGTGCTCTTAAACTTAAGACTGGCATCTACTGACTGTAAGAATAACACGTGTTGTCTACAAGTATAACCCAAGCAACAAGGGGTCAATCTCAAATGGAGGATCTTATTGCACATTTAGGATAAACATTTCAATTCAGTTCAGTTCAGACTCCAGCCTGAGATGGATTGTGGTAAACTTGGTTGCAGCAGTTTGGATAGCTAACTTTCGTAAATTTATGTTGCAAAAGTAAGATATTGTTGTTTTTCGAAAAACAGAACTAGTGCGAGGGAACTGTAGCTGGATAACAAAATTTATCTAACTTTTATCTCATAATCCGAATACTACTACTACTTTGCAACTGCATTTCTACAGCAAATTTTAAAGTGCACCACAGAAAGGTATAGCAACAGAAAAATGGCCCTTAATTGGCACAGAAAATATTCAAATGATAATTTTCTTAACCAATTCTAGTGTCGTTGACTCTTATCTTTGTAATGGCATAATACACAAAAGTTAAGTTTCTAATTGCTACAGCATGTTGCAAGACCCAGCAATTTATTTTCAATGTTGCTTTACCTAGTATGCAAGAGGGGCGAGTTAGCAGGCTTTAAAGACCGCTTAATCGTAATACTAATTATATTTATGAATCTACTTTTATATAATGTACAGAAAATAAACTAACATGTGGGCTCTTATGCAGGCCAGCAGGCTGCTCACTTGCATCCTTAAATAGTGCCGACATAAACTATGTCACACCCACATCACAGAAGATTATGCTTGGTGTAGTACTCCAGAAAGTCAGAGGCACCAAGAATAATTCAAAAGGAAACCATTACAAAGAACAGCTTCCATAAGATAGTACCACACTGATTTCACAATTCTAGTTTTTGTAAAGTGAACATAGAAAACTATATTGAATTCATATTGAAGAATAAAAAAAAATCAATGGATACACATTTACTGAAATAGATCAACCAGCACACAAAATGCAAGAATTTTTTGCAGTAAGCGTCTACAGAAAATATGGCCATTTGAGCAAAAGGAACAAACTACAGCATTCTGAATGATGGAGGCATATAAAAGAATCGCAAAAACCTAAACATAAGAAGGCCAGGTTAATCTCAATCAGCACGAGGAGAAACTCAGCTACTCATTATGGAATGTGAACATAAAATCAAATGACATAACTACTTAATTCGTTGTTCCAATTGTTTCATAAGCCCAGTCATTTTAGTTTCCTGTGTGCTGCATGCGAACAAAGAAGTGCCATTCCAAGTCCATTCACACAATCTTAACTATGTCCATTCTGTTTTCATACTGGGAATGGTTGACCCTTACAGCTAGCAGGTTGGTGACCAGGCACCTTATTCTTAATTTGAGACTACCATTAATAGCAAAGGTAATCAACAGCGATAGACAGTAAAACTCATTGATGAAAAAGAGAAAAGGGTTCAGAAAACTGATGTGAAACAGTTTAACAATGTTTTGATCATCACTTTTGCACAACGTAGTAAGAGATTCATGCATACAATCTTAAAAACCAAGCTATTTGACCGTGGCTCTGTCACCACAGATTAGAAAATTTCAAAGATGCTAAAATAAACTAATTTGCAGGTTTAGCTTAAATAAATTTCAGCAGGGCCTACTTCCAACCGTACACTGCTAGATTCATGCAAATTATCAAGAAATCAGGGCTAACAAAAATTTAAAAGAACTGTTGCATGTTCTGAATTGATAAAAGCATGAATCTGGCATTCATTTTCCTACTAAAAATGGAGTGTAGATATAGGTAAGCATAGTTCCTTGTACTATCATAAAAAAGACATGTGTTTTTTGGTTTTTAAGGAAAAGTAAAAAAGATAAACATCCTGGAATTCACACAAGAAACAAGTACATCATGCTATTTGGTTTTGTGGACCTTAACTTATAAGTTGTAAAATAAATCCAGCTCTATGTCTTGTTCGTTTCTCCAACAAGAGGGGGATGAAATTTTGGATACTCGTCGCACGCTTTTCAAACTGCTAAACGGTGTGTTTCATGAGAAAACTTTCTATATGAAAGTTGCTCTAAAATGTTAGATTAATCCATTTTTCAAGTTTGTAATAATTAAAACTCAATTAATCACACGTTATTACCACATCATTTTGCGTGAAACACTTAATCTTTATCTTAATCTTCATCTTCAGGAGATTCAAACACCACATACATTGCGGTGTATATTTTGTCACATAAAGCGTAATATCCATCAAAACAGCATTTGATAATTCAAAATTATTTCATATTATCACTGAAGACTATACTCAATTGAATGATTGATAAAAAAACCCCATAATCTGTTTTCTTATCTAATATAAAAATTCCACGTTAGAGCACTTCTACAGAAAGATTTATGTCAAAACTCCAAATTAACAGATATTGAAACCATTGGCTCAATTGTATTTTATTTTTCCTCAGTTTTTTTCAATTGTAAAAACTTCTAGTTTTATCATTTGAGTCAAAATATCCATACTCTAGCTAAGGGTCCCAACTTTCTGAAGTCATTGATGTGCTGAATATCGTGTAGGATGGTGGTGCATACAGTCATAGTCACATATTGGCCATGAAACATCTTGAATCTAGTGTGTAGTGTTCACATCATTTTGTACTAGCATCAGTTCTCCACCTTCAAAACCATCATGGTAACTAAAGCCTATATAAGGATGCAGAACTGAATCACTCCGTGTGCAATTCACTGTTTACTGTATTTCTTAGTAGTTCTTTCCTATCTTTGCATAGCTTTGTGTGATAAACAAGTATCAACAACTGCCACCAAATACATCGCAAGGTAAATTAAAGAATGTTCATGATCCATACCATTTGATGAGTGAACCAAAGAGGAAATGCTGCATAATCGGCACTTTCTCAAGCACCTCAGCCTTGTACATCTTGAGCAGCCCGCTGTTCACCTTCTTCCAATGTGGTACGCCACTGATATCATCCAACATTGGCGAGTGCTCTGCGAACGGCCCCTTCTTCACCTTCTTCACATAGGCAACGCATGCGAGGTACATATACTCCTTTGAGAAGTTATCCAGGATATCCGGGTTGTGGATCGACTTGGGCTTCATGTACTTGTGATCAATCAACTGCGCCGCGCCAAATATGAATGGGAGGAAGTGGTAATCGTCGAGCCCCCACACGCCATGCGAGCCAGCGGGCTCCAGCAAGTAGGTGTCCTGAAGCGTGCGCATTAGGTCCAGGTATGCAGCGAAGACCCGTAGCACAACCGCGGGGTAATCAGCCTCGGTGATGAGCCCAAGCCGTGCTAGGCAGTAGAGGAACGCCGCGAAGTTGGTCTCATGCCCCGTGCCGTAGTCGATGCGGGTGGCGTTGCCGAAGGAGTCGAGAAGGTACGGCGCAAGCTCGGCCTCGGCGCCGGCGAGGTCGGGCGACCCGGCGGTGGCCATGATCGGAGCGATCAGCTGGTTGGCCGAGTCGGAGAGCTTCTCGTGCCACAGGCGGAAGGCGGGGTTGCCGTAGCGGGAGTTGTGTGGGAGCGGTGGGGTGGACGCGACGAAGGCGGAGAGCGCGGAGATGAGCTCGAGGAGCGCGGAAACGACCGGGGATGGCGGGGACGGGAGCGGGTCGGAGAGCTTGCGGCCGTGGACGGAGGCGGAGAGCGCGGCGACGAAGCCGAGGAAGTGGCGGCCGTGGACGGAGGCGTGGAAGCGGGCGATGTCGTCGGGGGAGGTGATGCGCTTGGCGGGGACCTGGAAGGCGAACGGCGGGGAGGCGGGCGGCACGGGGAGCGGCTGGGGCACCGGGGAGAGGACGATGGCGGCGGTGTTGGTGGGCGCGTTGATGGCCGGCATGCGGATGGGGCGGTACGCAGGCGGCGGGGAGTCGGAGGACGCCGACCAGGGGGGAGGCACGGGCGTCGTCGTGGGCGCGCCGCAGGAGCGGCAGAGCGGGGCGTGGCCCGCGTGCGCGGCGGAGCCGGGAGGCGGGCAGGATGTGGCGGATGGTGGTGGTGGGTTCGATTCGGGGTTGGACATGGCTGCCGGTGTCGTCGTCGTCGGCGGCGGCGGCGGATCGGAGACGGGAGTGGGTCGACGAGGGCTGCTACTGGAAGGCACTACGGCGGCTGGTCGCTAGAGAAGAGGAAGCTGCGGCTCGCCAAAATGGTTTGGGCTGATGGGCTCCATGGGCCAGTATTTGGGTTGAAACTGGATAGCCCAGCCTTCTTTCGTCAGGAGAAGCTTCCAAAATTATTATTTTTTATAAAGAGACTACTAAGTACTAATAGGATATATTTATTATCGATAATTGTTTCTCTCAAAAAAATTGAAAAATATAAATATAATATAGTCGAAGTATAATTATATTGTAACTCGCATGTAACTATAACATAAAAATCCCACAGTTGCATGCTATTTCCGTGAAGCGGTGATTGCGAGACCGAATCGGCGAATCCCCCTTAACAACATGCCTATTATGATTTTTTTTCCAACCTCGTTTGCATGAATCGTAAAGAAAGTCTAATGGTTTAAAATTGTATAAAAGTTGCTTAGAAGTTATATTGTAATTGTATATCGGTTACGATTTAATTTTACACTACAATTATACTATATTTACATTTGAACTTTTTTATGAGAAATTTTATCGATAAGTATACAGCAAAACAGTTTTTTAATAATGGATAATTCGGTATTTACTTTAAAAGAAGTTACAGTCAATTACTACAAAGTTTTTAGCATAGTAATAACAGATGAAGATTTCCGATTTTTTATAGAACAGTTTTGTAGTTTATTCGTGAACCTGATGCGCGGTTCGGAAAATGGAATCGCTAGAATTGTGTTGACACATTTTCTCCTCCATCACAGTCGGCGTTTTGAAGCGTCTGATTTCCTTTGTCCCGTGCCGTGCATATTGCTATGGCAAGCTAGCGTTGCGGCTGTCAACATGATTAATTAAAGCTTAACATCTTCATTTGTTCAAGGTTTTACAAGCATGCATACTATACTTTATACAAATTTACATCCCACTTACACATCACTTACACATGTAATTATTGTGTAATTTTGGGACTTACATATGTAATTTTGAAACTTACATTATAAATACACTAAATTTACATATGTAATTTAGGGATTTACAATGTAAATACATGCTAGCTATTTTTTGGTGAAAAATATGGTATCATAAATATAGCTACTCCCCGGAAAAATGTCGCTCAAATATCAGAACCGCAGAAATCGCTTCAAAAGCTGCATTCCATCTCCATGAAATCAGTTGGATGCCATCGAGATTTGCATTTGTCCACACGTTTGGTGTGGTTTAAAGGTATTTGTACAACAACTCAACAAAGTAAACCATGTTGCTGGCCGTTCTTTTGAACCATATTTTGGAAACACACATTGACATTATCCAGCTTCGTCTTTCTCGTGGCTACGTCAAGCTACGGTGGACATTTCTGTGCTTAAACGTGAATTTAAGTTCATCCTCGAATAATTTACATCGGCTATGATTACATTTTGCGGTAGCATACAACAATCACAGCTTGCTCTTTCTTGGAATTTGTTCAAACCATCCAATTAATCACGAGTGACAAACCAAACTATCAAATAATATTTTCGTACGCACAGAGCATTAGAAATTAGAACACATGAATAACTCATTAACACATCACACATGCTACAATCCTACAATGCATCGATCATAAGTTCATAACTCAATACAAGCTCTCCTTCTCATGATCAGGGAGCAAATTACAGGATGCACACGCAAGAATATATATGCAACAAGTGAACACGATGAATGAAAATAAATGAGCCATTTATTTTCCATTTTTTTGTTCTCCTCGATCTCATGCAGCTAGCTAGTGAGCTAGACCATTCAATTGACTTCGCCTTCTTCTTCCCGCGAGCGCCGCTCCCGCCATGTCTAGACAAGTGTCTTGCACTGCGACGTCGTGGGGTCCCACAACGCCGGCAGCAGGTACTTCCGGCCGGCGAGCCCGACGGCGTTGTAGCTGGCGCCGGTGACCGGGTCCTTGAGCAGCTTGCCGGGGTAGCCGGGGAAGGCGCCGCTGCCGAAGACGCCGGCGCACGCCGTGGCGGCCTCCATCCCGGCGCCGGCGTCGCCCTGGTAGTACCCGTCGCCGAAGGGGTTCGTCACCGTGCCGGCGAGGAGCGCGGCGAGGCTGATGACCATGCCGTCCACGCCGACGTCGCCGTTGGGCGGCACGAGCGGCGGCGCCTGGGGCCCGTACACCGGCTGGTGGAACGGCCACGCGCACTGGCCGGGGCACTGCTGCGCCGGGTTGCCCGCCCACAGGTAGGCGTACCGCGCCCTGCCGTGCGCGCCGACGCCGCCGCCGTGGCCGTGGACGCCGCACCGCGACATGCAGAAGGGCGCCACGAGGACGTCGGGCGCCGTGAGCACCGCCGTGACGGCGCCGCGGTGGTGCCCCGCCGCCCTCGTCAGCGCCGTGACGTTGTCCAGCGAGAGCGACCGGCCGAGCGACATCCGCTCGTCCATGACCTGCATCCCGAGCCGCAGCCGCGCGCCGCCGCCGCGGTACAGCGACGTGGTGCTCCACCACGCCGCCACGGATGGCACACGCGGGTGCTGCGCCGCCGAGGCCGACCGCACGAAGCCGGCCACGACGGCGCGCTGCGCCGGCGTGAACCGACCATAGTAGAGCACATTGACCGTGACGTTCCCGCTGAGCACCACCCCATGGTGATCCTTGAGCACGATCGGATCGGGCTTCACCAGGAACAGCATCCGCGGGTTGAACGCCGCGCACCCGGCCGGCGCCACGGCGACGACGATAATGTAACACAACAATGGCCGCATCAACGCCTTCGTGACGCGCTCCGCCATCGCTAACAAAAACAAGATCAACGAGGTGTTGCGACTTTGTAACTTTGTAGTATGTGAGAGAAGTAGCTTGCTTAGCTTGTGGGTTTTGGAGTCCTCGGGCTTAAATAGCGGTCCGCGTGGAGCGTGTCAGGCGTAATGGCGACGACGTGAGGGAGGAGGTGGGGCGCGCGCGCGACCGTGTGGATTTGGGTGGCGCGTCGAGGGGGAGTTACGACGCCCATGGCCCGCGCGTGCACGGTGCACCGGCTGGATTCCGCTACGAAAAACCGCGGGTTTTGGATTGGGCGGAAGCCGTATTTCGTCGGAGAGAATGTCGCTGCTGGCACTTGGTCCGGCGGCCAGAACGTGGCAGCAACGAACATTCTTCATGGCCATTGAAGGACGGGAGATCTTGGTGCGTTGTTTCGGCTGGGGAGAGTATTATTTTTGGGCTTATTCTGTCAGCGTTTGAAGATTGACTGATGCTATGCTCGCTCGGCACCGACGTGGTTTTGGAGCCAGTAGAGAAGCTGCTAGTTTTGCTGCCGGCATAATAAGTTTTGTAGTTTTAATATTTGGTATTATTTTCCCTGCATATCTGTCAGAAAAGAAATGATCGGGAGGAAGTCTGCCTTGGACCAGGAAATTTTCCTGGCCCAAAAGATTTTGATTAGGAAAACAAGCGACAATATTTTGATTTTAAATTTGACAAAAGAATCCGGAAATGGACAACAGAACATGCAGTATATGTTTATTGTAAATTTGACAAAAGAATCGGGGAATGGGTGACAATAAAACCGGCGATTATATTTTGATTTTAAATTTGACAAAAGAATCGGGAAATCGATGACAATTAACACACGTGGGGCTTCCCTATTCGTCTGAGCTTACAGTTTCCGGCCCATCAACCAAACCTCTCGTGGGCTCGTGGCAAGGCCCCCACAAGTCCACAACTATACAACCCACAAGCGTGGCGCTGCGCCACCATGGGAGCACCGGATCGCGTCTCACGTCAACGTGTCGCGACACAGCGAGCGCACGCGTGCACCGCGCCGGCCCGCACGGCGGCACACCGCTCCTCCTGGCGACAAAAGCTTCCCAAACAAAATCCTTTGCATAATTATACGGTGCAGCATGTGCGCTTCCACTTACAAATTCAAAAGTTCTTTTTATTTATAAAGCGTCGCTAACTTTGCTATAGTTGTTGCTACCCAGCAAGCAGGCAGGCAGGCAGCAGGAAGAGCCAAACATAGCCGATCGAGTTTGACACGAACTTATGTACACAACATGGTCACGTACTCACATCACATACATACATACAGACATACTACTATCAGCATGTACACAATACACAACCCGACGCGTGGTGGACAGGTTACACGAGCGTGGAGCAGGCGGACGTGTCGGGGTCGAAGAGCGCCGGGAGGAGGTATTTCCGGCCGTGCGCGCCGTGCGCGTTGTAGCTGGCGCCGGTGGCCTTGTCCACCAGCAGCGCGCCGGCGTAGCCCGGGTACGCGCCCTTGCCGTACACGCCCGTGCACGCCGTCGCGGCCTCCAGCGCCGCGCCGCGCTCCCCCTGGTAGAACCCGTCGCCGAACGGGTTGGTCACCGCGCCGGCCACCATGCTGGCCACGTTGATCACCATCCCGTCCATGCCCACGTCGCCGCTGGGTGGCACCAGCGGCGCCGCCTGGGGACCGTACACCGGCTGGTGGAACGGCCACGCGCACTGCCCCGGGCACTGCGTCGCCGAGTTGCCCACCCACGCGTACGCCGCGCCGGCGCGCGACACCGGCCCGTGCGTGCCGCACCGGCTCATGCAGAACCCCTCCACCGCCACGTCCTGCGCCGTCAGCACCAGCGCGACGCCGCCCTTCCCCGGCCTCGCCCTCGCCGCCAGCGTGGGCAGCTGGGACAGCTTCAGGCTCTTCCCCAGCGAGCACCCTTCGTCGGAGACCTGCCCGGACAGCACCACGCGCGCGTTCTTGGCCCGGCCGCCGCCGCCGCCGCCGTGCGCGCCCCCGTTCTTGCCGACGGCCACCGCCTTGGAGAGGTACAGCCGGTGAATACTACCCCACCACTGCGACACCGACGGCGCCGGCGCCGCCTGCAGCGGCGCGGCGAGCGAGAGGACGAAGTCGGTGACGACGGCCTTCTGCGCCGGCGTGAACCGGCCGTACCAGAGGATCGACACGGGGATGTCGCCGCTCAGCACGGCGCCATTGTGGTACGTGAGCTGGTTCGGCTGGGGCTTGACCAAAGACATCAGCTTCCTATCCGCCATCGCCGACACAGCCAATCCTGCGACGACGAGCATCATTGCAAGCAACAAGCTCTGCTTCTTCGCCATCCCGGCAAGAAGAGCTCAGATTAATCTAGGAGAAGACTGTGTATGTGTGAGTGTCTGAGTGATAATGTGAGAAGCAAAGCTAAAGCTGTGAGCTGCTTATATAGACGAGTTGAGCTGTGTCAAGAATGTGAAGCATCTGGATATGCATGTGTAAAACAAAAGTAATTTTAATTTCTCTCTTCTTTCTCTCTCCTTGGAGAAGGTGCAGCTAAAAGCTCCAAACTCCAAAGGCGTGAAGTGCAGATAAACAACAACCACTGGTCTCTTTCCGTGGCATTCATCACTGAACAGTACTCCCCTACCCTCAAAAAAAAAAAAAAAACAGTACTCCCCTACACAAAAACAAACGTATAGTAGGAGAAAGATAGTATACCTCCATCCTAAAATAAGTGTTGTTTTGCACTATTCATGTTTAACGTTTGACCGTTCGTCTTATTTGAAAACTTTTTATGATTACTATTTTTATTACTATTAGATGATAAAATATGAATAGTACTTTATGTGCGACTAAATATTTTTAAATTTTTCATAAATTTTTCAAATAAGATGGACGGTCAAACATTGGACACGGATATCTACGACTGTACTTATTTTGGGACGGGGTAGCAGTACTTTGAATTAGAAAAGGTGACATGATTGAATGGATTAGGATCCAAATAATCACAACCCAGGTGTTAGTACTAGTACGTGGAGCGGCGAGGTCAAAACAATGCAACATGGATCGGACCACGAATAATTGGAGGGACCTCATCAGAACATCATGACAGATTTTTCATTTTTTTTTAAAAAAAAACAGTTTTGCAGCGTAGAAACTGGCTTTCCAGAGGTCACTCGGAACTTTCGATCGGATGGAGGGAGGTTGGTGCCGGAATTTTGACGGTTATGTCGAATGTCGATCGATCATACTCCTCCGTGCATTTGCATCCACGGCAATCATGACTCCAGCTGGATGCATGGTTCATTGTATGCTCGCATGGAGGAGATACATGGGCCATATTGTTCAGCTAGCTGCTTCGGCAATTCAGCATCAGTCCAAATAAGCAGATATGTTTGGCCCTCTGTTTTCAATACTTGTTTTTGTTGGAGAGATGCCTTTTCTTTTAAGAATTGGTATGGTTTAGATAATCTGAAGCGCTCTTTAGTGAAGGAACATAATCTTCAGGTTCTTTAGCTTTTGTGGCCTCTAAACTACTTGGTGGCTCAAAGTCTGCATGCTGCCGCCGCTGCTGCTGTAGAATAGTACTAATAATACTTGTATACTGATTGATAGGCCGATTGCCTACAAGTATTAGCAACTTCGCATCATGCTATTGACCAACCTAGCTAAGCTAAACCCAGTGGCATGGACAAAAATTATCGACAAAGCAAGCACTCAACCAAACGGAACATTATATTGGACATTTCGACGCCCCAGCTGGCGCGCATGCAATCGAGTGTGGAGGAGTATTGTAGTAGTAGTAGAAGGGAAGGATCGGAGGACGTGTCGATGCGAGGCATCGGCGGCAGCAGAAGCAGCAGCCTCCTGCCTCCCCCGGCAGCTGCAGTTGACAACAAAAATGATGCATCTGCAGTTGCAGGGGCGCAGGGTTGCAGAACCTGCTACCACCATTAAAATCGCGCGCTGCAGTCTGCAGCGTTCAGAGAATCGTCAGTCATCGGGCCAAGAGCTGCCGTCAGAATTGCGCACGGATAATTTGTTCAAATTTGTTGGTTTACTGAAGCTCGGTTAATTTAGGGCCAGTTTAATTGGCGGAAAAAAAAATTAAGACGTCATATCGGATATTTGATCTATTATAAGGAGTTTCAGATATGAATGAAAAACTAATTTTATAACTCGATTGAAAACCAAGAGACAAATATTTTAAGCCTAATTAATCTGTAATTAGCATATGTAGGTTAATGTAACACTTATAGCTAATTATGGATTAATTAGGCTCAAAAGATTCATCTCGCGATTTCACCCTAACTATGCAATTAGTTTTTCTTCTTGTGTGTCCAAAGATTTAATATGATATTTTTAGAACTAAACCAGACCTTATTCCTCTCGTTCGGGAACAGACAATGCAAGTCACTTTTGAATGTCGAGTGTCATGTAGGAAAATGTCACTTTGAATCCACTCTCTTCACAGCGAGGGTAACTAATTTTTCCGGACCGACAAATAATTTGCATTTTAGTCTCTTCTTTTCTTATATCATCCCTTGTTTCATTTTAATCTATATCACATCCAAAATTATGCACTATAAACTATAGGAGGTGAAAAGTAACTCCATATGAACCATGTTCATCTCACCAACACTTTCCTCTTTCTATGCTCTTTCCCTCTTTCCCCTTTCTCTTCTCACTCACACATGATGTGTCCTGGGATGGAGTAATAGCGGTGTAACCCAGACAAATAAACAACGGCGCAGCCACGAGAAAGCCTAAGTCTGCACTACGGTGACGAGGCGAAGCGGGCTGAGGAGTGGTGGCAGCATTGCGATTGGATCCAGAGACCTCGATAGCAGCCTCGTGGCTAGATCAGATAACCTTCGTGGCGACCTGTGGCTAAATTCCATGACCTCAATATAGCTTGACTCCATCAACGAAGGGTTTCGAGGCTGTCGATCTACTCAGTTACGAGAATATTTGAGATAAACTCCAGACCATGTGGCTTTCCTCCTTAGATTATTGCTTCTACTTTTTATTCAAGCCAATGTTTTTTTTATTATTATTGAAGCCACATGTCTCCTCTGTAGGGTACGTTGACATGCTGTAAACCACTTGCCTTTTTTCCTCTCTTCTCCACAGCAGCTTGGCATCGACGTGGATTGGTGAGGCCATGCGCCACCATGGAGCGTTATACATGCCCTTAGGGCAATAGTAGTGCAAGTCACTCGTGTTCGGCCTTACGTGCAATCTCAGCCCAATCCAAGAGCAGGATATCACAACCACAATATAAAGTGTCTTTAAATGGGTTTAGGAAATCTAAGGCCTAACAAAAGCAGTGCAAGGCGATTTAGAGACGAAGGGACGAAGGAGAGCGAGGCCATGCAAAGCCGAGGATGCGACCTCCATGATGTGAGAAAAATAGAGTTGTGTGCTAGTCTTTGGTGTTAGTAGGGCAAGTGTGTCCTCGTAGAGACACGAGAGGACATGGGAGTCATGAGAGTCCTTTGCTACGAATGTAGAGAAGAATCTCCATCTTGTGACCAAATGCCATATATAGAAGCATTGTTAGGGCATCAACAAAGGGTGCCGTCACAATGTACCCCTAGCGCCGTCCGTCAATCGTCATCTCCTTTTCGTTCCATGTCGTTTCCTTGCGATGGCGCGCGACCCCTGGCCGAGGGACGCGTCCCTAATTTGCTTTTGGCAGGAGCACGGTGTGGAGGAGCGTGTTGGGCGGATGTGTTTCCCGTGGGCACCATTGCCCAGCGAAAAAAAATGCCTATTCCACCCCAATGACAAAGAGAAAAGAGAGGAAGAAGAGAGGGACAGTATAGAAAACACCTACAATGTTTTTTTTGGGTTGGGACACTTGTTGGGCCATCTAGGTGTGGCCTCCATTAGAAGATGAGTACCTCTAAGAGTGTCCTCAGTTAGTGAGGAGACTATATGTGTGGCTTTGGTTGTATATGTCCTTACTACTCACAAGTACTAACAGGAGAGTTCGGAAAGAAAAATGTGAATAAGGCTGCTGCATTGTAATGCATCATGCATAGTTGCATATAAGCGGTAGGGTTATTAATTAGTTACTACGTCTGTTTCATGAAAAAAATAAACCTAGTATGAGATATGAGTTTGTTTAGATTCATAGTATTAGTAAGTATTATAGTTCCATAATAAATTTACTTTTTTATAAAGCACTTGGGAGTAGTAGTACGTACTCCGTATTTCCATTCCGTTCCCTTCCGAAATTTCAAGCTACTATATACTCCACCAAGCAGAAACAAAAGGAGATAATAACTTAGGGCTTGTTTAGTCCCAAACAAATTTTTTCACGTTGTCATATCTAATGTTTGGACACATGCATTGAGTATTAAATATAAAAAAAAATCAATTACATAATTTACGTGTAAATTGCGAGACGGATTATGGAAAATTGCGCCATGATTTGACAATGTGATGCTACAGTTAATATTTACTAATGATAGATTAATTAGGCTTAATAAATTCGTCTCGTAGTTTTCTGGCGGAATCTATAATTTATTTTGTTATTAAATATGTGACAGGGTAAATTTTTTTGCAAACTAAAAATGCCCTCAATCGATCGATTCAGGCATGCATGCGACGTGCCCGACAACATGCTCGACGAGATGGATCGAGCTAAATCGAACACACGGGCCAGGTCCAAGTCCTGATGCAGCATCCTGCAGGACACCTACAGTCATTCAGAACAAAGGACACAGTGAATAGAGAGGTTGAGCGGTCATTGCGAGCGAGCGGCAGCTGCCGGCTGCCGCCCGCCCTGTGCATAGCTGCCAATACAGTACTCCATTCGTCCCATAAAATAAACTCTAGGTTTCCGTGTCCAATTTTAACTGTCTGTTTTATATGAAAATTTTTTATAATTTGTATTTTCATTGATGTTAGATGATAAAGCATGATTAATATTTTATGTGTGATTTGTCTTTTTAATTTTTTTCATAATTTTTTTAAATAAGATGGACGGTCAAATGTTGGACACAGAAACCAGGGTTTGTCTTTTTTTGGACGGAGGGAGTACCACACTAGGAGTAGCCTACACCATCCAGGACCAGGAGCGGAGAGCGACGGCGCCCGGGCGCGTTCATGCACGCCGACGTGCGTATGCCGGCCGAGGCGTCGTACGGTGCGTCGACGAGCGGCGCGCAAGCGCGGCATCAGCGTGGGTCACGTGTGTGGGTGTGGGGCGCGGGTGCGGCTACGCACGGTGCATGCACGTACGCGCCGGCGCCGACACGATCAGATCCTGGCGCTAGCTGGCCCCCGCCCCCGGGCGGCCGAGCGTGTTGCATGCCGCGGAATTTTGTCTGCAAATGATCGATGTGCGTACTTCACGGTTGCAACCGGGCCAGGCGCCGCGGGCTAGCGGAGCGATCGCGAGGAGAGGACCACCGAATCAAAGTAATCATGTCGCAGCGCGGGACTCGTAAATCGGGGTCGTCTCGTCGGTCGCGGCCGGGGCAGGATGAGATGAGAGAGGAGATGTGGGCGCGCTCGCTCTCGCCCGTGATGCGAAAGGGCTATGCTTGTTTTGTTTGACTGCATGGCCGGGTGCATATGGTAGCTAAGTTTAGCTGTTAGCTGATTCAGGTACTTCCAAACCGGATCGAATTAAATCTCGAGAGTGGGCAGTGATGGTGATTTTTTTCCGCCTAACCAAAGATCTAGGAAGATCCGAAGATGGATGTGGCAACTAGGGTTGAAAAATATAACGTGAGCGATGTGCTCTCTATCAGTAGTATCATACTACCAGTAGAAATGATCTAGACCGTTCGTTATTAAGGGTACAATAATTTACTAATATATTTATTAGGGGTAACCTTGTCATTTATATTTTTCCCCGGCTAAATCGATGTGGTCATCCATTGTGCTGGCATCCCTCATATTCTATCGAAAAAGAAAAAAAAGAAGAAGAAAAAATGTTTGGACACTACTAAATAATGATTATACCCTCTGCACCTATTTTCCGAACGATAATGTCCCTTCACGTTTATACTACCACTAACTAGGGTAGTAGTGTATATAAATCTAAACCCTTCAATTAAATGAGATCAACGGTTCAGATTACTTTCTACCACCACTAGAGAGCACCGTAGTTGGGCTCTTGGTTCTGAAGTGAACTTATGAAACATGCTAAACCCAACTTCAGCTCTCTAGTTTATTTTACGATAGCAATCTAGCCCACTCAATTCTCATTTCGGGTGAAGTTAGAATTGTTTTGTTGGGTTATAGCCGTAGAAGAAATGGAGCTGGAGTTAAAGCTTTGCTTAAAGTACCCTTATTACTCATACTAAAATGTACTCCATTAATTTCAAGAACATATGACATGATTGAACGTATTACAATTTACTGAACTAAATGGTCTTTTGGATCCTGCCCTAGCGTAACAGCTTCTTATGATAAACATGAACGGGATTGCTTAGTTGTTGAACTCTCACATCTTTTGGCCCATTTGTCGGCTAGACGATTAATTAACCTCCCTTGGTATTCACAACACCCTGTACTCTACATCCAACGGGAATGTGCATGGCCATCGCGCTGAGCTCTGTCTGAGGCTGGACGTACGGGAATACTATGTATCTCGTTGTCATCTCCCAGCTCAGGAGTCAGGACACACCAATTACTTTCAGGGCCCTGTAACCCGATGATTAATCAGCCACAGGCTAGTAGAGTACTAAGAGCAAGGATAATAATACAGCCAGCTGCTTACTTACAGTCTATCTATCTGCTCACTCATATAGTGGTTAACTCTTCACTATAAATATATGATCCACATGTCTGTCTCACAGATTTTCTAGGTTCCTGTGTCTAAGCCGGCTGTAAACTTACAGCCCGCTTCTCATCTCTCTCCTCTTTTCTCCCATCCACCTCAGCATTCAGCCTTCTTATAGCCCACTATTATATTTGCTCCAATCCGCATAGTCCTAAATTATTAATACGCGTAGTTGCACTGCCTGCTGTATCCATCCAAAATCACGTGCTGTCGTGTGATCAGTTGACATGAACACGGTTGGTTGGTTGTTTTAAACAGAAGCATTTGCTGTCCGGCTTCACGAACACGTCTGGTTCCGAGGGATGCCTTATGGATGGATGGCCATGCTTAGCTTAGCCCGACATAAACTGGTCACAGGAAGATAGCGCAGTGGACGGGCTTTGGATCATGTGCCGTGGCATTGACATGGTATAATTAATCTACTGATATGGTTTACAGTATGGTCTGTATTTAGGACTGTGCTAAGCTGTGCAGTAAGCCAGTACTGTTCCTGTTTGGTCCTAATCGAGATCCGTACGTACTCCCTCCATTTCGAAATGTTTGACACCGTTGACTTTTTAGCACATGTTTGACCATTCGTCTTATTCAAAAAATTTTGTGAGATATGTAAAATTATATGCCTACATAAAAATATATTTAACAACGAATCAAATGATAGGAAAAGAATTAATAATTACTTAAATTTTTTGAATAAGGCGAATAGTCAAACATGTGATAAAAAGTCCACGGCGTCAAACATTTCGAAACGGAGGGAGTACTAGTATACCTGATCGAACCCGTGTCACACAGTTCGGTTGCAAACATTGGCAGAACATGTCGCTGGGTGCTGCTACAGCATTGGTGTCAGCAGAACTTCAATGAGTCGTAGGCCAGCCTGATGTTTGTATAGCTTAACTACACTGCTAAATATTCCCTCCATTCCATATTATTTTACGTTTTGTTATATCCATCCTTATTTAGATTCACTAACATTGTTGTCGAAAAGATAACCGCGCGTCACGTTAAAAGACGTGGTTTACTCAATGGGTTGTTAGGAAAATAAAAGTAATGTATTAATTGGTAAAAATTTTTGGGATCCCCTATTACATAACTCTAGGGGGTTATTTATAGTCTTAGTACAGACTCATACCGTCTAGGGTTTAGTTTGTACATGGGAATTTACATGGATACCCTTATGATAGGGACTTTAGTGAGGGCACAGTATCATTTGTGCTTATGGGCTCTTAAGTGAACTCCTTGGGCCGGCCCATTAATGGTAAAAGGCCTCCAGGGGCCACGGTGTCTCCCAAGCCCTCTACCGAAGCCACTTCTAACTTGGGCGAAACCCTCTTGTTTCGCTTTACGGCCTTCGCCCGTAGTGATGGCTCGTCATGGATAGTGGACTTGGTGGCGAACTGGCGAACCCTTCGGTCTTCATCATCTAGCATCGCCCAACTGCTTCGCCGCGTGGCTTCGCCTCTTGGACTTAGCCAACACCTCATGGTTCTTGTGGTTTAGGCAGACCCGGGCGAAGGCACTCGTGACATGCCTCCAACAAATAATAAATTTTGACACATATGAATATACATGAATTTATGTATAAATCTATTTAAAATCCAAAACGTCTTTTAACGGCAAAACGTGGCGGGGCCGGTTCCCTTGTCGGGATAATTATAGGGAATGCTACTTGCCGGAGCCTGCCCCTGCTATTTCAAAATTGAACAGGACCCCCTCCACACACACGTATGTTTCTATCCATTCGCTCTCATCTGCAACTTCTTCCCCCCGTCTTCTCGATCAAGCAATTATTTCCTCCTACCTTCTACATGGAACTACTTCCTTCTACCTTCTTCAGATCTCAATGTGTGGAAGAAACGAGACGGTGCATTGGCAATAACAGCGAAGCTGACCTCGTGTAGCTTTCGCGGCGGTGGCAGCGGCGACAATTGTGGAGCCGGACCTTGTGAGGTTGGTCCGTTTTGTGCAGCACGCACCACTGTTGGCCTCACTTTGCGTTGCCCGGAGGCCGATGGGCTTTGGGGCGCTCATGATGGCAGTGACCATCCGGATTTCAGCATTACTTTTAAACGATGGGCGAGACCTTGTGGTCTTACTTCCTCTTAGTCGGAGGTACAAATTTTGCCCTCCCCTTCTCTCTCTTCATCCTTACCACCGGCGATAGGATGCACCAAGTTGGTTTTTTTCCTCCTCATTGGCAAAAACAAGGATTTCCATATTGCTGTACACCTCGTCGCTGGTACGTATCAGACATGTCTACCGATGGGTATCAACCTGATATATTGAAAGTATCACATGATACCTTCTAGATATTATCTGATATTAACCGGTACAGAACTTGATACTTAGTATGTATCATCATGTTCATACGGGGTTTTGTAGTTTAACAGCCCCATAAATTATAGCACCCAGCGAAAGAAAAATTAGGAAAGTGTTCTATACTTTGAATGTCCCCTCGTTTATTCAAACAAACATCTAGATAGTTATTAAAAATTCTCAAAAGGATTGACAACGTTCATACCAAAATAGAAGAATACAATGGAACAGTAATCCTTGGAAGCTGCACACGGCTCGGTGCGCTTCACTCCTAGTCAGTGTCGCTCTCCGCCGATCTGCCTATGGTCGGATGGGCCATGCTGTCCTGCCCATCCAGCTGCATCCACTATCCGACCGAGACACAGTACTAGCTACTCATCCGTCATTCCGTCTTGGACTCTTATCTAGGCTTCACAAAGCCGATGAAAGCCGGTCGGTTTTCGCGGTTTTTCGACGTTTCGACACAGCTCGAAATTAGTTTTCGATTGAAATTTTAAAGGTTAAATAGTAAATTCGGTTGAAATTCAATCGAAATCTATCGGAAACTGGTCAAAATTTATTGAAAACCGTGATACTGATGGGACTTAATATTTAGTGATCAACCGCTAATGTAAACCCTGCTCTTATCTCAACGACTCAACCCGACCTAAAGTCGTCCACTGTCCGTGTTCATCCATATCGTTTGTAATCCTTGAAAGGCTTCGAGAATGCAGCCCTTTTGCACTGATTCCTTGACCAAGGCCAGGCCAAACCAGCCCAACCAAGCCCAGCCCCAAATCCCAATAATCTGATATCTAACCAAACAGTTGATTGAGGATTACGTACGTATCCACGCGACGCGATCATACTTTCAAAGTTCAAAGTCAATCTACGGCTACCACAAATACGAAGTCTGTCGGGGAGCAGAATTTATATACTAGTCCTATTGTAATGCACTTATGCTACTTTTCCATCATCTAAAGCATCAGAAAGAAGAACACTCTTCTTGAAGCATCCGGTTCATTTCACAATCTCCCATGTCTGAGAGAAACGCGTGCAGCTGCGTTCCGTGCATCGGAAAACCATCGCAGATGACGGGAAACTATTCTAAACTCTACACACTTTACTGTAAGCGTCATTAACGTCATACTACTACAATAATACGTGCTAATGGCTTCACAGAAAAATTCTTGAGCATCCTTGAGATCGATCAGATCAAGTGAGGAAGAAGAAATCACTCATGTGTAGGTCCAAACCGATCCTAATTGCGTTGCAGAGGCCTATAAATATGGTGGTATAGAATCGCGGCTTAATTCGATTGTCACAATTGATCAAGTCACTGCAGGGTTTCGAGCAGCAAGATGGCTTCGTGTATGATGATACCGATTATAGTGTTGATCCTAGTAAGCATGGCAGCGAACGCTCTGGCTGATGATCGGCGGCAACTCCAGCTGATGCAGGATCCGGCCGCCGGCGACGTGCTCTCGTACCACGGCGGCGCGGTGCTCAGCGGCGACATCCCGGTGTCGATCGTCTGGTACGGTAAGTTCGCGCCGTCGCAGAAGGACATCGTCGTCGACTTCGTGCAATCGCTGACGTCCACGTCGTCGTCGTCGCAGCGGGCCGCGACGCCGTCGGCCGCGCAGTGGTGGAGCACCCTCGCGACGGTTTACCTGTCGAACGCGACCACAGGCGGCGGCGGGAAGCCGGCGGCGGCGACGCGCGTCGTCCTGTCCGGTCAGGTGTCCGACGAGGAGTACTCCCTCGGCAAGACGCTGACGCTGGTCCAGGTCTTCCAGCTCGCCGCCGGCGCGGCACCGAAGAGAGGCGCCGTCGTGCTGGTCCTCACCGACCCGGACGTCGTCGTCGAGGGCTTCTGCAGCGTGCGCTGCGGCGTCCACGGCTCCGACGCCGGCGCCGGGTACGCCTACGCGTGGGTGGGGAACGCCGAGCGCCAGTGCCCCGGACAGTGCGCGTGGCCGTTCGCGGCGCCGCCGTACGGGCCGCAGGGCTCGCCGCTGGGCGCGCCGAACGGCGACGTGGGAACGGACGGCATGGTGGTGACGCTCGCCAGCACGCTGGCCGGCGCGGTGACCAACCCGTTCGGCGACGCCTACTACCAGGGCGACAAGGACGCGGCGCTCGAGGCGTGCACGGCGTGCGCCGGCGTGTACGGGAGCGGCTCGTATCCCGGCTACGCCGGGAAGGTGCTCGTCGACGAGGCGAACGGCGGCAGCTACAACGCCATCGGCGGCGGCGGCAAGAGGTTTCTTCTCCCCGCCATTTACAACCCGGCGACCACTGGTTGTTGCTCTACGACGGTGTAGAACGCACATTCAGCCTCTCATTATATGGGCCTCAATTGGTCAATTCCGGCCTATCTACGTGGATGGCCCAGAAGTTTGGCCCATCCATATCAGGCCTCACGAAAAACAATTCCCATGAAGATTTTTTTTTGAACGAACACCATGAAAAATTGAGGACCCCTTTGCTAGGCCTCAAACCTTTCCACATCTAATATCTAAAGCTGCCTCTTCGCTAGCATTTGATTGGTCTACTTGGCGCCTCTTACTTTGAAGAAAAAAATAAATTTATATTAGAGAAAAAGCACCTAACAATAATATGTGAGGACAAATCTAGAGAAAAATATCACATATTAATTCTAGAGGCTTCCATAACTTTATTCCCTTTCCAACCACACGAATTTCTGCTTTGTCTTCTATAAATATACCACGCCTACTCTAAAATATATATAGTAAACCCATAATTATTAAACAAAAAACAAATTTAAAACAACGAACTTGCATTCATTTTCCTTCTTTAAATATCCTATGCCTACTTCGGTACTACTACTATAGCTCTAGAGTATATAGTAAACCCAAAATTATTATAAAAAATTTAAAACAAACAAAGAAAGAAGACAACCTTGTTTTCTTATATCACATAATAGAATCATTAATACCTTATCAGCCAAAAAAAGCTAAAAAATGATTGTGTTTTTAGTTGCACATGATATGTTTAAAAAACCTACGAATATACTAAATAATTAATCTTTTAAAATTTCAAATCCACTAACAAATATATTTGAACCAATTAATTTTGATGAATCTCAAAATTTATTTTTACTTGTTTGGATTACATCAAAATTTATGTACAAAATTACACATTAAATTTTATACTTTTGCTTAATATGACATACAAGTTCCAAATTTTAGTTCAGTAATTGAATGTCCTAGGATATTTACCCAGATGCTAACAAGGTATGTATAATAATATGCAAGTATGTAAGAATTTTAAAGGCTGATTGTAGTATTCTGTATTTTTGTACTTACTACTCATATAATATAATTGTTCTCTAAAATCAATCAGAACTTAGATGAGTTCAACAGGTTGTGTAATACCTCATTAATATAATAAGAAACTTGAACGAAATACTTATCAGAAATTTAGGACGATAAATCAGAAGCTAAAAAGGGGAAATTGAGTTTTGGAACTTTATGAATAACATACTAGAAATAAGAGGAAAGATTAAAACAAATTTCTAAAAATAAGAGGAAAGATTTAACAAATTTGTAACCGATGTGCATCATGCATCTTTCATTCAGGTTAATGCTGCATCATGCATCTTTCGTTCAGTTTCATACATGTGAGTAGTTCAGGTTCATAAGGGTGAGTAATAAAACTAGTACATATACACTGGCCGGCTTGAACTAAAATTACATCCCATAAAACAAGGCATGAAAGTGTCAATAAGTCCCATGCAATACTCATCTCCGTGCTATATATAAATATACTCATCTCCAGTTAAATTTACTCTCACCTTATAATTTATAAAAATCAAATTTAAATTTGCTTGTATCGACGTTTGAGATCACGACTACGGTATTTTGCATAGTATGGGGATGGGTATATGCGAGATTGAGGTAAAATACATGGAGGAAAGACTTTTTATACAGGTTCGGAGCCCTTATCTTATAGGTAATAGGTAATATCCCTACTCCTGTTGGCCGAAGCTGGTGTTGCTCTTATTCATCACAATCACATCAGTACAATATTTGGAATAACCTATCTAATCATTATCGACTTGGCGGCCTGAAATACCATCACGTTCCTTGAATCCGCACTCGGCGACATCAGAGATAGCGCTAGATCCCTCTTGTTGGCCTTCACATACACTGTATTGGGTTTGTTTAGTGTATCATAGTTTTTTCCCTTTTTATGAATTGTTTTGTCTGCTTAATTGCACTAAATCAAACAGCAGTGGCAAAACGAAGCAACGGAAACCTGCAGTTCGTGTTATTTTAATGTCTATTTCGAGTTAGGGGTGAAAGTAGTGGTATATTTGCAATTTGTTATTTTAGTGGAGATGGCATATGTTATGTGGATTGTGGAAACGTGGGGGGAAAAATAGGCATAAAATGGACAGTTTGGGGGAAAAAATAGGCAGAAAATAGTCAGATTGGGGGATTTTTTCCCTCATGTTCTTGCGAAAGATAGATTGAGATTTTAACTCAGAGACGTTGAGTTGATGGATGGATTTTAACTCATAAACGTTGAGTTGATGGGTGGAATGGAAAGATAGTGTTTCTTGTGGAGACGTAGGAAAATATACATCATTATGACCTTGGTTTTAAGCTTAGAAGCGCGCATCAGAACAGGGGCGGGGCTACATTGATTCCTGGGTATTCTCGGGAATACCCAACTTTTTTTATCAAAAAACAAATATACTTATAGTATATACGCATGTACACATATTACTGCACCTAAATCTACTCTTCCAAGCCATCCATAAACCGAAATTGTATTTTTATTTTTCGATTATCAATATTGACATTCTGTGAACCATTGATTTTTTTTACTATAAACTTTTTTTGTTAGACGGGAATACCATGTCGATATTCGGCGGCTTATCTTGGCGTGTGTTGGCTTGTATTGATCTACATTGATCTGTTGTTCCCTCTCCCATTAGGGGGTTTTGTATTTTATACCCATAGATTTTCCTTTGTCCAAGTAGAACTAGGGAGACCAATATGGATACAATTTCGGTAATTCTTATCGTTTCCATATAGAACTCTATTTGTCCTTTCTTATCCGGAACTCCTTCTATATAAGAGGTATGATTCCGTATAAGACTTGGTACATGGTGGGCCCTGCTGAGCTTAGTTAACTACTATTAGATATATGGCATCCATAACCATGACAGCTTGCTTATAGAGCTATATATTACAGACTAAACTATTTTGTTCTTTTTTTAAAAAAAATTATAATAGTTTAGTTAACATGCAATAAATGAGTAGTCGCCCATTCGAGTAATTGAAAGATTTTTCTCCCACATAAACATGGATTCTGCTTTTTTTTTATTGACAACCTCATCGTTTGGCATATTTTCTGAATATGCCAAATGGCATATTTGCAAATGAAAATCAATTTGTGAATAAAACTTTTATATATGTGTTCTTAGCGATCTAAAAGCAAAGGCTGAAAAATAAACTTCGATGAAAAAACCCCAAAATCAGCTCCAAATTTAACGTTGAAAATTCAAATTTTGGCTGATAAGCATATGAATGTGCCAAACGATGAGGCCCTGAGACTACTGGCTGCATTGTACATGCTCATGGTACTTATTATACTCCATCCCATAATATAAGGCGCACACGCATTTCAAGATTCAACTTTTAAAACATTTGACCAGCATTTAGTATAATATGAAATTAATTTTATTTATTAAAAATTATATCATTAGATTGAGATTTAAATTTATGTTGCTACAAACCTTACGGTAGATGAGAAATTATAAGCTAAAGATTAGTTTTGGAGACCGTGCCAACTTTGACAGCGCATAATTATATTATGGGATAGAGGGAGTAACATTTAATCGTGTAGGAAGGGATAACTTCTTAGCTTGGCTGATTCTGGGTGACTTTAATTTTTATAGATCTGTCTTAAATAGAAATAGACCAGGAGCATACATGAATGATATCTTCCTTTTTAATGCTATGATAAGTGACCTGAGCTTGGTTGAGTTACCTCTTAAAGGTAGGGCTTTCACATGGAGTAATATGCAGCGAAGCCCTTTGTTAGAGCAGTTAGACTGGTTTTTTTTCTTCCACTGCTTGGACTCTCAAGTTTCCTAATACTCTGGTAAAACCTCTTGCTCGCTCCACCTCGGACCACACCCCTTGTGTAGTACAGATAGGGACTGATATCCCAAAGGCTAACATTTTTAGATTTGAGAATTTTTGTATTAAGCATGAGGGTTTTTTTGAGCTTGTTCAGTCCATCTGGCAAAATCATGGTCATGATAGTAATTCTGCCAAAAAAACATCTCAGTTAAGGTGAAGGCCTTAAGGAAGGGTTTGAAAAGATGGAGTAAATCTTTATCTAAGCTTTAGTTGCTTATACAAAATTGTAATGCTGTTATATCCTTTTTGGATTCAATTGAAAACCTGAGAGATCTCACTCTACTCGAATGGAATTTCAAAGTTCTTATCAGAAATAAGTTGCTGATGTACTTGAAGTACAAACAAATTTATTGGCAAAAGAGATGCACCATTCGGTGGGCTAAATTTGGAGGAGAAAATACTAAGTTTTTCCATGCTATGGCAACTGAATCCTTTAGAAGAAATTCCATCCCCTCCCTAGTGGACTTATCTGGTGAAATTTGTACTTGTCATGATGAAAAAGTCTCAATTGTTTGGATTGCTTTCTTTGCAAGGATGGGTTGCACTTATTTTGAATCCATGCCTTTTCAATTGCATCAGCTTTTTCACTCTCAAGATTTTTTGAGCTGTCTGGATAAGCCTTTTGGCACCTCTGAGCTGGATAACATTGTGATGAATTTACCCATTGATACGGCTCTCGACGAGTGATACTCGTAGACCGGATGAGTAGGGTATTGGGGTACGTTGGAACGAGGATCTACGTAATACGACATCAAGCAAACATAAGATAAGGATTATACTGGTTTAGGCCCTTTATCAGGTAATAGCCCTACTCTAGTTTATATGGGATTGATGATAGAAAACCACAAAATACAATGGAAGTAGACAGAATCGATGATACCGACGATATCGTAATCGATGTATTCGACGAGATCTCCCGGCGACTTGGCTCCACGTACTCCGGATTCGTAAACTACAGTGGGTATATTGGCGATGAGATTCGATGCCTTGCACTCTTCCCTGAGGGTCCCTTTTATACCGTGGATCATCTTGATCTTCATGTAAGACTTAGAGACATCGGACCTCGTACAATATAATGGCAACTCTATCCCCTCCAAGTAGGACTTTGGAAATCGCTTGACTCGTAGAGATATTTTCCATAATTTGTAACAAATTCCTACAACGTATACAGGAACAACTCGTGTATATGGAGGTATACCATATCCGTATATTTCATAAGTCGTAGGATATGAGGTATGCCTTATCCATAACCATGACAGTTACGTTGGAAGATCTACATCTCGATGATGTCACATTATCGCAGCGAATTCATGAGTTTCAGTTACGGGACGTACGTGCGAGCCGGTACATGCTTCAATCCATATGCCTTAGAGCAGGACCACATGTATAATGTTTGAAATGATGTAAAGGTGGGACTCACTTACTCCCTCCATCCCACAAGAAACAAACCTATAACTAGATGTGACATATTCTAGTATAATGAGATTGGACAAGAGTTTGTCCTAGTATCTCTAGTTCTCTCTCCTTTATAACCTGTCGGTATACCTGACACCGGTTTCTACCATAAAATCAGAAAAACGCAAATCATCCCTTAAGGGGATATCCCCTTATTTTTGCATGTTACTTAGAAAGTCATCAAAAAAATTTAAAAAAATTAGTAGGATGAATCAATATGTGATATTTCACTTCACAAATATGAAAATTCAAAGTCAACATATACAAGTAGAAAACGAAAATAACAAATTTGACTATGAATAGAACGTGTAATTCACGGTCAAATTTGTTATTTTTGTTTCGAATTATATAAGTCTAATTTTAACTCGTATATTTGCGAAAAGATATAGTATATATTGATCTATCTTAACAATTTTTTTAATACTCCCTCCGTTCCAAAATATAAGGCACAACCACTCTTAACCCAAAGACCAAGAAACAATTATTATTATCTCCTAGTTTGGATCACCCTAATAAATATAATGCATGTATCCAATAGAATTAGAGATCTTGAGGGTGGAGGATTTAAAAAAATAATAATTTAATAAAAAGAGGTACTAATTAATTGTATGTATGCATGCATGCCTTATATTATGGAACATCAAAAAAAATAGTTGTTCATTATATTATGGAATAGAGGGAGTAATTTTTTAAATGACATGCACAAAAGGAGGGGATGTCCTCTCGAGGGACAAAGATCCACTACTCATAAGATCGGCTACAAAAATCCTACAATGTATAGGCTGGCCAACTTCATCGTCTTCTCTCTTTTTGGAGATGGATTCTAATAGTTTGAGTGGACGTCCACCCGTTTATTGGATGTCAACTAGATGGTTACGAAAATTTTTCAAAATAATTGACAAGATAGATAAATATGTAATATATTACTTCACAAATGTGTAAGTTAAAATTCAACTTCTACAAGTATGTTAAATTTGTTATTTTTGTTACAACTTGTGGAAGTTGAATTTTAACTTGCATGTTTGTGGATTGATATATTACATATTGATCTATCTTATTCATATATTTTTTATTTTTTTCATAATCATTAAAATAACATACGATAAATAGATAGATGTCCACCTAAGCTGTTAAAACAGTTTCCCCCCTCTCCTCTCCTCTCCTCTCCTCTTCTAGCTTGTGACAGCTTAAAATCTCACGCTCCGGATGCTCTTACACAAGTTGTGCACTTGTCCTCCATGCAGAATGTTACGCATGAAAGCTGGCATGCATGTCGGGTAAATTTCCGGTTCTCGAAGCTACGTGCAAGTGTGCAGGTCGTTCGTTCGCCACGCTAATTTGACTGTGGAAGTGTCGTTCTTACGACACGATCACGAGAGCTTTCTTTCCTCGCTAGCTAGCTTGCATTGTCGTCGTCGCGAAATCTTCGCGGCCGGCCAGCCACGTTTCGCTGTACCCCCATACACTACACGCACCATTGACCTCGAATATCGTGCAGCTAGCGCTCGCGTCGAACGCCCAGGTTGGATCGAGACTTTGCTGCACCGCGCCGGAAGCGTCACATTTCTCGATCGCAATGTGAGAACCACCGTTGCATGTGATCGTCGCCTATAAATTCGGTGTCAGTGTCACCAAGCGTGTCACAGCAATTCGTCTCTCTTGTTTGTATTGTGCTTCGTTGCACACGCGCGCGCTGTGGTTGCTGCATCAAATGGGTAACTTGCTTGATATGAAGGTGGTGGCAATGGTGGCGGCGCTAGTCGTCATGAGCTTGGCAGGGGTGTCCATGGCGGCACGGAGGGTGCCCGCGCTGCTGAAGAGCCACGTCGGCGACGGGATCTCCTACCACGGCGGCGCCGTGCTCGGCGGCGACATTCCCGTCACCCTCGTGTGGTACGGGAAGTTCAAGCCGGCGCAGAAGGCCATCGTCGTCGACTTCCTCCTCTCCCTCACGGCCACGCCACCGAACGCGACGACGCCCTCGGCCGCGCAGTGGTGGGGCGCCATCGCCGCCGGCTACCTGTCGTCCAACGCGACGAACGTGACGACGGCGGCGCGGGTGGTTCTCGCGAACCAGACCTCCGACGAGGAGTACTCCCTGGGGAAGTCGCTGACGCTGGTCGAGGTGTTCCAGCTCGCCGCCGGGGTTGTCCCCGACAGGGGCGACCTCGTGGTGGTGCTCACCGACCGGGACGTCGCCGTCGAGGGCTTCTGCAGCGCGCGCTGCGGCGTCCACGGCTCCGACGCCGGCGCCGGGTACGCGTACGCGTGGGCGGGCGACGCCGAGCGCCAGTGCCCCGGGCAGTGCGCGTGGCCGTTCGCGAAGCCGCCGTACGGGCCCAAGGGCGAGGCGGCGCTCGTCCCGCCCAACGGCGACGTCGGGGCGGACGGCGTGGTGGCGACGCTCGCCGGCGTGCTGGCCGGCGCCGTGACCAACCCGTTCGGCGACGGCTACTACCTCGGCGACAAGGACGCGGCGCTCGAGGCGTGCTCGGCGTGCGCCGGCGCGTACGGGAGCGACTCGTACCCCGGGTACGCCGGGAAGGTGCTCGTCGACGAGACGACCGGTGGCAGCTACAACGCCGTCGGCGCCCATGGCCGGAAGTACCTTCTCCCCGCCGTGTACGATCCGGCGACATCCCGTTGCACCACGTTGGTGTAGAGCGCACGTCGAGGAAGTGTGTGTGCGCTTCAAATTAAGGTGTAAATAACCATGAAAGTTACAGTAACAACGTTGTTTCTTTCACACTAGCTGGCTGGTTTGTGGGCACATGGTTTATGCGGTGTGGTTGTAAAATCCACTTGATTTGGTTCTGGTGTACACCGAGTTTTTAAGCATGTGGAGAGAACTCACCTGTGTGAGTAGGTATGCATTTGATGAGTGCGCATGTCCAAATGTACTTTTGGGAAGATATAACCTGTTTGTGTTTTCAAATTTAGGGCAATTACAAATTTACCATTATTTTAAATTGTTCTTATAAAATTGCTACTAGAAAATTAGAACTGTCATTCGAGTGACATCCTTGTAATATTTAAAAAACCGGACATCCTTACAATATTTAAAAAACCGGTGGCAAATTTGCAAATGCCCCTTTCAAATTCATGTGTAACGTCAACAAGTATTACTTGTGAAGTGAGTGTAGTTCAACTGGTGAGGTTTCTTGTGGTGGAACCGGATTTTCGGGTCTTAAACTTAACATAGGTGCTCGCTTTTATGACTAATTATTTTTCAACGAATATCGATTAAGATATGTCGGCTCAATCTTTAAAAGTGCATATAAAGGTAAGGGTGTGCTTTTAGATGTGCTTATAATGGTAGGGGTGTATGTGTTCGTTTAAAGGGATGAGCGTCTATATTTATACCATATTTTTAAAGAAAACAAGTATTCTTTAGGTTCCTGTACTAAAGGAATGCTTTTTCTAAGTTACCTAGCTTCAAACCATTGGATTGTAATTGAACGACCTGTACATCTTCTTTAATCTTGAGCTGAGATGGGTTAGGGCGAGGGTCTATTCTTCACTAGCGTGACGAAACAAGGAGGTTCAGGCTTCAATCGTCCTCTCTCCCAGCGACGTCTTTCTTGCTATCGAAGCATGATCATCCGCCTTTGTACTATGATCTTTAGGCTTATGTGATAAGAGGTTAGAGGACTGCAAGTCGCCTAGCTTCGAACCATTGAACCATTGAACAGTGTCAGTGTGCGTAACTACATTGTAAAAAGAACTTAATTGTTTATGACTCATAGCTAGCTAGTCTCCAACTGTTGATCTGCAATTTCACCTCGTTTTTATTCAACTTGATGCAATATGTCCTGTTGCACCCCGGGTCTTCGTTAAGGTAGTTAAAAAACTAATGTTTTTGAGAACACTGACCTACCGAAGTCGGACTGAACACGTACACAGATGGAATGCTTTGATTTTCGGAATCAAAGCTCGGTCTTGTTTTTAGCTATGTCCTCAACACATCATTGAAGACAAAATTAGCAAATACATCAAATGTAGCATTTCACAAATTTTGTAAAATTTATGTGGCATGGTTCAAATTTTCCCTTGAATGTTTCATAGTTGCATACTTCATTATACTATATCGGGATCCGAAATAGAACAGAAAAAAATGGCTATTGTTTCCAGACCAAAAAAATATGATGATCTGTTCAGGTTCGAGCAAGCAAAAACAGTAAAAATAAAATAATATACACGTAGAAATTATAATCTGGGACTTTGCTATATTAAGATCAACGCAGTAATGCATTGTGCATAGCTGCACTAGCGAGTAGTAGCGACGAACTAACATTTGCCGCGTTATCAGATCTAGCTGAGACGTAGGGCGTCAATGGCGCCAGCGCCGGCGACGTTGCCCAACGCGGCGGCGAGGCGGCCTCACGCGCTGCTCGTCCCGTTCCCGTCCTCCGGCTTCATAAACCCCATGTTCCACTTCGCGCGGCTGCTGCGCTCGGCCGGCTTCGTGGTCACCTTCGTGAACACCGAGCGCAACCACGCGCTCATGCTGTCGCGGGGGCGCAAGCGCGACGGCGACGGCATCCGGTACGAGGCGATCCCGGACGGCCTCTCGCCGCCGGAGCGCGGCGCGCAGGACGACTACGGCTTCGGCCTCCTGCACGCCGTGCGCGCCAACGGCCCGGGGCACCTCAGGGAGCTCATCGCGCGCCTCAACACCGGCCGCGGCGGCGGCGCCGGTGACTCGCCGCCGCCGCCCGTCACGTGCGTGGTGGCGTCCGAGCTGATGAGCTTCGCGCTCGACGTGGCCGCCGAGCTGGGCGTCGCCGCCTACATGCTGTGGGGCACCAGCGCGTGCGGCCTCGCCGTGCGCGAGCTCAGGCGCAGAGGCTACGTACCACTCAAAGGTAACAAGTAACTACACATACACGTCTCAACTTGCACGATCTTTACTTTTTTTTTCTTTCTAGAAACACAAGTAAACGCAGGTGCTCACAACCCACTCGCACCTTATGAACACCTCTGAAAAATAGGCTGATATATTTGAGACTGACGAAATCATCACAAACATCTCACTATATAGTGATGGATACGTTATCTACCACTTAAATAATAATTAGCCGTAAATATAAATATTTATACACCACATATTTATATATATTTATATCCAGTCTTGACTTGATTCCAAGTGAACTAAGCTAATTTCATCACAAGAACAATTAAACTATGTTCACTTTGTAAGTTGTACCATCTCTGCGACTTTAAGCAGTAGTCAAAACACATACAGAAAAAAGAAGCTCACATAAAGCGAGAGAATATCACTTGCGGCGAGCTAGCTATAGCATCGCATCTGCAAAGTGGTGCTTGCGCTTTGGAATCACGGAGTGTCACGATGCCGCGATATTCGCCGGATCGAGTTCGTGCCAATATGCAAATAGACAGCAGCAGCTAGCAGTACAGCGTTTTATATTATAAATTATTTGACTTTTTTATTTAAAGTTATTTAGATTTATTCAAATTTATAAAAAAAAATTAACAACATCTACAATATTAAATTAGCTTCAGTAAATTTAAATATATTTTAGTAATATGTTTGTTTTGTAAATATTAGTATATTTTTCTATAAATTTGATTAAATTTTAAAATGTTTGATTAAATACCGAATGGGGGGAGTATTTGTTGGCGAGATGAACACGTTTGAGTCGACTCGATGGGGGCCGGTGGTGTCGCTTTTAGTATTACGCTTTGTACAATATTTGTGGCGGCAACGACATGACGGCATCAAGGAATGGTGCGATGCGACCCGGTTGTTTGTTCGAGGCAAACAAGTTGGGGTCAGTCAGTGGTTAGGCCTGGAGGATATTGTTTGTTTTCCCGCTGCCCGCGACGGTGACTTTTTGCGCCCGTTGATGCGCCCTCTGTTTCTTTCTCGCGCACACGCTTTCTTTCCCCATCTTAACTCACACCCTCGCTATCCTTCTCACTTAACCTGCCTAACCATGTTCTTTCTTTTGTACGGATGGATGAATGGCTGATTAGCCAAGGGCCCATTCAAATTGGATGAAAATAATCGAAGAAGAAATCAGAGGTTCTGGATTCCTAAGCATTCGGTAACTATATCTAGCACCGTTTCTTTTAGTGATAAACAATATTCTTAACGTATGTGAATTTGTTATGAAGTAATGTTTAAAATTTAGGGTGAGTTTGGCACCTAAAGTCGGGAACTCATCCTGCACACGTAAAATGAAGCAACTCATTAGTGATTAATTAAGTATATTACTTCCTCCGTTTCATATTATAAGACTTTCTATCATTGCCCACATTCATAAATATGTTAATGAATATATATATATATATATATATATCTGTGTGTGTGTATGTATATATATACATACATATGTATATATTAATGAATTTTAATGAATTACTTGTTTACGAGGAATGACTAGTAGCATGTTTAAATGGATGATAAATAGAATTACTTATCCTTAGTCTGTGTGCCAAGATGAAATATGACTATCAAAAGTAGATGGAGGGAGTATGATTTTTCTAAAATAACTTTCCTATAGAAAAGCTTTCCAAATGCGACGCGTTCAGAAAACGATGAAAGATGAGTTCGGAAATATGGCTGTCGAACACAATCTTATTTTCTAGCTTTATACTGCCTCCGTACTCGTAAAAGAAGTCGTTTTGGATAGCGAAACGGTCTCCAAAACACAATTTTGACTTTATATTTATTGAAAAGTGATATATGTATATTTTTATGAAAGTATTTTTCAAGACAAACCTATTCATATACTAATTTTTACATTTTCAAATTCAACAACTTGAGAATTTTTCATGATTTATATTCCCAAGGTTTGACTTAAACATTGTCCTAAACGACTTTCTTTACGAGTACAGATGGAGTAATAGTTAATTAATTCATTAAACAATTATTCCTAATCACCTCGTTATTTAGCCATTCAGACCAAAAGAACACAATGTACACATGCTACTGTACTACTAGTACGACTATTTACTGCTCACCATTGATTATTTCCATGGAAATACAGTAGGTAGCCAATAGATAGCGCAGACCGCTCTGTAAAACCAGGGAAAAAAGATTACCCAGAAAAAAAAATAGTTGCACGTATACATCGTAGCCGGCTAGCATGCGAACAAGACCCAAGGCACTGCTCCCTCCAGAAGCGAACAACACAGTCGATCCGCCCAAGATTTGATCGGGATAAGCCGCGCCTCTCTCCGGTCGCCGGGTGACGCTGGCTGCTGCGCGCGCGACACGGTCGCTTGCCGTGATCGCCATCCCTTGTCTACACACACACAAAAAAAGTACGCCGAATCGCGACGGCCTCGCGGCGTACGTGCCTCCTTTATCAATCAATAATATACAGAAAAAAAACCGAAAAATTCCATGAGATGGCAACACAATCGTCGTCGTCGCCGCCGCCGTCAGCATTCGCTGCAGTGCAGTAGCGAGCCAGACGGTCGCGTGTGGAACGCTACAACGTCGGCTAGTTTTATGGTAGTTTTTGGCCGTCGTCGCCGGCGTGCGGCTATGTGCCGGGGAGTGGCTCGGGCCGACCAACTTTTGCCGGTCACGTGTACCAGAGAGAGGTTGCGCGAGCGAGAGTGAGGAGGAGATTTTCCCAACCAAAATCGGCCGAAGAGATATGATTCTGCGACGACGAGATCTTGTCTAGTAGACCGTGAATATATCGTCCCGCGACCAAATCTAGGTCTCGTCACACATATATCCGCTTCGAAGCACGCGCGCGCGCGACGACCCCGACCCCTACTACTACTGCTCCAGTATTTAGCTGCCTCGCTCGCAGCATCCGCGTACTCCTGTTCCCATGTGCGACTCCCCCTCGTCCTCGTCGTGTTCGTCGTTGTCGTTGGCGTTGGCCATGGGAGAGAGGATGAGGAGGGCGGCGCACGCGATGCTGTTCCCGTTCCCGTGCTCGGGGCACATCAACCCGACGCTGAAGCTGGCCGAGCTGCTGCACTCGCGCGGGGTGCACGTCACGTTCGTCAACACGGAGCACAACCACGAGCGCCTGCTGCGGCGGCGCGGCGGCGGCGGGGCGCTGCGCGGGCGGGAGGGGTTCCGGTTCGAGGCGGTGCCCGACGGGCTGCGCGACGACGAGCGCGCCGCGCCGGACAGCACGGTGAGGCTGTACCTGTCGCTGCGGAGGAGCTGCGGCGCGCCGCTGGTGGAGGTCGCGAGGAGGGTGGCGAGCGGCGGCGGCGTGCCGCCCGTGACCTGCGTCGTGCTCAGTGGCCTCGTCAGCTTCGCGCTCGACGTCGCGGAGGAGCTCGGCGTGCCGGCGTTCGTGCTCTGGGGCACCAGCGCCTGCGGCTTCGCGTGCACGCTCCGGCTTCGCCAGCTCCGGCAGAGAGGGTACACGCCGCTCAAAGGTCCGAGCGATCACTCCGTCGCACGTGCATGATCGATCGATCGCCATGGATGTGTTTGTTGTCACGCATGCTTGCACACTTGGCGCGTGATCGACTAACTAACAAACTCCTTTGCTTTTGCTTCCCTGCCATGGCAGACGAGAGCTACCTGACGAACGGTTACCTGGACACGCCGATCGACTGGATCGCCGGCGTGCCGACGGTGCGTCTCGGCGACGTCTCCAGCTTCGTCCGCACGCTCGACCCGACCAGCTTCGCGCTGCGCGTGGAGGAGGACGAGGCGAACAGCTGTGCCAGGGCGCAGGGCCTCATCCTCAACACGTTCGACGACCTCGAGTCCGACGTGCTCGACGCGCTCAGGGACGAGTTCCCGCGCGTGTACACCGTCGGGCCCCTCGCCGCCGACCGCGCGAACGGCGGACTGAGCCTGTGGGAGGAGGACGCGGCGTGCATGGCGTGGCTCGATGCGCAGCCGGCCGGGTCGGTGCTGTACGTCAGCTTCGGGAGCCTGACCGTGATGTCGCCGGAGGAGCTCGCCGAGCTCGCGTGGGGCCTCGCCGACACCCGCCGCACCTTCCTCTGGGTCATCCGCCCAGGCCTCATCGCCGGCGCCGGCGCCGGCGACCACGACGTCGTGACCAACGCGTTGCCAGATGGGTTCGTCGCGGAGACGAAGGGCCGGTGCTTCATCGCCGAGTGGTGCGCGCAGGAGGAGGTGCTCCGGCACCGCGCCGTCGGCGGGTTCCTCACGCACAGCGGGTGGAACTCGACGACGGAGAGCATCTGCGCCGGCGTGCCGATGATCTGCTGGCCGGGGTTCGCCGACCAGTACATCAACTCGCGGTACGTGCGCGACGAGTGGGGCATCGGGCTCCGCCTCGACGAGGAGCTCCGCCGCGAGCAGGTCGCCGCCCACGTCGAGAAGCTCATGGGAGGCGGCGGCGGCGGCGGCGACAGGGGCAAGGAAATGAGGCGCAACGCCGCCAGGTGGAAGGCGGCGGCGGAGGCGGCGACGGCGAAGGGCGGCTCGTCGTACGGCGGCCTCGACAAGCTGGTCGAGCAGCTGCGGCTGGGTCAGTGACGACATGGCACACACGCGTACACGTCATCGTCGTGACAAGTTCGGCAGTTCGGCTGGCTGGCTCACTCATCGGACGCATGTGCAAAATGCACTTTGGATGTTTCTCCTTTTCTTTTTTTTTTCTTCTTCTTTTCATTTCTTGCAGTTGCAGAGTCGCAGTTGTTCAGTTCTTATCTGGTTCTTGGATATGATTTTTAGCGACAGGAGTGATAGCGGTACAACGTTTTCTTAATGCAGTGGTTTGTTTAGTTAAAACTGTATGCTGATTGAAGAGAGAGTAGTATTACTAGTAATTAGCGTGTCGATTACTGTATTTATTTTGTCGCTTTGTACGTCAACAAAAAAATTTTAATTGGATTCACCGTGACGTCGGAGAAAGACTTAACATTACTGTATGAAGATTGCAGAGTAGAAAAAAGCCTTACTTGGATAGCGTTCGATCGACTGTCGAAACCGAGATTTCGTACTTAAACGAGCGACAAACTGAAACGTGAGACAATCATTTCACTAAACTACTCCGCACTACAGCACAAAGATACTAGCAGTAGTTGAGAAAAATGCGACAGTAAACAAGAACAAATTCGGTGAATCGGTCCACGGTCAATCAATTATCAGCTCCGATATATAAATACTGTACCACCGTAGCAACTTTTTTTTCCCCTTTCCGTGGCAGGCCTACCGAAAGGTCGGTCCAGCAAGTCGCAACGTCTCGTGACGAATGATAATTTTGGCCGGTCAGAGAGCAACAAGCACACTCAACCATCGATGGTTTTGTTTAATCATCCGATGCTTCTTTAACCGAAACGAATTTCTGACCGGGAAACACGTCGGCGGCCCTCTCTCCTCACCGCCGCCGACGCAACGCGCGACTCGCGTGGCGGCGCTCGTGCGCTCCCCCTTCCAGCCCACGCGGCCCACGCCATGCAGAGCGACAGCCCGTGGGCCCAAACCTGATGAATGGGCCGAACTATTGTGCTGCTTGTGGGCTATGGCCCGTGGCCAAACTAGGAGGGAGCACACACACCATCTGAGACTAACATCTCTGAGCTGCTGGTATGAAATCCAGAATCCAGAATGGCCTGTACATTGGACAGCCACGTCGCAAAAAAAAAAAAAGCTATTGAAACGGTAAAAGAAGAACAAAAAAAAAATGAAAGAATGAAAATGGGTTTAAAGTTATTTTTGAGTATGTTGGTCAACATCATCCAGAGAGACTGTTACAGACGGCCAATAACTTTGTCCGCACCAGATCGATCGAGATGGAAAACTGGGATCGCTTTTTCGCGCGCATTTCTTTCTGACTTTCTCTGCCCCAGATAGCAGTCAGCTTGAAGGGTGTTGTTGTTTTGATTCTTTTGAACCTGAATAAATCTTTTTTATCTTCAGATGGCTTTCAGGCACCTGTCGGAGTATTGTTTGGGTTTGTTGCTCCAGTTGCTGCAGGGGCAGCCTGCAGATCAGCTGGTTGCAAAGCTGCAATAAACATTTCAGTACAGAACCATCAGACACCAGACATCAATCTCTTCCGAAGTTAAGTTTCCAAAAATTTTTTCCCAAAAATATCACATCAAATCTTTGGCCACATGTATGAAGCATTAAATATAGATAAAAACAAAAACTAATTGCACAGTTAAAGGGAAATTGCGAGACGAATCTTTTGAGTCTAATTTGTCCATGATTAGCCATAAGTGCTACAGTAACCCGCATGTGCTAATGACGGATTAATTAGGCTCAAAAGATTCGTCTCGCGGTTTCCAAGCGAGTTATGAAATTAGTTTTTTCATTCGTATCCGAAAAACCCTTCCGACATCCAGTCAAACATCCGATGTGACACCCAAAAATTTTCATTTCGCGAACTAAACGGGGCCTAATTGTGGTGTCCCACAACGATCAGACCAAAGATTAGTTTGAAACATATTATTGAACGGATTGTTCCTACAGATTATCTACTTCACATATGGATTAAAAAAAATGATATATCCATATATGAAATAACGTAAACTAAATTTTTAAGTTTATCTATAAATTTTTTTAAAAGCAACGTACTCCCTCCGTTTCACAATGTAAGTCATTCTCGCATTTCTCATATTCATGTTGATGCCAATGAATCTAGACATATATATCTATATAAATTCATTAACATCAATATGAATGTGGGAAATGCTAGAATGACTTACATTGAGAAACGGAGGAAGTAGTAAACATAAAATAACTTAAGTAACTTAAAAAGCAACGTAGTAAAATAATTTTTTTCGAGAAAATGTATATTTCTAAGCATGGAGTAAATAATTCGTTTGAACAATCCGGTAAATAATTTGAAAAGAATTAAGCCAGATCACATACCGGTTGGGGTGGGAGGCAGTATTGACATTGCATTAGGGGGGAGCTGAAGCCTGAAGTTGTGAGGAAGCGAAGGCAGGGGTACAAAAGAGCCTTGGATCTGCGCAGCAGCCGTTGGATGATGGACGAACGGCGGCGGCGCTGTGACATGCTGTGCCGGCTGCTGGACGAACGGCGGCGGCGGCCCTGTGATCTGCTGCTGTGCAGGTGGGAGCACTGCAGTTGGAGTCACCGCCGGCGCCGGAGCCGGCATGTAGCCCAAGTACTGGTAGGGCGATGGTGCCGTTGGCGATGCCGCCATGCCATACAGCTGAGCCTGAGCCTGAGCCTGAGCCTGCAGGGCGGCAGCATAGTAGCTCTGCAACACTTGAGAATTCATCAGGCCCTGCAGATCACACGCGAGTTTGTTAATTACTTATTGTCATGCACTCGAAACAGTGTAGCTGCGATATATATATACTACCATTAGTATGCGAGAACGTTGATCCTAATGCACACAAAATTTACTACATGGGAATAAAAACTGATTATTCTGGCCACTAGGTGGTGTTCATCTCTAATAATTAATGAAGATAAAAGATGAGGTTAGGATATGTAAGAAAAAAAAAGCACATGATTAATTGAGTTTTAATTATGATAGACTTGAAAAATGAATCTGTTTCATATTTTAAAGCAACTTTTATATAAAAAAAAGTTTTTAAATGAAACACACCGTTTAGCAATTTAAAAAACATGCTAACGAAAACCGAGGTAAAATTTATATCTTGGTTAAAAAAGAACACTATCTGTATGACCGAGCTCCAGTGGAAACACTGCAATTTTACAATGCAAACTGTGGTGGTTACTCTCACCCTGCATGTACCACTGACCACACTGGGCGGTCCACTGGCCATTTGCCTATATGTTGCACTTGCAAGCATGTGATGAAAAGGTGAAACAAAGAGAAGGGCATTGAGGAGGGGGGTGGCACAGCACAGGGAGGCATGCTTACCTGTTGGTATTGATAGTCAGGTGGGTACCAGTACCTGCAAAAGGATAGCATAGCACCTTCAGTGAGCGGTTTGCACAGAAAAAAGTGTTGAGCTTTTCTCATTATCCACTACCAAGGCTGTAAAGCCCAGAATCTAGATCATTGACCTATGCACACACACACACCTATCACAGCTCCTGCTACTACTACTACTACTCAACTTTGCTGTAGGATGCTGGACCAGCCAGATCAATCAACGACTCTCCTTTACCGTTAACAAAGAACACACCCAAGGGGACCAATTGAAAAGAACTTCCTACAAACAACCATAGTACTGTACATCTATCTTCTTCTTTCCAAGAAAAAAAGAACTCCAAATTGAAAAACAAATTCATGAAGAACTGAACAGTGAACACCACACTTGACAGGAGAAGAGCCGGTCGAGCTAGGCTGGATGCTGCAGGAGGGGGACGGCCATGCATTAACCCCCCTGGCCTCCCCCTCGCTGCTGCCGCAAACCAACGAGCGCAGAAAATGTTGGCAGTGGAGGCAACACATCGCATGGCGAAAGAGACCGGAGGGGGACCCGACCCCGGCGTTGAATGCCGATATGCTGTCCATCCATGATCCATCCCTCTCGTCCCCTACCCTTACCCCCATTTCCACAATTTCACAAGCTATTGCAGCAGAAATCGAAAAGAATTCCCGCGTTTGAGAATTCACAAGCTAACTGAATTGCTGAAGTGGTAGTGGCAAATGTGCAATGCAAATGAGCTAGACAAATGCAAATTGGGAGGAAAGATGAGAGTAAAGCACTGACCAAGACTGGGAAGGGTGGTAGATGGTCGCAGGTGGACCATGATGCTGGGGCTGGGGCATCATCTGGGCCGGCGGTGGTGGCGTCCCCCTGGCGATGTAAGGTGGGCCCTGGAACGCTGGCGGTGGGGCCTGGAACTGGGCCCCAGGGGAGGCCCTGCCTGCAATCGCAACAATGGAGAGAGGAAATGTGAGTATACACATACTACCTCTACTACCTGCCATGTTATTGGTTACAGAAGCTTTGCAGGGACGGAGAAAGCAACAACACCAAACAAATAAATGAAACTGTACTGCTACTGCATCCACTACTGCCACCGCGCCAAAGCTACAGGAAGCAACAGCAGCACAGCCTACAAAACTAAACTGCTCTTCCTATTCCTATTTCCTTCTCTCTCCCTCCCTGCCGAGACCTGAGAAAAGGCATCGATCCTCCATGTGCGCCCTGCGTTTGCAACTTTGACTGGATTTTTCGCAGATGCATCGATAGATACTGTTTGTGCTCTTGTACTCTTTCACAAGCCAAGTAGTAGTAGTAGTAGTAGTAGTAGTAACCAAGTGTGTAAGATCCTTACATTGTGACAGTATCAGATCACTACTCAAGTTGCCATATGTAAACTATGCAAGTCTGTCAATTAAACCATTGCTTCGGTAGCACTATTACTGCTGTCAGTTCTACGAATGAGACAGTGTCAAGTGGCTAAACTGATGAATAACTAATGGCCATATGAGGAACGAGAGATAGGTGTATAGTGCAAGTATATGAACATCCATGCTAGTCTTTCCATTATACCCAAATTATAAAAGGTCGGCTAGGATTATCGATCACCAAACCGGTCAAAAAGTACGTAAGATCCAACGAACATCTCCTAAGGCTCTGAATTTTCCATTGCAGAAAAAGCGGATTCCCGATGGATTCTCCACTGGTGGACGGTTAGAGCACCCGCAATAATAAAATAAGGTGTTATCTATAAAACATGTACATCTTAGCAATAGACTAAATTAATAGTAAACCATCTCAATAGTATGTCTATATGGGTATCCACCGCTCTCTAATACATTGCCTTGTTTTTCTCTATAGACTATCTCCAGGTTAGTAGATAGCTTTGCTCTCTCTCTTCATTTAATCTTTTCCAAGTAGAAAAATATACTGACATGGATCTCTTATAGAAAGCCTATAGATAACTATTGTGGATGCCCTTATCCTGTCCTTTACATCTCATTCTTGCTGTCAACCGCTGATGCCACCGTTTAACTGACCACAACACATTCAGTCAAACCACCCTTCCCCTCATACTAAATAAAATAAAAACAGAACGGAAGTGATAAAAAAAGAGTGTAATATATTATTAGCAAGGCTCTTAATTAAGTCATCGACATTTTGTTACAAGCTTTGTTTTTACGTGAACACGGCAGGGGAGGCACCCGCTGTTAGAAGGATTTTATTAAATGAGCAAAGAGATTATGTGTTTGTAACAAATGCAATAAAAAATAATCAATAGTATAGTTTAAAACCGAGTATAAAAATTGATGAAAAACCCATACATTAGTTACAAAATTAAGATTTCCCTACTACTTAAGAGAGTCGTCCTCCGTCTCCACGTATAAATCTCTTTCCTTTCATTGAAAACAGTCCATCATGAAAAACATATTTCTCAACCCAACCAACCATTTTAGAAAAAAATTCGAACAACCTATTGAGTAAAAAACGGTTGCAAGGTCTGTAAAAGTTAAAATTGGCAGATGCTGAGACAGGATTATCAGTTGGTTCCAACTTCCAACAGGGTAGAAGAACAAATAAAGAACGGATAAACTATGCAGTTTTTAATATGTTTTTTACTGTAACTGGCTATGGCTCGAGAGGCAGCAGTAGCCAACGCGGGGTGGGCGCACGCAGCGAGGCAGCGGAAACTGGAACTGACAGGCCAGCCTGGGCACGCAGGCCATATGGCTCTCTCTCTCTCTCTCCCCCGAGCGGGGCCCCACCCGTCAGCCTCACCGCGCCCGTGCTAGCTTAGCTAGCTAATCCGTGCGAGCCCAGTGACACGATCGATCAATTACAATTCAATCCAATCCGTCGCGTCGCGTCGCATCGCATCCGTTGCTGCCCTGTTCTTCGATCTCGCGCAGGAAAATTGCTGCGTGGACGAGAGATGCAAAGGGAGGGAGAAGAGGACAATGTCGGATTCTAGATTGGTTTTGGTTTTTGGTTTTGGTTTTTTGTATCGTCGTCACTAACCTCGAGGCGGCTGGGCGGGGCGGGGCGGGCCCAACGAGGCAATGTTGCAGTTGGCGCGGCGGCCGGCGATCATCGGGTTCGGGTCCTGCACCGCGCGCCGCGCCGCCTCCGCCTCCCGGAACGTCACCTGCGCGACGAGGAAGAAGATTAGTTCGAGCGCGTGGTGGTGGTGGTGGTGGTGGAGGTGGAGGAGGAGGAGGGGGTGGGGGCTTACGAATCCGTAGCCCTTGGAGCGGCCGGTGAGGCGGTCGGCGATGACGACGGCCTCCAGGATCTCGCCGTACTGCTCGAAGTGCCGCCGGAGTCCCTCCGACGGCGTCTCCCACGCCAGCCCGCCGACGAACACCTTCGTCAGCGTCGTGTCGCCGAACCGCGACCGGTACGGCATCGTCGGCCGAGCCGCCGCCGCCGCCGCGCCGGGCGACCCCGACGTCGACGACGACGGCGCCGCCGCAGCCGCCGCCATCTCGCCTAGAGGCTAGCTAGCTAGCTACCTCCCGGCCTCCTTGCCGATCCTCCAAGCTTACCAAGGGCTACAAGGCGATCGATCCGCCTATCTGTGTGTCTAGCTAGCTCTAGCGCGCGCGCGCTCGGCTTCAATTCCGGCGTGCACGCGGCGCCCCGCCGCCGCGCGATCGATCTCGCCGAGCTGCGCTGGCTGCTGCAGTGGAGACGACGCACGCAACCATATATAAACCTTGGTTTGGTGGGTTAATGATCTTGATGCGCCATGGGAGAGGGGAGAGAGGGGCGGAGGAAGACAGACAGGCGAGAAGGGGTTGTGCGCTGGAAGAAGGCGGTTTAGATGGGCTGACAGCTATGGTGGCCGCCTTTTATACTGCTTGTTTTTCCTCCCTTTTTCCTTTTCCTGTGGCTGGCCTCCCCTCCTTCGGTTATCGAATTGGACGGACGGACGGCAGAGGAAGCTTACGGAATACGTACACGACAAGGGATGGATCAACCGCGTGACGACCGCACGGGAGTGAGAGGGCGCGTGTGAGGCACCGACGCGCGAGAGAGAGAGGGCGCGTGCGAGGCACGTGTTTTTTAATGGCTAGCCTTTATGTTCTTCGGTTATCAAACTAGACGGACGACAGAGCAATCTTACGGGACGCGCACACGTCGAGAGGTACACTAACCATGTGACGACGCACGGGGAAGGGAGCGTGTGAGGCACACGGTTTTTATGGATGAAACCATGTTCTTCGGTTATCAAATTGGACGGACAGTAGAGCAACCTTACGGAACAAGTACATGTCAGGAGATGGATCGACCATGTGACAACGCACGGGAGATAGGGCGCGTGTGAGGCACACGTTTTATTATGGTTGGCCTTCATATTCTTCGGTTATCAAACTAGACAGACGGTAGAGCAATCTTACGGGACACACACACGTCGAGAGGTATACTAACTATGTGACGATGAAGGGCGCGTGTGAAACACACGGTTTTTATGGATGGCCTTCATGTTCTTCGGTTATCAAATTGGACGGACGATAGAGCAACCTTACAGAACACGTAAACGTCAAGAGATGCGTTGACCATGTGATGACACATGGGGGAGGGCGTGTGTGAGGCACACATTTTTTATGGTTGGCCTCCATGTTCTTTGGTTATCAAACTAGACGGATAGTAGAGCAATTTTACGGGACACCCGAGAGGTACACTAACCATGTGACTACGCACCGGGAAGGGCGGGTGTGAGGCACATGGTTTTTATGGATGGATTTCATGTTATTCGGTTATCGAATTGGACGGACGGTAGAGTAACTTTATGGAACATGTACACATCAAGAGATGCATCGACCATGTCATGATGCACGAAAGAGGGCACGTGTTAGGCACACGTTTTTTATAGATGGCCTTCATGTTCTTCGGTTATCAAATTGGATGGTCGGTACAACAATTGTACGGAACACACACACATCGAGAGGCAAACCGACCATGTGACGACGCATGGGGGGAGGGCTCGTGTGAGGCACACGGTTTTTATGGATGGTCTTCATGTTCTTTGGTTATCAAACTGGACGGACGGTAGAGCAATCTTACGGGACACGCACACGTCGAGAGGCAAACCGACCATGTGACGACGGACGGTGGGGTGGCGTGTGTAAGGCACATGGTTTTTATGGATGGCTTTCATGTTCTTCGGTTATTAAACTGGACGGACAGTAGAGCAGTCTTAGGGACATGCACATGTAGGTACACCGACCATGTGACGGTGCATGAGGGAGGACGCGTGTGAGGCACACGGTTTTTATGGATGACCTTCATGTTCTTCCGTTATCAAAATGGACAGACAATAGAGCAATCTTACGAGACACGCACACATTGAGAGGTACACTGACCATGTGACGACGCATGGGGGAAGGCGCATGTGAAGCACACGGTTTTTCATTGTGCTGCCGAGCAACGCCTGTTTTGGCGGCACACACCATGGTCCATCTTTGTAACTAGTTGTACTCCTGTGTCGTGATGTGCATTTACTGTTGATTACTGCACCTGGTTCATGTGACAACGCACAGGGAAGGAATGTGCGAGGCATGCACTTTTTTATTGCGTGGCTAAGCAATGCCTATTTTGGTGGCACACGCCGTAGTCCATATATATAACTTGTTGTACTCGTGTGTCGCAAGGTATATTGATCATTGATTACCACACCAATTTTATCGTCTATTACTGTAAAATATATGAATGTGACGACGCTGATTGAGTACAGAGACACATTGATTGTGAAAATGCATCCTTGTGACAAAACTCGTGAGAAGAAGTGTGGGGAACACATTCTTATTGTGTGGCAGAGCATGTGAACACAAACCGGAGGTTGCACTCATAAAGAAAAATAATGGGAAGTATGCCATGTATGTTTTGGTAGCATGTGCGAAATATACGCCTTGACATGTATGGTTTACTGTTACTGCTGGACTAGTGTTTGTTACCTAGAGGATATGCCTATACCACAAGAGAGTAGATATCAAAATGTATTATTGTAACAAAACAATTTGTGGGAGGGACACATTTTGGTGTTTGTGTGTGTGTGTGTGTTTAAGATGGTAAATATAAAATAGATCTCATCGACTAGCGAATGATGGTAGAAACCGTGCTCTATGAATTTGATGGTACATGCTTGATATGGGATCTCTACTATATATGTCTAGCTTACTTGCTCCTACTTACTCTATAGTATTTTCAAAACAAGAAGATTTAGGAGATGGCACGTCATCAGGACCGATGATAGTTTGATCTCGTTTTTTTTAATATCAAAATAATTATATGCTTCAAGTTAGCATCACATATTTATAAAAAGTTATATATGTTGTGCAGTCATAAATAATCACATATTACTCTAGAGTAATTGACATTGAAATTTATACGACATTATTAAATTATATGCCTTACTCTCATAATTAAAGAACTTGCATGATACTCTCAAGTAAATATGAGGAAAACGTTGCTTCAAAATGTATCAATACAAGACAAGGAAATATAAGGACCGACCTATAGCGTCTAAGGGCCTGTTTAGATTCCCTGACAAAATTTTCACACTGTCACATCGAATGTTTGGACATATGCATGGAGTATTAAATATAAAAAAAAACTAATTACACATATTGCGTGTAAATTGCAAGGTGAATCTTTTAAGTCTAATTGCTCCATAATTTGACAATGTGGTGCTACAGTAAACATTTGCTACTGATAGATTAATTAGTCTCAATAAATCCGTCTCGTAGTTTACAAGCAGAATCTGTAATTTGTTTTGTTATTAGTCTACATTTAATACTTCAAATGTGTGTCCGTATATACGATGTGACACGCCAAAACTTTTTATCCCTGGATCTAAACACAGCCTAAAATTATTTCATTTTTGGATATATGGTTGACCTAAGAGGCTAAGATTCAAATTAGCTACCTAGCCAATGAAATTAAGCTGCTTTGCACTTTTGTCGGAAAAAAAATATGTAGTGCAAACTTTTATGGTTCAAAAGCGGAAACTAGCGTAGTATATATAAGATGTGTGCGAATTTTTCCACGTCACCAGTGAGTAAATTTTTATATTCATAGTTTAATCATTTTAATATCAGTTTTCAGGTTTATATATAATTATAAAGTTTGTACTACAGTTTTTTTCCTGATCTGGAGAGCTAGAATATGCAATAATGTCATCTGGATGTAATGTTGAAAGTCCGTTGTTGCTAGTCTACAAGCAACAAAGCACACACACGCGTTGTCGCCAATTGCCGTGTCGTCCACACAACCAGCAATATTAATTTACTGCACATGCATACATTCAAGTATTCAGCCAATGCTAATTAGCCTCGCTTCAAACTGATTCCCTGGAAGTTAATCACTAATTAATTTTTCCTTCAGCATTAAGGCATTCATACTACACAACAATGCGGTGAAAATTGCATGGAAGATACCGGAGGAGAGGCAGAGGCATGGAGCATTGGAGGCTAGCCTAGAGACGCCAAAACGCAACGCAACGAACTTAATTAGGGTGTGTTTAGACCTAGGGTTGTAAAATTTTAGCGTATTATATCGAATATTTTATAGAGTGTCGTATGGGGTGTTCAGGTACTAATAAAAAAATAATTACAGAATCCGTTGGTAAACAGCGAGACGAATTTATTAAGCATAATTAATCTGTCATTAGCAAATGTTTACCGTAGCACCATATTGTTAAATTATGGAGCAATTAGGCTTAAAAGATTTGTCTCGCAAATTAGTCGCAATCTGTGCAATTAGTTATTTTTTTAGTTTATATTTAATACTTCATACAAATATTTAAACATTCGATGTGAAAGTGTGTAAAATTTTAGGGTGTGATCTAAACATAGCCTTATATACAATTTCGAATTTTCTGGGTGCTTGATTAGTTAGAGATCACAATCCAACGCGTGCTTCCAACCAAAGTTATCATTGGTGAATCCTTAGCTGGCGAGAATATACACCATCAAGCAGCAGCAATATAATTCATCTATCTAGGTCTGTAGGATGGTTGGAATGATTTGGAATTTGTGTAACGGCCACCCTCTTTTCAGAAGCAACCTTTTGTCAACTCATGCAAGGATTACATGATACTACATTATATTGCCATTGCTTCTTTCCTGTGATTAACTTAGCTATATACAACTCACTCATGGTTGTCCGTTGTTTGTGTTTTTGGACAAACTACATGCAACTCTCCTTCCTGTGAGTTTCCAATGAATTCATTCAAATTTAACATATCTCTGTCACCTTACACGTCAGTGACACATCGATGTAATTTCATAGTAATTTCTAACTCACTAACTGTATATATATACTGAAGTAACACATTTTTCCCCGTACAAGATGTCGATGTAAGTTATGTACCCCGTACAGATATAGCTTGTCATTGCTCCGACCGAAATCATTCTGGGATGATTCGATTTGTCGTGCCTTGCCTTCTTTTACGGGTGCAGTTTTTGTCAACTAGGTACAGACAACAGCGATAGGACTATGGAGCAAAGTCGTCAATTGCTGAAGTGACCAGACCATATATATGCAGCAGGATACTACTGTGCACACCCTTTTGCATCTCCTAGATCACGTACCATAGAAAGACGATTTTGATACTACTTCATGTACGTGCTCTCTTTTATTATTGCAGTTCCACGGCATAGTACGACTACCCCTCCGTTTTTTTACATATAAGTATTTCTAGTTTTTAAAGTTTATATCTAATATAAATATTTATAGGACACCAATTCTAATGCAAGAAAATCCTAATTCTAATGCTTGTATTGTGTATAATATTTGAATTTTATAAATGTTTATATTTGAAAATAGAGTGAGTATGCATTTTGTTTCCCCGCGAAAAAAGTACTATACATTTTGTTTGGGATAGCAAATAGTATGTGCAAAGCACAACATATGAATCATGAGAGGTGCCTCGATCTGTGGAGTATGATCATTGGTCATTAGCTTCCACAATAAAAAAACACATGAATATAATATTCATGCCACATTAAAATATGAGTTTTGCCTTATGTTAATATTTCTCTAAAATCCCTGTGTAAAATTAGCAATTCCATAGCTTAACATACGTGATGTCACAATGAGAGCTGTTGGATCTCTCGCATGCTTAAATCAAATGTCAATATATTGTGTGCAAATATTGCTCCTTCTTAATTGCCATAAATATCTAATATAGCTTATTTAATATCCACAAAATATAGTTATTACTACTAATTATTCCTTTTGATTTGTTTAAAAAATATTTCATCATAACTGTTACTCCCTCCGTCCTAAAATATAGCAATAAAAGTTTGGATGTGAGATATATTCTAGTACTACGAATCTGGACAGGAGACCTGTCCACATTCATAGTACTAGAGTATATCCCATCTAACTAAAAAATTGCTATATTTTGGACGGAGGGAGTACCTCGCAATAATACACATGGTGTCATCTAATTTTAAAAGGGTTTTGTAGGATCCTTCGTTCCAATTTCCAAAGGAACATGTAGGAATATATTTCAATATTTCTTTTTACGAATGTACAAAAGTTTTGCACGTCAATATACTAGAAAAATATTGATATACGACTTGCCGTGGTGGTCATGGGGAGTTTTACAAAGAAAAGTGAAAAGCTTAAAGAAAGAACCTAGCTAGTAAAACTAAGTCCCCGGTGCAACAGTAGCTAGGAAATATATTCCAATAGTTTCTTTTTTGAGAAATACAGTACAAACGCTTATAACGCGTGCACACTTACCCTATGAATACAAACCTTATCTCTATAAACATTTCTAAAAGACTAGACCAACATATATATCTTGAGATACGGATGACATATATCAAATTTTACAAATATAGGGTGGCATGGTTCCAACAAACCCTAGATTTTAATCGTCCAAAATTCCTCCACTTCTTATTTGTTCTGTAGGAGTCCCAAATCCGCATGCTTGTGTACTCTTGGAGCATGAGTACGTACGTGGACATTAATACATTGACTTTGGATTCGTTTATTGTTGAGTTAGATTATGGCAAATAGTACGTACAGTGAGGTTGCTTTTTTTGAGCTTTAATTTGGGGGTATTTGACTAGTTTCTTTCTGTTAATCTAAGTGGCAGTAAATATACCTTTTGAGATTTGAAAAGGTGAAATTAAATTCCTTTATTTCCCATTCAAAAAACTATTCAGGAATACCTGCTCATTATATATTTGCCACTGAGAATTGGTTCTTCCGTTACCTACAATTAATGAAAATTTTCTAAACCATCATCTAATGACAAATAAGAGAAGACTTCCCATTGGCAAATAACTAAACCAAGCAAAACTCCTAAAAAAAAACAAAAACAAGCAACTCTAAGGGGCAAATAAAGAAAAGCATTGGTGATGCACCCTATGGGCTATGGCTTTATCAGTTTATCCATCTGGTCCACTTAGAAAAGTACTAGACAGGCCAGGCCAGGCATTTGGGCCTCCATATTTTATTGGGGGAATAAGTCCATTTTACCTCCCTCATCTCTTGCCCTTCGTCAAATAACATCCTCGACCACAAAACCAGGTATAACGATTCCCTCATCTCCGAAAACCTGTGCAAATCGACTCCTCGGGTGGTTTTGTAAGCGGTTTATGCTGATGTGGCAAGTTGACTTGGTCCAAATGTGCTGATGTGGCAGCCATATCACCAAAATAGAAGTGGGTCCCACATGGAAGGACAAATGCTAAAATAAAAAATTTGGTGGGCCCACTTGTCAGCCCCTTTTCTTATCTTCTTCCTCCCTTCAATCTCTTTCTCACCGCCGCACGTGCAAGAGGCTGATTCGGCCGGCCGGTGGCGGCGAACGTCGGTCGGGGGCGGCCTCGGAAGGCTTGAAGACACGACTCATCTACCCTTACTCCCGACGAGGTCCTCCCTCGCTCCCAACCGGCCGCGACCACCCGTCGAGGTCCTCCCGTCACGCCCGGCCGGCCGCGACCACCCGGCGAGCTCCTCCCCCACTCCCGGCCAGCCGCGACCTCCCGGCGAGCTCCTCACCCGCGCCCGCCCGGGCGCGACCACCCGGCGAGCTCCTCTCCGGCGCTCGGCCGGCCATGGCCTCCCGGCGAGCTCCTCCCCCACTCCCGACCAGCCGCGGCCACCCGGCGAGCTTCTCCCCCGCGTCCGACCGGCTGCGACCACCCGGCGACCTCCTCCCCCGCTCCCGGTTGGCCGCAGCCACTCGGCAACCTCCTCCCCCACTCCCGACCAGCCGCGGCCACTCGCCGAGCTCCTCCCCTGCTTCCGGCTGGCCGCGGCCACTCGGCGACCTCCTCTCCCGCCTCCGGCCGGCCGTGGCCTCCCGGCGAGCTCCTCCCCCGCGCTCCGCCGGCCGTGGCCTCCCGGCGACCTCCTCCCCCGCGTCCGCCCCGCTGTGACCTCCCGACGACCTCCTCCCCCGCGTCCGCCCGGCTACGACCTCTCGGCGACCTCCTCCCCGGCCGGCCGCGGCCTCCCGGCGAGCTCCTCCCCCACACCCGCCGCCGCTACTCGAGCCGATGGAAGGCATGAGATTGTGAGAGAGGAGGAGATGAAAGATTGAGGGGAAGGGTGATAGGTGGGCCCCACGTGGGTACCACCTAATTTTTTACTTTGAATGCCACCTAGATGCCACGTAAGCTAAAACTGGACTCAATACTGCCTTGGGAGTTGATTTGCACTGGTTTTCGAAAATGAGGGAGTCGTTATACCCGGTTTTGTGATTGAGGGATGTTATTCGACAAAAGGCAAGAGATGAGGGAAGTAAAATGGACTTATTCCTTGGGCCACTGTTCCTTGTATGGGCCAATTTAATTGGGCCCATGAAGTACAGGACCAGAAAAAAAAACATTTCTTTTTTTATTATTATTTTCGCTTCGTCTTCGCAGCGAGTAACCAACCAAACCACGACTTTTCCAGCTCCCCTCTCCTCCAGCCATGGGCCCCGGCCGCCGACGGCGACAGGGCGACCAAACAAAAGTCCTCGCATCCCGCCGCCGCCGCCGCCCCGCCTCCTCCTCCCATGCGCCGCCACGTAGGATCGCGCGATCAGATCTAGGGTCGAGCACTCCACTCTCCCGCCTCCCACGCGATGCGGTGGTGGCCGGCGCTGCCGCTGCTCCTCCTCGCCGTCGCCGTCGCCGGTGCCGGCGACGCGGCTCCCGTGTGCACGCGGCCGTCCGCGGCTGAGGCGATCGTGGGATCCCCCGAGGCGTGCCGCTCGCCGCTGCGCCGCCCGCTCGGCGTCACCGAGGTGAGCCGTAGGACTACTAGTGAGTTTGGTGCTGTGAAATTCAGTTGGTATCGGGTATGTTAGAATCGAGGTTCTGTTCGGGGGTAGGAATACGTCTCAAACATGTACAATCTGCTTACTGATGATGTTTGAAATTTTCATGGTCGTGGATTGGTCTCCAACCAACCTGCCAAAGTGCCAATCCCTTCTTATTCTATTACAGCGCATGATTTAGCAGTTGAACGAACTAGTTTACACCGTGATGCCATCTCTTCTTTGTACTGTTAGGTAAGAGTCAGAGGTCTGATTCAGTACAACACTTTTACTGACCTTGTTGTTACGCAGTAAATACGAGATCAACCTGTCAAGCCGGATAATTCCCTTTTTTTTTTCATCATTTTAGTGCTCGACACATATCCATCATCTGAATTTTCGCTCATGTGTTTACATTACTTCGCACTTTTTATACAATAGGACCACAAATTACAAACTACCTTGTGTTGTTAGTTTTCATCCCATTTTCTTGTTGCAGCCGAGCGCTTCAGATATGTTTTTATCCTATCCGTTTCACTTGTCAATTATATGAAGCTGCATCTACTCATTTCTAGGGAGATGATGCTATCTTAGCGAGGGCCGTTAATCTACTTCATGCAAACAAGGAGGATTTCGCTGCTGTGCTCTTCTATGCTTCCTGGTGCCCATTTTCACAAGAATGCAGACTACGCTTTGAGAAGTTGGCTTGCATATTTCCAACTATTCGTCATCTTGCAATTGAAGAATCTACGGTCAGGTTAAGGTGTGTCCTATGTCAAATGAACTAAAACAGTGATGCCACAGATTCTTTGTACGAAGTATTAACTCAGGGTTGGAAACTGCAGGACAAGATATCGGTATGGGATTCATGGATACCCAACGCTGTTTCTCATAAACTCAACAGTGCGAGTGCGGTATCATGGGCCTCGAACTGTCAAATCCTTAGCTGCCTTCTATAATGATGTTTCAGGTGTGTAAGTTTGTCATTAGCCGTCAACTGCAATAGAAAATGTTCATGCCATGCTTCATTTCGCTCTGCGAAATAATTTATTTTGTAGCATCTCTGCTAGTGTGTTTATGACTAAGAAAGTTAGAATGTCTTGGATACTCTTTTCCTGACTCTAAAGCTGATGGTCAAGTTATCTTTCATGTGATGAAGGTATTAATCCATCAATGGATCCAGCCGTTGGAGATGATAACATTGAACCTAAAAGGGATTGTGAGCAGGAAAAGTGCCTATTCTGGTCGGCGCGAACACCAGAGAATATACTTCAACCAGATACTTATTTAACATTAGCAGCTTCTTTTGTGATCCTTCGACTGCTCTATCTTTTTTATCCGAAGATCACTGCCTTTGTGAAGCGGACATGGAGTAGGCGTACTCTCTTCACCTGCCTTGAGCAAGGAAAACATAAATTTAACAGGGTATACCCGTCTAAGCAAGGGAATTTGCATGATGGAGCAAGGCATGCTACTGCTTGGGCTTCCAAATCGTTAGCATCTGTTTCAATCGGAGAGCCAAGCACCAGTTGATTGAACAACAATACATGAAGAACACGATTTGTCAACTGGGACATGTAGTAGATTGGAGTAATCAGTAACTGAACAGACCATTTGCTGTGGTCGGCTGCGCAAATTACTGTAACTGCTTCGTTATGAAGCACACCTTTTTTCCCCTTTCCTTACATCTTCTCATAGCTACTCTTATAATAGTTACCGTCCATTTCGTTTTCTTGGAGGTAATAAAGTATGTTTCAGACAAGTGTACTTTGACACTGCAAAATGATCATAAAATGAAAAGTGATTTTACATTACTTGATAAGGTATCAGGAGATATATTCTCTAGTGTAAAAATTTGGTACCTCTCCATACCTTCGGTGCTAGGAGGTACGAAAATTTGCGCTAAAGATTTGATACCTCTTAAGAACTGTAAAATTTCTCTAAAGCGAATATATAACGTTATTTTTCTCCCTAGATGTTCTGAATGTTAGGGTTCTGTACATGTATATCAAAGGAATTTTATAAAAGCGAAGTAAATTCGGTTTATGCAACCTATATTTTCCTGTTAGGACCAACACGAGTGCTCTCTCTTCATAGCTTGAGGACAAATTTGTGGACAATGGAATCGGCAATTACGTACCTTCCCCCTTTCCTGTTGAAGCAGAATGTTAATTGTGCATACTAAGCCATCCCCATAACTTGGTTGAATTTTGAGAAAATATACATGTTCCACATTTGAGTTCATTTCTAGTAGTTGTCCCATCTGTTTGAATCAACCAATTATCAACTGCAAAGCTATAGCCGACTTAACCATATGTCTATATTCTCGACTGCAATGCAGATAGTTACAAGAATTTCGTTCTCCAAAATGAATAAAAAAGAGCTCAGTAATCAAAATGAGTAAAATAATATTAGTAAATTTCAATAGACCCCGTATTTAATGATTGCATCAGAAGAGGTAACATCATACCTAAAACAGGTCATTTTACAGCCTCATCAAAATTGAGGAAAAGTGTGTAAGGCAAGGCAATAATGTATTTTGACTTTTTACAAGTCATTTTGACTTTTTCTAGTTAAATTTCTTTAAGTTCAGTCAAATTTATAGAAACACATATATGCATTTTCAACAAAAAAAAACATATTATTAAAATATATTTAATTTAAATTTAATGAAACTAATTTGGTGTTTAGATGTTACTAACTTTTTCTATAAACTTGGGTCAAACTTACTAAAGTTTAGCTAGGAAAAAAATCAAAATGATTTATAATATAAAACAGAGTGGCGTCATCCGTGTAAGTACTTTCTTCGTATATATTTATTTTTGTAAAGTAAAACAAACGGCTTAGACATCGTACACACTCCTTCCACAACAACACGTACTCCGAATAATAATGAATAAACAATTCTATAATTGTTTTCATCAATAATAAACAAAAGACCGAACAAGGCTTGATTCGTCTCAACTGTATTCTTCTTCTTGCTGGTACGGTGCTGCTCTTAAAACTAACTAAATACTTCCAGAGGTACTACTGACTAATACTTATAGAGAACCAACCTCATATATTATTTTTCACACTTTTTATAAACATATACCGGTGTCGCAGGGCCATCATGTAACACTGCACTATGGCCACACATGCATGTAGCATGACGTCAGCATGATATCATGCTGAGGCAATGACAGCATCGAACGGCTTTCATGCGACACAGTGTCGCCTCTCTCCATGTAACACCGATATATTTATATAAAACTTTAATTTTGAATAATTGTATATCGATAAAGAAAGATGAGAGTAACAATATATTTGAAGATCCAAGAACCTGACTTTCCATTGAACATGCATACATAGGCTTATAATAAGAGATAAAGTGTTTGCTAAAAATCATTATATTTTGGAACGAGTGTAATAAGAGATATTGCATCAATCATACTACATAGGCTTGTCCTCTCTATCACAAATTTCTTTCTTAATAACATTTATGGTGAATATGCATAACTATTGTTTATTCATTTATGTTGTATATAGTCCTCTTTGTCAAGCCGAAAATAAAATCTTCCAAACTAGCACTTGATTATTGTGTCTATCGAATCACACACACAACACTGTCATTAACTAATGTCAAACCAAAGCAGAAAATAAAATTGGAGAATAAATTAGTTGTAAAATATGTTGTTGCCTGGTTGTCTCAGTTGACATCGACCACATACGCAAGCATACTCATTCTACCTCTATAAGCACCTCTAAAAAACTGAGCTGATATATCTTGAGATTGATAAAGTCACACATGGTTCTATGAGCACCTCTGAGAAACTGAGCCAATATATCTCGAGATTGGCGAAGTCACCCACGAGTGTCTCGATGGTCCTATGTTTCTACCTGGTTGCCTCAGTTGACATACACACGCACACCATTCTACACACATGAATACCTTCGAAAAACTCAGTTGACATATTTTGAGATTGATAAAGTCAGCTATGGTTGTCTCGCTATTGACAGGTATGTTGTTTACCGATGAAGAATAATTAGTTATAAATGTAAACTGTAAATACGAGCACATGTGTCAAGTTTAGAACTTAAACTTGGATGGACATGTTAAATTACAAGTTATCTAACTAGTTGAGCTACGATCACTTTAGAGAATGAGCGATTTACTTATACCTAAGGTTTATTTGGTTGGCCTCCAACAACTGGAGTGAAGTTTGGAGTGGAGGCAAATCTCAGCGAGATAGAGCTCGATACGATGATGGTTCTAATTTTCTACCTTTCATATAGATATAACACTATTTTCATGTTTAAAATCAGGTCCTCGATTAAGGTTATTGTATATAAATACGTATGTTTTAATTGCGTCGATTAAGAATCGAGCTCATGATCTCTAGCTACATACAAAATCGATTTGTGTGCACTAGTTAGTTTTTTTTTTCTAAAAAAAATTGAAGGGACAAGGACAATTTACTTCTACTTCAACGCGACTACTTCCATATTCCTCCCCGAGAAAAGAGAAAAGGAGAGAAAGAAACCTCTCGATATTAAACGCGAATCTCCTTGTCGCAATCTCCTCTCTGAACGGCGCCGATCGATATACCTCTGCCTTTAATTAAACCACAATTGACAGGCCAAGTTGATCGATCGAGTGATCAGCGTCGCAGCACGAGCACCTGTTAGTTGTTACCTTAATCAATTCTTCTCTGAATTTCTGACCACCATGAACACCATCAACCTCACATCATCCCATCCCAACGAAGAAAATTTGGTAGGACTGAGGTCTTACGCTTATGGAAAAGACTTTGTTTAAAAAGCGACACGTGGAAGACACCAATCTTAAAGCAATCCTATCCTCCTCTTCAACCTCACGAGCGTTTCTCCCTTCTTTTCTTGGTCTGCCCATCTGTTCACCGCTGCCCCCATCAACCCATGCTCCCGGCGACATGGAGGACAGCGGGAAGGTGGGAGAAGCTTCTGCAGGGAACTCGAGCCTGACTGCCAGCCGAGCTCATATCGGACCATTGGGTGAGTGGCGGCGAACTCCGTCGGTACAGCCTATCCGTTGGACAAGCGTCGACTCGCCGAGGCTATCGAGCACAAGTGATGCGCAAGCTCGAGTCTGAGCGCTAGGTGATCTCATTCCAGATCTTGTTGACCTCTCACAACTTCTTTACCCCCCACCTGCGCCTGAGCTTTTCTCTGCGCTGAACAGGACAGTTGAATCGATGCAACGCCGCTCTCCATATGTGTAAGCTCCTCGAGACGCCGAATGGAAGTTAGGAATCGCCTTTGCCGCTACTGCTGGACCGAACTGAACGAAGAAATCACTGATCTAGTGATTTGTGCTGTCCGCCTGTCCCGCATGCGAACTAGCAGCCGTGCCGAACGGGAAGGAAGAGAACTGATAGACTGCTTTGAGATTAGTACGTAACACGTGTCACGTTTTTAAACAAAGTCTTTCCCATAAGCGTAAGACCTCAGTCCTACCAAATTTTCTTCCCCATCCCAATGTCAGCCATGGCTGTCATGCCGCAAGTTGCAAGACGCCGCAGCGATTCTAGTTCATTAACGTCGTTGTGATTTTGCGCCGTACCACCCGCTGGTCCTCTCGTTCCGGTTTGATAATCGGAGGCGAGTATCTGGTCGAGCGCTACGTAGATATTCCGTTCGTATTTTCTGCAGTGATCGCGTCGTAAATTAATTTTCAGGTGTCGCATCAGTACAGAGTACGATACTTAACTAGCATCGTCTACAGTATAAAAAAGATGCTAAATTTAGGCGATCGATCAATCTGTGGCTAAAATTTTTGATGCTGCAAAACATGATGAGAGGTCATGAGCTTACGTGAGAGACTGGATCATTATTACGCCCCACATGGGATGATTTTGATCGGTTGATCGATCCATGACAAACAAAGGCTGATGATATCTGCAACTAAGCAATACCATTAGCACCACCAAACTCATCTTTATGGCTAGCTCCAACATTGTCCATTGTTTTCCCCAAAGAAAATCTGGCCGAACCTTTACTACTACCAATGGAGAAATTCGATATGTAGTTCCTACGTTTTGAAATAGAGACCTTTTGCGGTGGTTGCGAGGTACTTAGAGGTACCTGGAAGTGAAACAACGTGTACCGTTGATCAAGAGAGGGACAATGTATGGAACAAAATTATTGTAACATGGGCATTATACGTGAATTGAATTCCTACATCCATCTATCAATATATCGTTGTGTAGATCGGTATGCCGTGAGGAAAAAAACACGCCGTTGATTTAAAAGCGATCAATTCGATATGTACCAAAATAAACAGAAAGATCACATCTCTTTAATTCTTCTCTCCTTTCGCTTCGTTCTTGTTCTAGGGTTTGAACGGTTCACTGGATGGAGACGGAGGAAAAAAGTGTCTGCATGGTTGAGGGTTGAAGAGGAGATGAGATCACCCGGTCGACGACTAGGCGCAAGCTAGCGCATCTGTAAGTTATCCTATGTTTATTTACACAGTTGATTAGTTATTCATGTAGTTCATAAATTCCTTATATAAGGGACTAGAATTTTTGTGGGATAGTAAATAGAGATCTCGTCCTATGGTGTTCTTCTAGTGTTTGAACGGGTGCACCCACGAGGAGACACAGTCGAGGAAGAAGATCTGGCATGGTTGAGCGTTGGAACAAGAGGCAAGATCTGATTGACATGCATGGGTTACAAGAACACAATGTAAATCTAGAGAAAACCACGTAAAAGAGAATATCAAAGAACAGAGCAACTCTAAATAAAATGATGCAACTTAAGAACCTGTAACGCTGGTGCCAGCTAAATGATTTAACTCAAACACAACGTAAATCTAGAGGAAAGCACGCAAAAGAGGATATACGCAAAGAAGAACCTGTAATAAAGCTGGTATCGGGGAAATGTTAACTCGTACAGTAGTACCTATGCGGTACCGATTCTAATTTGGGAGACAATTCTACCCCTTTTACTCTACTAGTAAAATTATATTTTTACCCTTAATACTTAAGTAACTATACCAATACTTAAATACCTTTTACATAATACCTGTGATTGAGGGGCGTTGGGTCTATACCTTTTTTGAATGCAAACATCGTAAAAGTTCTCTTTAAGATATATAACGTGACATGGTATTTAAAGATTCATATCTCTTCCCTATACTATTACAAAAATTAAAATGTTTCCGTGATACTTTGGTACGTCGTCTGTATTTAAGTCGGTTTTTAAGGTCCTTCATTTTTGGAAACACACAAGGAGTCGTACAAGAAATCCCTTTAAAAACTCGCATGCTAACTTGGGAGGAGAGTTGTACTCCTAATTGCTTCAGAGTTCTTGTCAGACCATAAGAAAGTGATGTACATGATATGACCATCATCCCAATAAAGGTTCCAAATTAGATATTAATACTATCAAATAAAAATATCATATACTTTTTAGACAATAGAATCTAATAATAATACGATTAAAATATCCTTCACCCGTTGCAACGCACTGGCCTTTTTTCTAGTTATTTAAAATTTTAGAACAAATGTGCAAAACTATAACTAATGTTTAAAGTACTTTTAGTATTAAAACAAGGCAACTCACTCCTCTTCTTTATTAATGAAAAGAGATTGTCATTCTTCCCTCTTATTCGAAAAAAATAAAATAAGGTCATATTTGACACAACTCCCATCTTTGATACACAATTTCTTGGAGTTGGATATTTCTAGCTTCACAAACTATAGATTTGAATATGTGATTACCAATATTATATGAATCATTTTGTCTCTATTTTAAATAAAATATAAAATTTTTAAATACTATGATTCAATATACAAACTTCAAATCCAGAGTGGATCTACGATGTGGAGTTGTGTCAAACAGAACCCAAGTCATCATAAAATAAATGATGATACATAGTTTTTTTTAATAAAATGAATTGCTAAACGTCATATCTGAAAGTCAACATCATTTATTTAAAAATGGAGGAGTATCATTTTGAAACATATGCCACATGGTGTAAAATACTTCTCTAAAAATGGATATTTGCTATCTCCAAAATTTTCATTGATATATACCGCTTTAATCTAGCACACTACCACTAAACATTTTTGTTATTATTTCTCTCCTCTCATCTCATCTTCATGCGTTGGCCGAGCCCACATTCTCTGCACCTCGTGGAGGTCCTCCATCGAGCAGTATCAGCTACAGAGTTACCAACTCCTTCATGTGGTCTCTCTCTCTCTCTCTCTCTGGTCTCTCTCTCTCTCTCTCTCTCTCTCACTAGGCACGAGGTGTCAACGTTGAGGTCCATGTCTTGCTAGGCACAAGGCGTCAACGTCAGCGGCTGCGAGGATATGATATACAGTACTATACTTCACGTACCTTTCATAATCATTAACAAACTGCTATTCTGTAATGATTAACATGCTAAGGTCTTAGTTCAAATATATGATAATCCGACAATATCATGAAAATGTTTTTTCAAATCCTAAAGATATGGGTTTTTTTTCTTGATTCTTGCTACGTATCAAAGAGGTATAAATATCTTATAATGTTAAAAAAAAAGGATGTATATATAAGAGTGTACTTGTCTTGCTATCTCTATCGATCCCATATTATCTCGTAGAGTTTTCATGTAATTAAATTTAGGAAGAAGTTTGAATGTCGCCCGAATCTCTCCCCCCGCGAATTACAAAATCAGACATTTGATATCCCTAACTTAAACAAAACGAATAAACTCCCAACATTTTTTTAGGTAGTCTCAGACCGACTGGCACACATGATGCCAACGTGACAACCCAATCAGAAAAAAAGATCATAGGGCCACATGCCATATCTCTCACTACTCCCTTTCTCTGCTCGGGGACAGGGGAGAGGAGGGAACTCGGAGTGGTGGCTCGTTGATCCCGCCCACCGGAGCTCAAGCTCGGTTGGGGAGGTCAACAAAGGTGATGGTTGAGCTTGCTCGGGGTGGCCGGTGGAGGTAGACCTTGAGCTCCCCTCATGGTCATGGAGGTTGGCAGAGGAAGTGGCAGGTGGCCAAGATCGAGCCCACTCTAAGATGGTAGCAGAGGCAGATCTTGAGCTCTCATTGGGACGGTAGTGGAGGCTTCGGGCGGTGCTATTGAAGGTGATGGGCAGATGGTGAGATCTCCCTAAAGCTAGTCCCTAGTGGAGCATTCGTCACCCATTTGTTGCCGGCCGAACCGGAGCGGTGCCGCGTCAAGCTTTGAATCCCCGTTGTTGAGAGGTCCCGCACTCCGCCGAGATCTACCTCTACTACCACCTTATCTGTACGAGCATGCGGAGCTAATGAGGTCAGGGAAGTGCTTGTGGCGCGAGCTCATCTAGGAGGTGGTTGTTGCACAGGAGTTGCGACAGTAGAGGCAGATCTTTGCAAGACGAAGCTCGATACAGAGTGAGCGGGGTATGGCAATGACGAGCTATCCCGTATTCCTCTTGAGGTCAAGATCTCAACAGCTCCCATAGGGCAAGCCGTTGACGCCAGGTGGTAGGGTTGGAGGAGGGGGATAAAGAGAGGAGGTCACTGGTGTAATGCGAGGGGCATCTCGTTGCCATGATGGTGGATCTAGCCGCAACAGAGGTTTTTAGGCCTCCATCATAAAGATCATCACAACTAGCTTCACCTTATAGGGATCCTTAGCTAGTGATTCTCTCCAGGGAACCGAAACTCTTATAAGATTTCGGATATTCAAAATAGAGTAGTCTAAAAAAATAGAAGAAATTTCACTAAATTTGAATTTGTTTTGATAAATTAAAACAAATGAAATATCCCCCCCCCCAAAAAAAAAACCACCTGCTGTAAGCAGAAAATTCCGGCAATATCAGAAATCCAGATCCGAAACTGTCATCCCTGATCTGCACATACGCACGCCGCACGCAGGCAGGCGCGCGCGCGCACGCATCACACGCATGCAGCCGTGTAGACGTGTACACACATGCGGAAATAAACGCCCCGTTCTCCCCTCCCTCCCTCTCCCCCACCCCCACATCCACATGCATCCCGCGCGCGCAACAGCGACGCCCCAGCTAACCAACCCCCCCACCACGTACGCGGCGCGCTCGCCGTCACACAGCTCCCGCGACCACAGATATTCTCTCGATCTACCACTCCTCCCGCTCGCTCGCAGCTACGCCGCGTATAAAATCCGTGGAACCCTTGCTACTTAATCTGCCACTATACCCCTCGCTAGCGGCCAAGCTCGGCGAGTTCCTCGTGCGCCAATTATACTATACCTCTACATATAACGCCACCCGTCGCCTCGCTCTCCGCTCAACGAGGCGCGCAGGCGCAGCACAGTACTACACTGATCGAGCTGAGATATGGCGTTGGAGGAGACGGTCCTGCAGCGGCCTTTTCCGGCGGCCGGCGGCGACGGGGAGGCGGCGACGACGGTGTTTCTTGCTGCTGCGACTGCGACGGAGGAGGGGCGGCGGCGGCCGGTGGACCCGATGATCTGGGGCGACGAGCGGCGGATGAAGAGGGAGCTGGTGGCGTGGGCCAAGGCCGTGGCGTCCATGGCCATGGCGGCCAACGGCGGCGCCGGCTCGTCGCCGTCGACCACGCCGCCGCCGTCTCCTTCCATGCGATGAGATAGTTAATTAAGTATTTAATTAGCATAGTGATGTGTATATATATATAGTGTGGGTAATTTTATTGCCTATCTTGGTGATGAGCTGGGTCTCGTAGCAATTGAGCTACTGTAGATAGATAAGCTTCTCCTTCAAGTTCGATGGATGGATGGTAACCTTGTCTATTGGCTGTTGTTGCAACCCAATGATGGCAGGCGCGCACATCATCTTTTGTTTCGCTTGCTTATGTGCTAAACTATTGCATGTAATTAAGCTTGCTTTTGACAGATTTGGGATTATGAGATCCTTTCTTGTCAGATTTCTTCAGCTAAGCTACTAAGCTAGTGGGATTATTAGATAGTTGCTCCCACCTTCTATAGCTTCACTGGTAACCTTGCCCCTGATCTTGCCTCATCAATGATGGCACATCATCTTTGTTTGGGCTTTTGCTTAATTATGTGCATGCAATTAAGCTTGCTTTGACAGCTTTGATACTATCAGATGAACTGGTATAGTACTATATAATTCTTGTCATGTTATATTGGTTCTCTGCTTATACACCATTAAGTTTGCAGTTAAATTTGTACTTATGCGATTACGGTTATGGGTTCATCAACAAAAAATATACTCTCCTCCGTTAAAAAAAACTTTAGGCTTTTACGAAGCCAGAAGGTCTTTTTTCTTTGAGTAAATTTCACAAAACTACACGTTTTATGGTCCAAGTTGCAGAAAACCACACACACTTTAACACTTGGTACTTAAGTACATATATTTTGGTAGTGTAGTTTTACAAAACCACACTATCAATGAATGGATTCACCCACGAGATGATGTGGCTCTTTCACATAGGACGAGGACATGATATCCTATTACCAGCCATCTCACGAAATTAATAGGATATACCACGTCATCATCCTATATGGAGCAACCACGTCATCTCACGGGTGAATCCATTTATCGATAGTGTGGTTTTGTGAAACTAAACTACCAAAATATATGTACTTAAGTGTCAAGTGTCAAAATATGTGTGGTTTTCTCCAACTTAAACCATAAAACATGTAGTTTTGTGAAATTTACTCTTTTTCTTTTAATATATACAGAGGGTGTACTTTTTAGATAGGTGAATTACGACGGTGGTGACCGGTGAAGTAACAAGGTTGATAATGTTGACTTAGGGCAAATCCAGGATGGAAATTTAGGGGCACTGGTATGTGAACTATCAAGAAGGGGGGGAGGATCATTTGCTTTAATATAAACTACATCAACTATTACATAGGTCACATCTCATAAAGCTATTGATAATAGATCACTAAAAAGACAAAAATAACCATAAGCTTCAACTTACATAAGGATCGAGAGATAACATAGTCAAAAGGAAATCATATTGCTAAGGTGGTGTTTGGATCTAGGGACTTAACTTTAGTCCCTATATTTAGACACTAATTTAGAGTATTAAATATAGACTACTTACAAAAACTAATTATACAAATGAAAGCTAATTCGCGAGACAAATTTTTTAAGCCTAATTAATCCATAATTAGAGAATGTTTACTGTAGCATCACATAGGCTAATCATGAATTAATTAGGCTCAATAGATTCGTCTCGCGAATTAGTCCAAGATTATGGATGGGTTTTATTAATAGTCTATGTTTAATATTTATAATTACTGTTCAAACATCCGATGTGATAGGGGCTTAAAAGTTTTAGTCCCATCTAAACAGGGCCTAAATCTCCATCCTGTTGCATAATCAAAAATGTATATGCATGTCGGACATTTATGCTAAATTCGTAAATAGGGTGAAAGCAAAGATGTGTTGCCTACAAATTCAAACTTGATCTGCAGCTATTCAAATATGCTAAGAGTAATCACAATCTAACCAAACTCCCAAAACCAATTGTTTTTAGTTTCATGAAGAGCAAATTGCATTGCTGGTACACAAACTTGTGATGATGTGGCTGCAGTTTAGTATATAAACATATAAATCAATCGAATAAACTTTGACTAATTGGCACATCGCATTATGAATTGCTATCGATAAAATAAAAACAGAAATGATCCAACTATACAGGAAGAGAGAGAGAGAGAGAGTCGGAAGCCAGTGGATCACTGGTCATATCGATCTACTCCCTCCGTCCCACGATACAAGGGATTTTGAGTTTTTACTTGCAACGTTTGACCATTCGTCTTATTCAATTTTTTTCCCAAATATAAAAAACGAAAAGTTGTGCTTAAACTACTATAGATAATAAAGTAAGTCACAAATAAAATAAATAATAATTTAAAAAAAATTTGAATAAGACGAGTGGTCAAACGTTGCAAGCAAAAAAACTCAAAATCCCTTATATTATGGGCCGGAGTGAGTATTAATTTGCCCAGCAGCACACGTTCGACAGCTCAACCCGGTCAAGTCGGCCTAGGCTTGGGCCTCAACTTCCATCTTGAAAGCTCGACCGGAAGCCCAATAAAACCTAAAAATAAATTAAAATTTGATATTTATATTTTTAATTTAAGAATAATAAAGTAAATTTATATTATTTAATTAAAAAAGGACAAAAGTATATATAGGCAATCTTGCAGGCTGTTGGTTCTGCTTTTCAGAGCCTGTATATATATGCATTCAAACAGGTCTAAACAGACTAAATTCTACCCACCACAGCATTTAAACAGAGAGAACTACTTGTATCACTTGAAAAAATAAACTAACATAAGTGTCGCAATTTCTTGCAAATATATGAACAGATTAATGATAAATTTAACTATAGTCAATAGATTTACTAAGAAAACCTCATCAGAATTGTGTAAGATTAAAACTACGGAAGGAATTAATGAGGAAAAAACAAGTAAAATGGTTTTGGTTGCCAGAAACAATACGGTCTCATTCGGAATGGAGGAAGAACATGGGAAAATGAAGGATTCTAGTTCCTATGGATTGAGTCATAGTAGCTTCATACGTACGGATCATAGGAATCGGGTCACAGAAAAAAAGTTTCTACGCTACCAAAACAAGGGGAAGACCAATAGGAAAAATCTATCCACGATGACCTGTTTTTTCTCTCCCTTCGCGTGGGAACGAGGCATCAGGTTATCAAGCAACTAATCAAAGCACAAATCACAGTGTTGAGTTCACTAATGTTGTTTACTTCACTATTATGTAACACAGCCATTTTTCTCCTAAAGATTTCTATGTTTTTCCTTTACTCCATCCATATAAAATTCCTGTATTTTTCATTTCGTCCAAACTATGCACATAAAATTCCTATATTTTTCCAATATGCTATTTTACATTTGCATAATTGCATTCCTATCTTATTTCTGCATTTTCTTCTATCCCTACGATTTTTAATTCCTGTGTTTTGAATGAGCCCTACATACTCTAGATGGAAGCCCATGAGCCCCAAGCCCTCTCTGCTCTTTGGGGTTCCTGTTGGTTGCCAAAGCACCCTCTGCTGCCCTGGATGTCTGCAATAAGCTAAACAAGGATTTGACCAAGGATCACTTGGACACAAGGTGAGGATAGTAGACAAAACGCTCCAAAAATCAAAGCTTTATCATAGAAGAGATTGCTAGATGGAGGCGTCTTAACCAAGGATTTGACGCGTTTCAGTGTATGGCTCACCAGGATTTGGCGTCCAAGAGAGCGCCTGGCAGCCCTGCAGGCTGGCCGGAGGCATCTGGGTCGTTTCAAACAATGGCAGCTGCTTGAAAGAGTGTCGAGAGCGGCAAAGTTCGTCACCGATGAAGAGGACCTGTCTTTATTGGAAGCAGATAAACTAACTTGAAGCTCCAGGTAGTGTTGCCTACTTGCTGCACACCAACTCCTCCTCAAGTGCCCACACATGTCAATGCTGCTGTCATTGGTGCCATCATCATGTCTCGATTTTTAAGGATGTGTTTAGTTCACGCCAAAATTGGAAGTTTAATTAAAATTGGAACGATGTGATGAAAAAATTGGAAGTTTGTGTGTGTAGGAAAGTTTTGATGTGATTGAAAAGTTGAAAGTTCGAAGAAAAAGTTTGAAGAAAAAGTGGTTCACCTGATCTTCTCCGGACTCCGGTCACAGAACACGTGCGTTCCTAGCCATGAATGCATCTGCCATGTAACACAAACAGTGGAATATTTCAGGTTATGGATGTTTGATTGTCTGAATAATACCCATGCATCCATGATCTAACAATTTTCCGACACTATCTCATTGAATGTGTGTAATCCCAATCATTGGTATTCTGTACCAGCACCAGCCTATGCAGCCATGGCAGATCTGTCGATGCATAAGGTTAGCATTTTAGTATGGAGCAACACTCAGAAGTCAGAGTCACCTGTTCTTACTTGGGGCAAGTTCCTACATACCTGGACTAGGCTTGTCCGTGAGATCCGACGAAACACATTAGATGGTAAGGCGACGTATTTTGTTTTCAATAGGGGTACAGCAAAACTATGTCCAAACAAAATTTGGTCCCTTACCCTCTTTTTTACAGTTTTATATTACCTTGAACCGTCACATGATTTGCATTCGTCCGGTTGCAGACATCAGCAAAGATCTTGGGCGATTTGGATTGGAAATGGAACCTACAGGAAAAATAGTTGTTGAGAGCTTGAGCTTTCAAGCCGTTGGGAGCCCATAACCCATGAAAGACAAGAAAATTAATATAAGAATCAGGTGGTATATGCTACTGCCTTTGCATGTATATTAGCATACAAATTTGTTTTAGACAGCAGTATTGGAAAAATATAGTGTGATTATGTAGTTTGCCCCCAACAAAAAAGTGGGACAATGATGATACAGCATGAAAATTTTGCACCCTCCCCCACACCCAAAACATTATGGTGCTTTTTCATGCTCTTCCAGAGTGCACTATGAAAAGGATGTTTGTAAAATTCATAAAAATATGAACTTGTGTATCATGTTCACACCTAACTTCAAAAACAAAAGCACAACATAAAAAGAAATATTTGATATGCGATACTATTTTTGTAACATCATGATTTAAAATCAATATATGAAGATCTTCCCAGGTTGTCTTAATCAAAGAAGGCAGTAATTGGATTCTCAGATGAAATGTGATATTCAAGGGCACCATAGTTGATCTGCGACAATGGAATTTCCTAAAGTTGGAAAGGCAGGAAACATAATAAGATTCAATCATGCAGCTCAATTAAGATAATAATCCAATTTCGTTTCGAATCTGAACCATAGGATCTCACCAGAGCCAGACCCACCCTAATCAAGAGAACAATCACCAGGCAGGAATGACTGTCTTCTTAAGCTTTGTATTGATTTCAGCAGCTGCAGAAATTAATTCCAGAAAGACCTAGATTATTCTAGGCTGATAAAAATGATCTAGTAAGACAATCATGGATCTGTTCAGAGCTCAAGAAAAATTTGCTATTAAATATCTACCTTTTCAAACTGCCCCTATATGGTGGAGCCATGGTCAAAGAAAAATAATATGGATTCAAGGATATATCTCTAATTGTGTCTTCTCCATTTGTTTATGATCCTCGAGAAAATGGTAGGAGGAAGGCAGACAAGGTGATGAGATGGCTGTTTTCTTCTCATGTTGCGTGCATGGATGTCTTTCAGAGGTAAGAACAAGGAACCCACACTTGGTTTAGCACGTGGGAAATATCTGATGAAGGTGATCGGGTCGATGAAGGTGATCGGGTCCACATCATAGGTTCAAAACTTGGTGTGGTTGAGCATCCAATATTCCCTACTTCAGCGCTGTTGTTCAATTGGATGTCCTGCAAATGGCGGCTGGTAGTAAGCAGGGCAGATGTAGTTCCACAGAACAACCTGCATGCAAGTATGCAACATATATGCCAGGTTATTATATTAGCTAGTAGTATATAATAAGTTTCTTGGTTACTACTCGTCTACTTGTTGAAGTTCTTGCCTTGATCATGGATACTTCACATTTCCTTCTAACCTCTGCTTTGTCATTTCATACCTGATTTCAGTGTGGGAACACAGAATAAACACATTAGTCCAAGCAAATAAGTTTTCAAGCCAAATAATACAAAATTACAGCTCAATCATGTGGTTACCTTCCATACCATCTTTCTGCCTAAGTTAAAAGTGTCTAACCAGGAATCAATACGAAGACACAAGTGTTATGATAGCCCTCTTATCACCCAAAGCACCCTTCTTAAAAAACTATATCTGGCAGAACCAAGCACAACATTACACATATAAAACAACTACGAGCACAAGACAAAGGTAGGGAAAAAGGATTAGGTGAAGTTTCTGTCACATCACATGATAGTCATACTGTTTGCCCCAATAGACAGCATTCCTAAGTCAGCATAATCAAAGGCTCATATACATTTAAGTATGGACACAGCCAACAAGAATCCTTACCCAGGACCAAGGACATGCAATTGCATGCACCAGAAACGAGGGCAGATTAGTCTTTTCTCATCCAAAAAAAATGTATCGTGGTTCTGTTCCTTAATATGGTTCAAAACACCACTATATATAACCCATGTTCTGGTGACCAGTGACCTGAGAAAAAGCTCAGGGACCAAGTAGAGGCAACTCATCTGCCCTCTCCTACTAGGATTGTCGTCCTACTTCTTATCCATCAATGGGGAGGCCTCCTTGTTGTGATGAGAATGGCCTCAAGAAGGGCCCCTGGACTCCTGAAGAAGATGAGAAGCTCATGAGCTACATTCAGAAACATGGCCATGCAAGCTGGAGAGTCTTACCTGAACTTGCTGGTGCTTACACCTCTCTCATGCATGTCTTCCACAGAACATGTATTCAGTTTCTTGTATAGAAGTCTTACTTCCGTATATTGTTTTTGCAGGCTTGAACAGATGTGGTAAGAGCTGCAGGCTAAGATGGACCAACTATCTGAAACCAGACATCAAGAGAGGGAACTTCTCGCGTGAGGAAGAGCAAACTATCCTCCAGCTGCATTCCATCCTTGGCAACAAGTAATACCTGAACCTAGCTGACATTTCATAATCCCCAAAGCAAGTGTTTTGGCTAATCTGTGAGCAAACCAGGTGGTCAGCTATTGCAAAGCATCTCCCTGGACGGACAGATAACGAGATCAAGAACTTCTGGAACACCCACCTCAGGAAGAAACTGATCAAGATGGGCATTGATCCAATGACCCACTGCCCAAGAACAGACTTCTTTCAGTCCCTCCCGCAGCTCATTGCACTTGCCAACCTCCGCCAGATTATCGAGCGACAACCGTGGGATGGCCACATTGAGGGCCTGCAGACTGTGGCAGTTCAGGCTGCCAAGCTCGAATACATGCAATCACTGCTACATTCTGCAGTGTCCATTGTGACCAGCCCCACCACCACCACCACCACCAGCAGCTTAAACACCTTCACCACCGAACTGGAGCAGACCAACCACCTATGCCCTCCACAGGTGCCTTCTTCAAGTGTCCCTGAATTAGCTGTACAGGTGCCTCACAGCCAAATGCCTAGCACTTCATTTGATCAGGAAATTGGCAAAACCAACCTGTTCTCAAATAACATTGTCAATGGCAATGAGTGGTGCAGCATGGAGGCAGATAACAGCAGCCAGAAAAGCTTGTTGGTCCCTGAAAACTCCATTCCACCACTCATTGACATGCCAGTGCAAAACTTTTGTAATACTATCAGCACACCAAACTGTGACGGCGGCAATAGTATTCCACTGCCCAGTTGGTCTGAAATCCTACTTGATGAAGAACTCATGGGTGAATTTGCTTGAATTATTTACTATCCTCTGTTTGCTTTCTTTTTTTTCTCGCATGCACCAATTTTTGGGGCTTGTGTAGAATCCAATGCAGGTGCCTGCACACACATATACTTGTAATATAAGATAGATTTGATGTTACTTCTACTTATACATATGCCTCCCGTGTTACTGGAGTTCTTTGTTGTTTTAATTGCTCAAAAGTATTTTTCCATACAATGTTGTGGTGATATAGCTTGCAAAACAACATATGTGAAGCGAACCCATCATTGCAAACATACAGTCTAACCGCATTGTTCGCCAGAATTAACACAAGAACAGATCTCGATTTATGCAAGCTAATAAAGAATAAGAAAAAACACTTATATATGCTGTTACCAGCAATGTGAGAATAAAAGTACAACCACAGCTATCAGCTGTTACTGTGAAGAAGTTTGTTGTATTAAGCAGTTCGAACGTTTACTAAATATGTCATGTCAACCAACAGGTAGGAATTATAGGAATGACTCAAGTGCCAAAAACTCATAGTGTTGTCACTAATGATATTATATTGTAACCATCATACATCAGTCACCAACTTCTCAAGCATTACTAGAGGTTTTTCTTCAGCCAGTGTCATCATGTCTTTGTCTTAGAGCAAACATGCTGTAGCATAGAAATATTTACAGATTATTTTATTTCAAATGCCACACTTTCTTATGGGCAGGTAAGAATTCATCTCTTGCACGAAACTGACTACAAAAAACAGGCCTAATAGTTAAAATACTGAACTTCAAAATTTAGCAGCACTAGGATGACAAATAGCAGAAAATCTTTATAAAGAAGAACCAGAGAATTGGCATCACTATATGTTGGACAAAGAATTATAATGTGATGTCTGACAAAAAAAAAATACTGCAGGTCACTAGTTAGTCCATATGATACCTAGATAGTGTAACTTTGCTGCTGACTGAAGTCACCCAATAGCCTTAATACTTGATAAGAGACATCCATCTCTATCGAACTTATTCTTAGAATAATGATTTAAAATATGAGGATTTTCCGTGAACTACGAGGTGAACCCGTGAAGGCATTCTCTGCAATGTTGATTGGCAGAAGCAAGTGATGCACTCAACCTCCATCAATTTCTATATATTGGCCAAAACATAAGATGGTTAGAAACTACAGCTATTATATTGGAGTACATAAAACATTTTCTCTTGCGGCTATGGCCTCTGGCAAATGGCAGCTGCAACACTTTTTTACTACATTTATTTACTACATTTATTATTTGGAGTAACTCTATCTTGTTTAAAAGTTCTGTTTACAATGTCACCTTCAACTGTCAAGCAGAAAAAAGAGTTTACATATTCCTTTTGATTCAATGCTTTATAAATTCCAATGATATTGCTAATATTCACTTTGCCTGAAGCACAAACTATTCTAAGGTAGTAGAGGACCTGTCTGAATAGCAAATGGCAGGCAAGGAAAAATGCCACATACATCTCCTTGACATGCAACGGAAGCAGGAATTAGCCTCCAAAAGTTAGATGCTAGCAGTACACCAACAACTGAAATATTTAGACATCACACCCCCACTACAGCATGGCATTTTTCATCTATGCTAGAAGGAAAACCAAAATCACAAATTCCATCACCTGAGACTTCCGCGCCGCCCAACTGATCATCACCAGGTGGAATCATGGCAATTTGTAAGTATAGTCACTACTGCAATCAGCGCATCACGGATTCAGGATTACATTGCACTCCTCTGAACTTAACAACGAAGAAGGTGAAGAAGATTTAACTAGCCTCGGTAAATAATAGCAACATTGCCCTAGTTTCGGGATGGATCACATTGAAACTTGAGGACGGCGTTATACCTACCGGCAACTCACCGGTGCTCGACCACCTCGCCGGCGAAGCGCTCGAGGGGGCTCTCGGCATTCGGGATTTCGGGTCCACCACAGCTTCCTCCGCCTGATCTCCCCCGTCCGCCTTGTCCGTTCCATCTCCTTCTCCCTCCGCTCCTCCCAGACGTCCACGCCGGAAACCACGCCGCCGAAATGCGTCCGGCCGCCGCCGGTGGCCGTGCGGGGAGAGAGGGGGAGGAGAGGGCGGCGCCTTCGGTTGGGAGGCCCGCAATACAAGGCCCATTTTTATGTGGGCTGGGATTTTAGTCCAATTTGAGGCCGGTCCATTCGAGCTCTTGTTGGCCCAATAGAATGAACTAACGAAACGGACCGAAAATTCCATTCGAGCTAAGGTAGCCCAATTATGGCCAGTAGTTCGACTAGAAGAAGAGAAGGGGCACCACTTGCACTTGCACAAACATTAAAAACTTGGAGCCCTTTGGTATAGCAATTTTAAGCACCCCAAACATCGCAAAATCATGAAGCACATCTTGACATTGACGCCATTTAGGAGTATTTTTCTATCACTATAAAACTGTTCTCCTTTTATTTTTATTGGAGAATTGAATTTTTTCACTTGTTATTACTCCAACAAACATGACAAAACCACTGCCTGAATTCCACTGCATTTTCTTCAGGAAGCTATGGTACGGTACAATATTTACAAGGATCAGCTTTGGCAGTTGCTCGATTCATGTTTCAGAGTTACTCATTTTAAGCTCCATAACTCCGTTGATGAACTTGTTTTACAAGGGGCATTTTACTATACATACAGACAGAACTCCAACAAGGCCTATATATACTATACTTAACAGACAGAACTACAAAACTGTACAAACCACCAGGATGGGTTGGCATCAGGTACAAGCACTAAACAGCTCAGATCAATTGTAAACAGACAGTCACAGATTCCAGATCCCTTGCTTCTCAGTACGGCAGATAGTGAGCATCTCATCATACTTGGAAGCATTGACGAAGCCCCATAGCTGAATTTGGTAAAAGTTATCACTATCAGATCTCATCAAGAGATATGATGAAAATTGAAGGGTATGGCATGGCGGTAGATAGCGTACCTCGACATCTTTGACTTCAAACTCCCGGGAACGTGATAAGCACGGGTTGTTAAATGTCTCTGAAGTGGAACTTGAACCATTCAGACTGCAAAGGTAAATGTGTGTGGTTACACACAGGCTTAGGTGGCAGTTAGCACTGCATGCAAACATGGAATGAAAGATATATGCTAAAACTGGAAGTTTTGTGTGAAAAGGTGGCAGGGAAGGATAGACATTACAGGTCTCCATCAAGATAAAGTGCAAAGTGACCACCACCTCCCATTGCCAAATAATCGGTGGAGCAAAATGTGAAATAGTTATTAGCACCTGCAGTTCAAAATTCAGAATAATCCCAAGGAAGCAAATTTAGGAGCACATGATGTTCCATCGATGCAAATCCTGTGGAAGAAATAGGTATAAAGTACCTGTTGGACGATATATAACAGGACGGCCAGCTATATTGGTGAACACAAAGCAGTTGTTGGTCCCCTGAAAGATTAAATATAGACTACAATCAGTGCAAAGATTGAATAAGACATCAGAAGAAAAAAAAGTTACCGGCCTATGTGCTGCAAACCTGATACTTCTTTTTTATTAATGGTTGCAATGGGGCCTCAACCAACCCACCGAAAACCGCTCCTTTTCGATCCCCAACTATCTGCCACATCACATAAGCAGTGTGGATATCAGCAACCAAATCTGCAGAAATATAGAGCCTAGAGGAGCACTATGCCTAGGTGAAATAATAAGAGTGCTTAGCCCCAAAAAAGAAGGTAGGGATTATATAGGAATTTGTTGGGGAAGGAAAAAATCATCTATTTGAGTGGATATGAGGTTTTCCACAAAATTTCAACAAGGACCATATGTTCCAGACAATAATTTCTACATAAAAAAGGTCCAGATTTGCAGTACCTACAAATTCAGGCCCTGGAGTGAAAATGTTTGCTCAGAAAATAAAAGATGTTGACAACTCATTTTTCTTTCTATGTAAATAAATGGGATGCTTCAGTGGAACTGTGGAAGCCAGATTATCTAGGCAGAGCAATATCAATAGCAGATCCTAAATGTTGCTCACAAGCACTAAGAACTCTATGTACAGTCAAATAAAAAATAATTTGTTTTAATCCATGAGCGGTACACAGAGTATTCATGAATTCATAAGGTTGCCATCTCCTTTTAATAATTCATCCATCAGGCATAATTACCATGCTCTTGACTTACAATATAATAATACTACTTTCGATAGGATTATACATAGAAAATAGCATTTCAATGGTAGCAATAAATAACAGTATAACAGAGTCATCTATATTTTACTACTAAAAGGCAATCATAAACGCATGATCATTCTTTGAATTGAACATGCTAGAAAGTGTTGTATACAATCAAATCTTTGGATAGAGCAATGCTTGCTAATCGCATGAACCACTACCAACATCAGAAAATTTTCAACTATCTGTTAGTAGATGAGTTATCAGGCTAAGAAAATTGTGACAACAGCATTTAGGCTTACTGATGTCCACTGTATACAACACAATAAAATATGGAAAACACCTAGACATCCGCCATCTGGTTATTCAAAATTAGATCGCAAGGTTCTGACCACCAGCAAGGTGGCAGTTTTATTTATTTGAGAATGCCACAATAACATGATATAGCAGAAATATTTGTCAAAGACTCTAAGCTTATGCATCATTTACAGAATACAACGAAATAAGCAAAAGCAGAGCGACTGGGCTTCATGCAAGGATAAATAGTAAAAACTATATAAAAAGAAAGTATGGACACACCAAAAGTGAGTAGCCTGCACAAAGCATGCTCCTTCTATACAGAGTAGATAAAGATATTCCATGTCTCCAGGTACTGCACAATTGTCAAAATAGATAGTAGACAATCATGTATATAGCCAATATGATAATGATCTGGACATATTTGGTTGCAGAAGTTCTAACCTGTATACCAACATCCAGTTCCTTCCTTGGACAAGTACAGGAAGAGATGTATAAAGAACAGTTCGCATTGTTTCAGACAAAAGCATTGATGGTTCAGACATGGCTGGTAACTTATCATGTGAAGCAGATTCCTTTGATCCCTTAAGTTCCAACCCAGGTGCATCATATTCTGTTTGAACAGTTTCACCATCAATGCTGTAGCTGGGTTTTTGTCTGAAACCACCAATTCTGCCTGCTTTGTTAATGATTTTTCCAATGGAATGCTTCCCTCTGCTAAACAGGCCCTTCCTTCCATTGCTTCCCTTCCCAACAGGTGTTAAAGTTGGATATTCCATATTCATATTGTGCTCAGGTATGATTTCTATAGAATCACTGCTGGAGTTTGATGACGACATAAATGACATCAGGAATGCTCTGAAGGAAGATGTGTCAGGGCCATTAGGAATCTCAGAATTCTTGACTGAATTATCATCATCGTCATCCTCATAGATATTTTCTTGCACTTCAGTGGCCTCCTACAAGAGATAAAGACAATTTTAAGCTTTCTAACCATGCTATGGCCAACGAAATGAAACTGGCATTCTAGTTGTCAATTGCTCACAAACAAACCAATTCATCACAGTTTGTAGCTTCAGTTTCTTTTCTTTTGAATAGACTGCCACTTTAAACTTATGACAATGCAGCTCGTCTCAGAAGGGCAACTCGTGTGAAACAAACAACTCACAAACCAAAACATCACATAAAACTGAAAAAAAGACATTAAGGTGAAACAATTTCTGTTCTCAGGGTCAGTGCCCTCCATTTTCAAGCACCCGATCGAACATAGGCACATAGCTATTAACTAGCGATAATCCATGACTGTGTTGTCTAAAGGCACACTGCTATAGTGCCATCTTGGTCTAATTCCACTCAGGTGCAACACGGCGCATACCATTGCTCTACTTTAAATTAACATCCACTACTTTATTACCCTTGACGAACTAGATCAACAATAGAACCCCGTATCATACCCAATGTCTCGGCTACTTGTTAGCATCACAGTTCACGACAAATAGGAGACTGCAAGCCCCTCAAACCCTAGTAGAACCCATGGACGACAAACAGCAATTCCACCAAGATGCAGGCCCCTCTGCACCATGATCTCATCTCTAACCGGAGTACCCAGCTCTGCTCGCCAATCGGCCTATCGCACGGACTAAGAGCAGCAAGGGCAGACCCGCAGAAACTGAGCTAGAATTTGGGGACGAGCAAATCTACCGAGAAGGAAGGGAGGGAGGGGGGAGGGTTAGGCGCTCACGGGGAGGTGGGAGGGGTGGCGCTGGCTCTCCCGCTCGGAGACGGGGTTGAGGATGACGGTGGCGAGGTCGGACACCAGGTGCGCCGCCTTCCCGCCCAGCGACGGCAGGTACCCCATCCCCCGCCTTTGCTCTGCTCTCCGCGACCGCCGGTATGCGTTTTCTCAGGGTTCCCTACCCGACAGCCCAAGCGAGAAGTCCGCGGAACAACATGGGCGAGCTCCTCCGCCGCCGCCGCCGCGGGGACCGAGACCGGAGGAGATGTGGCCAAGTGGGGGCGGCGGAGGCGAGGGGAAGTGGTGAGGCGCGGGAGGTTTGTGCTCCGTGTCGTCGTGTTGGGGCTCGGGGAGGTCAGGAGGGTCAGAAGGGACGAGACGAGACGTTTTCGTGGTCCTTTTGGCGTGGCTGCGGCCTGCGGCAGCGGTCTCGCGAGGGTTCACGATCGGATCGGATTTCGGGAAATTTTGACGTTTCGACAATGCAAAAGTAAAAATTTAAATTTAAATTTCGAGATTTTAAAAGTAGAAACCATTCGAGATTTCGAAGAGTTTCATCAAAATTTAAATTTGAATTGATAAAAATCAAATAAAATCTTATAAATACTATGATATTCATACAACCTAGTAGGATATAAATTTTCGAAAAAATGATGTATTGTGTGTATTTACTAAAACTTACATCAGGAAAGAAAAGAATAAAGAATTAAAAAAGGAAAACACTTATATGGTCCGGATTGCATGTATTAGGCCCAAATATTGATCGAAATTTCGATGATTTCGATTGAAATTTCGTCAAAACCGACCGGTTTCGAGAACTTATCGGCAAATTCAGGAATTTGTATTTAAATTTTGGTTTATAAAATTTGTTTGAAATTTACCGGTTTTCCACCGAATTTTACGAAATTCCGAATTCCGCGAGTGCCCAAAACGGAAGGGCCTGTCAGAATCGTAAACTGGTCTCGCCTCGCCTCGCCGGAGGGTGAGGTGCATGTGTCCGTCTGTTTCGTGTCAGTCCTTTTTCCCTTTTTTTTAAACAACGCCCGTGTCTGTTGGGTGACGGCCTCCACTCGCCACGCAGCAGTCCACGTGACGGTAGAGCTGCAGCGCAATGGAGCACGACCATCGTTCTCCACTCGCTGGCTTATCAAATGTGATTAATAACGGTTAAACGATGCAAAAAGTTTCTAAAGGTATATATAACTTAAAAAATTATATCAATTTATTTTTTAAAATTTAAAATAATTCATACCTTATAATTATGAGCTAATGATCCACCTCAGTTTTACGTGTTTTTCTATTTTTCTCCCCTCAAACATACGGTTAAATATTACTCTATCGTAAAAATATTTATATTTTAGTTATTCTTTTAAAGTGCTTTAGGGGAGTCTCCTATGGTGTATGTATTCATATAATAAATATTAATTTACATAGTTATTCCATCCGTTCCAAAATAACTCAACCTATGATGGGATGTGACCCATCAAGAGTTATTTTGGGACGGAGGGAGTACATGTGTATAATGAAAATTATAGGTTTTCTAGCCATCGGGAAATGAGTGAGTGGTAATTCTCCTTTGCTTAAAATAATGCCCGTTAATAGTGAGAAATATTTAGGAAAGGATGTAAAATTAAAATTTCGTGAGAAGCATACTTTGTCCCTAATTTCTGTTCCGATTAAGAATTTTGAATTTTCTTCTACATGTTCCATAATTTCTAAATAGTATTTTTTTTGCAAATATTTTCAAAAATGCTTTGTTTGAGATGTCCGGGCGAGCGCAAAATATCGGATGCCTCCTCCTTATCCACAACTCCCAGCCACCTCCCTCCACCACAATTTCTCCTCTCTTGCTCTCTCTTCTCAAAGTGAATCGTGAAAGATGACGAGGCATCCTTGTCGTGGCCACACGGAGGCATCAGTGGCCGGGAAAGGCGACATGTGATAGGGAGGAGGTGCTCGACCTTGCCGGCCGCCAAACGGCGGCAACGGGGCAAGGCAGCATGTGGTAGAGAGGAGACGCTAAACATCGCTAGCGGGCACACGGCGGTGGCAGGTGATAGAGGTAGCGTGGCAGGGGCATAGGGTGATGTGGGATAGAATGGAAGCGTGGATATAGCCGACGACGGTGGTTGCTAGGCACAGCGACGCAAGATCAGGGCACTAACGCGAATGGCCCTAGCACTAGCCAGAGGCAGCCCACCTCGCATTGCATCTTCGCGGCGTTGTCACCTCCATCCGCCGCATTGGCGGTTGTGGTGGCCAGAGTAGAAGAAGAAGATGGAGGTGGGTTTGTTTTGTCGGAGTTTTTAGCGATGTTCCACCCTATTGTTTTTCCTGTTGTACTTTATTGTATCATAGTGTTTCATTCTACTTTGATTCGATGTTGCATGTATTGATTCTTCGTGTTGCCATTGGTATATATGTGTTTGAATGTTATATTTGCCCTCATCCTCGTCTAATGCCATCACCTCATTTGTCTCTCCCGTGTCGATCACTTGTTTCCGGGGACCGGAATAGAATAAGACAGAGATAGGTTTTTGTTGGGAATTTTTAGTGATGTTGCAGCTTATTGGTATTTTTGTTGCACTTTATTGTATTAAGTTGTTTCATTCCATTTCGCCTTGATGTTGCATGAATTGATTTTTTGGTGTTGCAATCAATATCGCTAAATATTGCTCAATTTCTCGTCATAAATATTTGGAACATTTGGAAACAATTTTGCTCAAGCGTTGAAATATTTTTCTCTGGTAGTGAAACGTTTGGAACATTTTCATTGAAACATTTTTTACCGAGGGGTGGAACATGTGAAACATTCCTCAATAACATGGTGCAACACCGTCCTACGATTTTCACCAAATCGGATGTCCAACCTGTAGCTGCCACCACATATTTTATATTTCCTCCGTTTCACAATGTAAGTCATTCTAGCATTTCTCACATTCATATTGATGTTAATGAATTAAGATAGATATATATGTCTAGATTCATTACCATCTATATGAATGTGAGAAATGCTAGAATGACTTACATTGTGAAACGGAGGGAGTATATAAAGTTTTCTTGTAACACTTTGTCTGACGGGATACCTTCATATAACTATGACAAACTTCGGATTATTCATCAATTTCAACTATCTCAGAAGGAGCCCATATTACATTTCATAACTCCACTAGTTACATCTTTCCAGCTTTGACATCATTTCCAGATCACACAACCAAAACTTTTTTCAAATCTGCATTGATTTGAGCCTTTTATTTATCAAAAACAATCAAATATTGCCCAATTTGCAGACAGTGGCACCCCACCACACCACTTGCCATAAACCCCCGGGCGATCGCCTTACCTCCTCCTCCTCACCCACTCCCCGTTCGTCCGGGTCTCCTCTCCTCCCCCGCCGACGCGCACTCGATCCCCCCCGCCTCCGCCTCCGCCTCCGCCTCCGCGTCGCCCATCTCGAGATCCCCCGCATGGCGACGCTCACCGTCCCCTCCGCCGTCCCGCCCGTCGCCGACGACTGCGACCAGCTCCGCAAGGCCTTCCAAGGTTCGTTTCGCTCGCTCGCTCTCTCGTCCGCCCCCGCATTTCTCTCCGCGCCGCGCTGCCTGTGTGCGTGTGTGACGCGATCGTGTGAGTGATCTGGTTTGGTTGTTGGGTTCTCCCGGTGAAGGGTGGGGCACGAACGAGGCGCTCATCATCTCCATCCTGGCCCACCGCGACGCGGCGCAGCGGCGCGCCATCCGCCGCGCCTACGCCGACACCTACGGCGAGGAGCTCCTCCGCAGCATCACCGACGAGATCTCCGGCGACTTCGAGGTAATCAATCCCCCGCCTGAGCTTCTCGGGTCCGTATCCGTCCGTTCGTTCGTTCCCAGATCTCTGAGATCGCGGGGGGCGCCGCTTGCTCTGCTTTTGTGATGTGATCAGAGGGCCGTGATCCTGTGGACGCTGGACCCGGCGGAGCGCGACGCGGTGCTCGCCAACGAGGTCGCGAGGAAGTGGTACCCAGGGAGCGGGAGCCGCGTGCTGGTCGAGATCGCGTGCGCGCGCGGCCCCGCGCAGCTGTTCGCGGTCAGGCAGGCCTACCACGAGCGCTTCAAGCGCTCGCTCGAGGAGGACGTCGCGGCGCACGCCACTGGTGACTTCCGCAAGGTGATCCGTTCATCCACTTGTTTTCCATCTGTCTCGGATCATCGCTCGGTCTGATGATCTGCTAAACTGGTGCATCGTTGGAATAGTATTGTCGACTGGTGATAAAACACTGAACTGAGAATTTGGCCTTCATCTTGTGCAATGCCTTTTTACTCCTATAAACAGAGAAAGAAAATCCGACTAGGTTGTTGTTGTTCGTTCTCGAATATACATTGATAAAGTTATAAGTTGTTGGATCCTATTGCACATACAAAATTCCTTTTTACCTAAATCATATGAAATTGATCTCTAGTGTTGCAATCATGTATCCCTATGGAACACTCAGATGAAATATAAATGTGATTTATGCAATGTCTTTTGTGTATCCCGAAAATATGTGATTTCAGTTATAGTTTCTTCCCCCAGAACATTTCTAAATTTGGAGGTGGTACTTCAAAACAAGCTTTGTATGCATGAACTTCAGATATGCTTTACTTCAGAGATGAATGTCATGGTTGTTTTCGCCATTATTTTTCTGAATGAGTGTTGGAGAAGGGTAGTGTAGAAGTGCAGAATATTGGTGATTCTTTTTGCGATCTAACATTATTTATTCATATCAGCTCTTGGTGCCACTTATAAGTGCTTACCGCTATGAGGGGCCGGAAGTCAACACAAAGTTGGCACATTCAGAAGCCAAAATTCTGCATGAGAAGATCCAGCATAAGGCATATGGTGATGATGAGATCATCAGAATTCTCACTACTAGGAGCAAGGCTCAGTTGATTGCGACATTCAATCGTTACAATGATGAATATGGTCACCCAATCAACAAGGTGCGTACTAATCTTATGACCTGTGCTGCTATTCTTTTGTATTTCAAAGCATGTTAAGTAGTAGCCTACTTATGCTCTGTTATATCTATCATGCTGACTTGCGTTCTGCATAGCATTGTTCTATAGAGTTAATTTCTATTGTCTGATAAGATACATTGTAGTATGTTGTTTCTCGGTTCACATGATGTTAACATTACCTATTTACCTTCAAATTTGAAGGGAATCAACTGATTAAGCAGCCCTCCAAGTATCTGTCCTCTAAATCCATATGTATTTCCTTTTGTGCGTTCGCGAAAAAATCCATATGTATTCATAAGGCCTGATACATCAATTGGATGAATGTATCCATTCAGTTAATATGAACCTATAGCCTGTTGTCACTCGTTTTGTTTCATTTTCTGTTAAGGCCCACTAAATCCTTCTGTAATGTTGTACTTCTGTGCTGATTGTTGACCCTGAGTTGTTTTTTTTAATATCCTTTGGTACAAATATTAGGCATTACTCATTACTCAAATGAAGTTTTTAAAATCTCTTAACGAAGTTGGCCGGCACTCTTTGTCAGTCCAGCGATATAGTTGAAGTTTATTTTTAACAGTGTTAATTTTTGGCACTTTCTTCGCAATTGTTGGAATGTTTAGACCCGTCATAAACCTATGTTACTGGTCTAACCTTTTACTCTTTAATACCATGGGTATGATTTGAACAACTTGAAGAAGTGCTTGCTGTGATACGATTTGCTTCCATTTTGTTCTTAAAGCTTAATGTTCTACAAGTTCTGCAGAGGTGGTTATTCTTATCACAGGCAGTGTAACCATTTTATTTCCCCCGGATTTTGTGTCCATCGAAGGCTTGCATTCTAACATGCTGCTCTACTCCATTTACAGGATCTCAAGGCTGATCCCAAGGACGAGTTCCTTTCCACGCTGCGTGCAATCATCCGCTGCTTCTGTTGCCCTGACAGGTACTTCGAGAAAGTCATCAGGTTGGCCATCGCAGGCATGGGAACAGACGAGAACTCCCTCACTAGGATCATTACCACTCGTGCCGAGGTGGATCTGAAGCTGATCACGGAGGCGTACCAGAAGAGGAACAGTGTCCCGCTGGAGCGTGCGGTCGCAGGGGACACCTCCGGGGACTACGAGAGGATGCTTCTTGCTCTTCTGGGTCAGGAGCAGTGAGCCATGCCTATCTTGCCCAGTCACACACTTCATGTGATCATGTCATATCAGAGAATAAACCTGTTATGCAGGGGACACAGCCGTGGTGATTATGATGTTGTTTTTCCAGTGTACGGTACTGTTTGCTGCAGCTTGCATAACAGTGACGATGAAATAAATCATAGTGGAATGCGTTGGCTCATGGGACCTCACTTATTTTGCAACTTTTTGACAGGTCTTATTTCAATCCTTGTTTGTGTTTATTGCCGTAATTTTTCTGATCATGCTGTTGGTTATCCAGTGGGCACAGGCCAAGCAAAGGAAGTGCAAGCAGAACAGAGTTCGGAGACAAGAGCCAACTCAAACAGATCGACGCCTGTGAGCACGCGTCCATTCGTAAGCCTACACACGTGAACAGCTCTCCGTTTTATTTACGTTATTACTATTGCCAAGCCACCGCCGGCGAGCGGTGCGCTCGCGCCACCGCGGTGGCGTCACGCCGCGGCGTGGCCCCGGCACTGGTCGCGCACGGCGGTGAGCCGGTACGGCGAGGCGTCGGTGGCGAGCCACTGCTCGACGTCGAACCGCCGCTGCGCGCACCCGCGGTGCGGGCCGGTGGCCGTCACCTCGACGTAGTTGCAGTACCACCCGTGGTGGGCGCCGGCGCCGTCGGAGGTGAGGTTCATCCAGCACGGCGCCGCCGGGAGGCACGGGCCGCGGCCGCTGAACACGTCCAGGTTGCCCCGCTCGTAGTAGTCGTGGCCGGCGCCCATCAGGCCGCCCCACCGCTCCAGGTCGGCGATCCGCACGCCGCGCCCGTCCGCGCCGGCGAACTCCACGCCGATCGTCGAGTCCGTGCCGCCCTTCCACGCGGACCCCGTCCTCACGAACACGGTGTACACGCAGTTGTACTCCACGTTGCCTCCGCCGCCGCCGACACCGCCGGTCTCACCCTGCACGCCGGCAGCCAGGGCGAGGAGGAAGAAGAAGATGGGGATTTTGGGGGCCATGGCAAGAGCTCTGGAGGAGTTTGATCAGCTTGGCGATCGATCGATGAGGCTTTCATATGTGCATATGTATGCGTTGGATAGCGATGTGATCGCGCTGTGTTAACGGTGCTATGGACAAAAGTATGACGTGCCGTTGGTGCATGTCATGTAAACGTAGTGACACGCTTGCTGCTTGCAGTGTGCCGTGGAGATTGCTAGTCTTCCCCTGGCAGTACATGGCTGTATGAGGTGAGCCAAAGGTGAGTGCGTTCCACGCGTTCATGGAGCAAATCCGCAAATGGCAGCCCATCCCGGCAGCGTGAGTGAGGTGGTGTTTTGTGTCCGTACTCCCGTAGACTTTGCATGATGGGCCGGAGTCCCACGGAAAAAGGCCTCTGTGCCGGACGGCAGAAGCGCGCCGGCCGTCGTTTAATGGAAAAAGTACACCGAAGGTCCCTCAACTTGTCATCGAATTACAAAATCGTCCCTCAATCCAAAACCAGATATATGATATCCCTCAACTTACAAAACCATTTAATTTAGATCCTTCCGTGGTTTTGACCCTGATTTGATCTGATGCGTGGGATCCATATAGACCCCACATGTCAGGTGACCATGTCACCACTCTCTCTCTCTCTCTTTCCCCTCCTCTCCCTTCCTCTCTCTCATGTTCCCCTGGGCGTGGATGGCGGCAGCATCTTCAACGCGGCGAGGAGGGCTAGCGTGGCCGGCGGCTAGCAGGGGAGGAGCGCGGCGGAGCAGGCAGGCGGAGCGGATGTGGCGGGTGAGCGCCTGGGGGTCGCCGGTTGCAGAGGGGAGCAACGGCGGGCGAGCGCGGCAGTGGGCTATGGCGAGCGGCTGGAGCAGGAAGACGGAGCGGCAGAGAGAGGAGCCGGCCGAGCGGAGCGGCGGGCGAGCTCTCGCACGAGGATGTCAAGGTCGACATCGTCCTCGGCCGGCCGCAGCGGCGCCGCCTCCGCTTGCGCCGGGACGGGGCGTAGGATGGCCCGAGAAGGTGGGTGAGCGCGCGGCGGCCGACGGAGTGGAGCGAAGCAGCAGCGGGCGCGCACGCGCAGCGGGGGAGCACTGCATCGAGCGGGCGACCGGCAGAGCGGAGCGCCGACGACGGCAAGCAAGCGCGCGGCCGGTGGAGCGGCGGGCGAGCAAGCGGCCGCGAGCCAGCCGCCGGACCTTCTCCTCTCTCTCGTCGCTCCACCGAACTCCTCTCAACCCGTTCGTCTCCGCGTTCGTCGTGGCGCCACTGCAGGGCTAGGTTGAACCTGCAGCCGGCGGCGGCGCGGCGATGCGGGCGGGGCTGAAGGACACACTCTTTCCCGACGACCCGTTCCGCGGGCTCGGCGGGATGCCGCACGCGCAGCGCGCATGGCGGGTGGCGAGTTACTTCGTGCCGGCGCTGGACTGGGACGCGGGGTACTCCGCGGCGAGCTTCTGGTATGACCTCCTCGCCGACGTACACAGATTCGTGCTTCCTGCTGCCGTTGGTGTACGCGGTGATGGGGAGCTCGAGGAACCTCGGGGTGGGGCCGGTGGCCACGTCGTCGCTGCTGGTGGCGTCCATCATCGGCGGCAAGGTGAGGGCTTCCGACGACCCACGGCTGTACACGTAGCTCGTCTTCACGTCGGCCTTCTTCACCGGTGTCCTGCTGGCCACTCTTGGATTCCTCAGGTAACGCGAGATCGATATGATGGATCTCTTCGATCTTTGTGTGTGTTCCTGAGATTTCCTTACTGATATATATATCGATCTGTGTTTGCTGCAAGGCCGGGGATCCTGATGGATTTCATGTCACGGCCGGCGATCACCGGGTTCATGGGCGGCATGGTGGTCGTGATCATGCAGCAGCAGCTCAAGGGCATCCTCGGCATGACGCACTTACCACAAAGAAAGTCTCCGCGTTCGTCGTCGGGGCCATCACGCTCATCGTCGCGCCGTTCGCCGTCCCTTCCGCGTCGTTCACCCGTGACATCGGGCGCGCCGTTGCCGAGTGCGCGGAGCATGACGGCGGCCATGGACGGGGAGAGGCGGAGGCGGCCCGTGAGGTGGGAGACCGCCGGGGGAGAAGTGGGACCCGTGGTGGCAGCGAGGATGCGGAAGTGGAGGAGGAGGAGGAGCGCGAGCACCGGGAGGGAGGCGCGGCGCGGCGCGGCGGGGAGAGAGGAGAGAAGTGTGAGAGAGAGAGAGGAGGGGGAAGACAGGGTGATGACGTGGCAACGCTGACATGTGGGGCTCACGTGGGTCCCATGTTGACTCAGCTGTCACGCAGGACAAAACAGGGGTAAAAACCACCAAAGTACATAAAGTGAATGGTTTTTGCAAATTGAGGGATGTCCTGTATCTGGTTTTGTGGTTGGAGGATGATTTTGTAACTCGATGACAAGTTGAGGGACCTTCGGTGTACTTTTTCCTCGTTTAATTGATCTGGGCCGGGCTAAACAGACTTCGGGCCAATCTGATTGTGCCCTTGAACGAATCAAATTCGATCATGCGCTAGATACTGAAAAAGTACAATTCGCCTCCCTCAAGTATAAGTCCAATATAATTCGTATCCATCAACCGCAAAACCCTAAATTATTAAAGCCAATGCAAAATGACTCCCTAGACGGTTTCAAATTAAAGTGGCTTTGCTCATTGACATGGTTTAACCAGCTGAGTCGTCATGTGGGACCAACATGTCAGCGCCCCCATATCTTTATCCTCTAAGTTCAAGCGGGGAAGACGGCGAGGCGGTAGCGTGGCCTCTAGGCGGAGTGACGACGGTGGCCTTTAGGTAGAGCAATGGCGTGGCCCAAGGCAGACAGCCACTAGTCAGGACATCGACCACTCCATGACAACTACTGCCGCCTTTCTTTCTTTATTTACGAGCAAAGGAGCCCGCGTTGCATCACCATTTGTCCAGCCACTATCAAGGATGACACCGGTCATGGACCCTTGATGCATCGGCTTCCTGGACTCCACCGATGAGAGCATCGCCAGCAGGAGGCTTCCATCCCCTCGAAGCTCTGTTACCGCCTCATCGCTGGAGATACACTGAGCTCCTCAGCCTCTCCACCCCACGAGACCAATGCCACCTATGCTAGTCCCAACAGTGGGAGGGAAACACCGCCACCGCCACCGCCGTGGGCTTCCCACCGGCTATGGAGCTATGACGCCCACGGAAGCCTTAGCCGCCACCACCTCCTCTGTCGAGATGGCCTCCCGCCACCCCTTGCCAGTACCTGCTGTCCATATCTCCACTCCTCCTCCGACTTCTAGATCCAAGACGATGGCCGAGGAGGAGGCAGTCTCAGCGCCTCTTTGCTCTGACTTCTGGATCCAGGAGGTCGAAGTCAAGACGTCCACTATTGTCCATTCGACGTCTCCCTAGCTAATCGGACATATATGTCATTTCACTAATGTGAATATATAACTCAGTAAGCATGTGGTGATACTATAATGAAGGTGTAATATGGACACTACCGGCCTCTCCTGAGATTGTTCTGTTGACATGGAGATAACGAATCTATTCCTTCATGAAGCCTTTCAATAATCAAACAAACACTTGGCTTGAACTTATATAGTTACTGATCAGTATAGTGTACATGACTATATTCAATGCATGGTTAATTACTTAATTAATTATTAGCATCCTGTTGGTACTTATATAGGGTAGTATCTCATATTCCCGTAGGTTGTACCATTAATCAAACAGACATGCATGCTGCTGCATGCCTGCATGCAGGTAACCTAGCCGATCCTACGCCGCTCGTGCACGGTGCCCCACTAGGTCATAGTAAACCATACGCCGGCCGGGCTGGTATTAGGGGTGGATGTCGAGCTGGCTCGGCAGTGGCGGAGCCAGGATTTGAAAGTTGGGTATTCCCGTCTAACAAAAAAATTCATAGTAAAAAAAATCAATGGTTCACAGTATGTCAATACCGATAATCTAAGAAATAAAATTACAAATTATTACATGGTACCTCTAATTTTCTATTTCGGTTCCTTCGTGGCTTGGAAGAGTAGCTTTAATTCTGCGTTCCTTCATGGCTTGAAAGCGGTTTATAATATCACACTCCTTGACTTTCAAAAACATCTCACGCTCAATAAATGTGACCAAGCAATCATTCAAGTATTGATCCCCCATCCTGTTTCTCAATTTATTCTTCACATAATTCATGGCAGAAAATATTCTTTCAACACTAGCTGTTGCTACTGGAAGTACCAGAACCAATTTGAGAAGCTTGTAAACAATCTCATGTCTATTGTGCAATTTTGTTTCAACAATCATAATGGAAAGATTAGCAAGATTTTTTACTTTTCTAAACCTTTCATCTATACGCATCTCAGTGAGGAAGAGTTTCAATGCTGATGGAAGATGGTTCATCTCTGTGCTTGAGAAATCATTAGGATAAAACCGTGCAAGCTTAATCAACTTATCTTTGTCCCAACTAGCAAAGTTATCTATAGGACTAAATGCAGCCATACAAAGGAGCAAATCTGTGTTTACCTCATCAAACCGTTCATTAAGCTCTTGTAGTTGTCTATCAATGACACTTAGAAACATGTCAACATGGAAGCGATGCATATTCTTGATTTTAATAAAGAACCTCCTATCTCTTCCAACCGGCCGATAGAAAGAGTCCATATCAGGGATCTTGATCTTATGCTTCACACAAAAAGATTGCACTTCTTGAAGAAAATCATCCCATCCAGGATCCTCGCGTAATTGCTGCAATTGAAACTTTGTCAATAAAATCAGTCCTACTGCATTAACAATGTCTTGATCCCTCTTCTGCAAAGCATGATTCAAGTCAGATGTGAACCCAAGTACTGTTTGCATCAAGTGTGCCATAAAAACAAACTCAAATGATTGGAATATTGTCAACACTGTTTGTGCATTTGCACATTCTGCACCAAAAGAGCGATCCTTGCCAACCATTATAAGAACTTTTTGAATTGAAGGATACAAAGATAGGACATGCATAACAGTTTTATAGTGAGATCCCCAACGAGTATCTGCTGGCCTGCCCAAACCCATTTCTTGATTCAAACCCTTTCCAGTTTCAATGTCACCCAAATCTAGTTCTTCTACAATTCTTTGAGCTTGTGCAACTCTAAGCATTTCTGTCTTCTTACAAGAATTCCCAAGAAGATTTAACAAAAATCTAAGTTGCTCAAAGAACCACACACAATCTGGGTTTTCCTTAGCAACAGCCACAAGTGTTAATTGGAGTTGATGTGCAAAGCAATGGACATAATAGGCAGAAGGGCACTCATCCATAATCAATTTCTTTAGTCCATTAGCATGACCCTTCATGTTACTAGCACCGTCATAGCCTTGCCCACGGACCTTAGACAAGCTCAAGGAATGCTCCATAAGCAATGATTCAATTGCAGCTTTAAGTGTCAAGGAAGTAGTATTTTCAACATGAACAACACCAAGGAACCTCTCAACTACCCTTCCTTTTTTATCAACATATCTCAAACAAAGAGCCAACTGTTCTTTTTGGTACACATCACTAGATTCATCGGCAAGTATTGCAAAATATTCATCACCAAGGTCTTCCATGATAAGCTTAGTAGTTTCTTTGGCACAACAATTAGCTATCTGTTTTTGTATTTCGGGAGCAGTCAACTTACAATTCTTTGGAGCATTATTCAAAACCACCTTACCAACTTCTTCAAAGTTTTCTGCTAGCATACTCAACATCTCAAGGAAATTTCCTTTATTAAGTGACTTTTCACTTTCATAATGTCCACGGGCAGCCAAACCTTGCCTTAAAAGAAACTTCAAGCACTTCATTGAATAGGTTAAACGAGCCATATATCTAGCCTTGTCTTGTTCATTGGTGGCAGCAAAGCTCTCAACAATATTTGTTTTAGGTGCAAGGAAGTGATTGTATTTATCTTGTGCCACATTGTGAAAGCTAGTCATACCACCAACATGTTTTGCAATCCTTTTTCTCATGTGCCAATTCCTAAATCCCCTATTTACAAATGCATCTCCACCAGAATTATTAATTTTATGCTTGAATAAGTAACAAATAAAACAGAATGCAGCATCTTGTTCCACACTATATTCAAGCCATTTAAATTCGTCATACCAACTAGGAAGGAAGCGCCGAGGCTTACCTCCAATTTTCCTTATAGGAAAATTGTGGCTGCGTGGTTGGCATGGCCCTAATGCAATATATCCCCTTATCACAGAATTCCGTTCATTGACATCATAATTTTTGATTGCAATTCGCCTTCCAGGATCATGACAAAGTAAATCAATGTCATAAATAGCTTCATCACTTGAGTCATACTCTGTCTCTTCATCATCACCATCTCTGATGGGAGACCAATCTCTGATAGGAGACCAAGTGGAAGGTTGCTCCTGCTGTGTCACTGCTGTTGCTATGTCTGGATCATTGCTAGCTACCTCTGTTTCAGGTTCTGTCACATCTCTTGCTGCATCACTGGCTGCTACCTCAGGCACAACCTCAACTGCAGTAATCTGAATCTGAACTGGACTCTCATTTGCATCTGTAATCGGCTGAACAGAAGGAACAACAACTTCACTGTCAATTCTAACTGGCTGTGTTGTTGATCCAGAACCAGAACCTAACCCTACCTTCCTAGACTTTGAATGTCTATCCCACAAAGTCTTCAAATCAATCGATTTCTTCTTCATTTTGAGAGTTCTTCAATCTACAGAACTACAAAAGTACAGGAAAAAGAAACTACTCAGAGACTAAGGTAAAAAAACATCAGACATGGACACATAGTGAGTGGATTTAGGACTGATTGAATCTTGAACTCTTGATTTGTCACCTGAAATTGCGCCTGCCGCAGTGCCGCTGGGCGCTGTCCCGCTGAGCTGCAGCTGTTGGCCGGCCGCCGCCGCGCCCCTGCCCCTCGGCCTCATGGCCTCGCTCCCGCCGTCACCGGTCGCCCGTCGGTTGCCGTCTCGCGGCCTCGCCGCGCCGCCGCCGAATGCCTCGCCACGGCGTCGCGCCGCTGCCGAATGCCTCGCCGCGCCACCGCTGGTCTAGCTCCCTGCTCCCGTCGCCGGTCGCCGGACGCCTTGCCGCTTCCGCCGGTCGCCGCGCCGCCGCGCCGCCGCCGAACGCCGCCACCTAGGGTTTGGAATCAAATGGGGAATTGGGGAGCGGGCGAGCAGCGCATTTGCGCGTGAGGGTGAGGCGTGAGCCGAGCGAGGGACTCTGGAGGAGTGGGGACAACTAATATGTGTATATGTGTTATGTGTATATATTGAAGTATAGTTGTTTTTTGATAAAAAAAGTTGGGTATTCCTGGGAATACATAGGCATCACTGTAGCTCCGCCCCTGTGGCTCGGCTCGGCTCGGTCTGGCTCGCTAGGATAACGAGCTAGCTCGGCTCGGCTCGTTATCCTAACGAGCTAGAAACCTAGCTCGGCTCGGCTCGTCAACAAGCTCAAGCCAGCTCGTTAAGCTCGCGAGCTAGGGGCAAGAGACGCTGGGAGGAGGGGAGGAGCTTGACGGCGGACGAAACGAGCTCGAGCTCGCCGGCGACCACAGACACAGGGAGGAGCTCGACGGTGGAGGGGATGAACTCGATGCAGCTCTGCCGGCACTTGAAGGAGACGAGCTCGAGCTCGCCGGCATCGACGGTGGAGGGGATGAACTCAATGCAGCTCTGCCGGCACTTGGAGGAGATGAGCTCGAGCTCGCCGGTAGCGTCGGGCGCTAGGGCGGGCACCGGCGGCAGCGGGCGCTGGATCGCTGGGGGAGAGGCGGAGATCGGC